CGGAGGGCTAGCAAATTGGCTTCCATCACCCTTGACGACAAGATCTTCCCCAAAGAGAACATCATCAAGCTTTTCATGACTGCCATCGCTTCCAACCCGTCTGCGCCCCGCGCTGCAAACTTCCTACGACTCCTATCTGCCCTCATCCCTAGCATCAAGGACTCTGTCAGTCGAGCGTTGCTCACGGAGGGCGTAGAGGCTCTAGGATCCATCATCATCAAAGGAAAGTCCGGAGACGAGGAGGCAAAGTCAACTTTCCATCCGGGGGCTGAAGAAGCAGGAGACTGGACAAGAGCGAGACGAGAATACGTCTTTTTGGTGGAGTCTTTCGCGAGGGCAGGTGGACACCTCGGAACTTCGGCCACCCGTAGAACATTGGATATGGTGCTAGACCTACTGAGAAAACAACCTACGTCCGTTGGTCCTGCCGCTTCCAGCATAGTAAGGGCACTGGCAGAAACACGCCTAGCATCGTCTAGGTCCGCCTCCTTCCTGCGCGAGATCGCTCCCATCTTTCGGGCCTATTTGGACGTTGTTGACTTCTCTGGCATGCTCGATTCGATCGTGGCACTCGTCAAACGTTGCAACTACGAGCTCGATGCTGAGACAACGTCGATCATTGTGCACGACTATGTCGAGCCAGCCATCAGATTGCTTGCGTCTGCTTCCGAAGATAGCCTTGCTTTCATTGTGCCTTTGAGGTTGAGCGCGGTGAGACTCCTGAGTGTAGCCGTATTTCTGCGAGGTGATGCTCTCGGGGCACTAGAGAGGCACCCGCCGAGTGCGAGTCTACTAGCTTCGCTCGTGCTTCCTCTCTGTCTCATGCTTGAAGCACCGCGGGGGGTGGACCGACAAGAAGTGTACTCGGCTCTGTGGATCAGACTTCTCCACTACGTGATCAAGAACCCTCAACCCCAGGACGCTCGTACGCCCAAAGCATCTGCGTCACTCGTACGCCACCCTCGCCTCATTGCTGCTGAGGTCATTCTCGCCGTCCAGATTGTGAAGATCGTGGTGATTAGAGCGCCGAGCAGTATATCAAATGTGAAGGGCTTGTGGACGTATGTCTCGCACCATCTTCTCAGGACCATTCAAGGCGGGAATGCGCGATTTGCAGACCCCTTGCTTGGGCAGACAGCTCCTCGCGTGGTGGATTGGCTGATGTGGAGCGTCTTTGAGCTGGTCTCCCTTCACCCCAATCCTCTTCATATTGAGCTTCAAGCAACCATACACCATACTCTTGCAGCGATTGACAGCCATGGTCATCATCCGTCTGGGCCTTCTACCCCAAAGTCATCTACAACACCATCTCAACAGCTGTATTCGGGTCGAGCAAGGAGGTTGTCTGGAATGCGAATCCCATCTTTCGCTGGCCATGTCCGTACGCCTAGTGCTGGTGGGCTAGATCAAACCCCCGATAACAAACACAGACGTACAGCCAGCGGTCTATCGGCCATAGGACAATCAAATTCGCCCAGCCCCAGCCATTCGCCAAAGATGTCCGCTTCTCCCTTGGCTCCGGCAGGCGTCGGCCTTGGCCTAGGCTTCGGACACAATCGCCAGCCCAGCTCTAGCAGCATGGCTGAAGCCAGTCCTTCCGGGGCACATCGCCCTTCGTTTGTAGAAATGTCTGTCCGGCGAGCCTCGCGACCAAACTTCGACGCCTTCCAGTCTTCTTCCAATCCCAGTCACCGTTTCCCGTCGTCTGCGGGTATTCGCAATTTGGGTGGAAACGCAGAGAAGTCGGGTGGGGCAATTATACATTTACTTGGAGCTCCCGCGCAGGTGTTATCGGCAACCAGCAGCGGTTTGCCTACTCTTACTCCTGCGTTCGCTGGATCCATGAACCCGGCAGCCGTTTTGGCTGCCCAGAGGGGAGAAAGGGCGTTAAAGGATACGGCTATCAGCTCTACAGCGCTCACGACAATGGCGAATCAAGCTGTGCAGACGACCATGTTGGTACATGGCTGGCAGATGGGATTTAATGTTGAAGAAGACTCGCAGGATGTGCGTAGCTGGACAGCCTTAGATGCTCTGGTGTGTGAATTTCTATCTTTGTTTCCATGTAGCTGACCTTTCACCTTCAGCACGTTCTCTCAGCTCAGACCAAACTCTTTGTGGAGGAGGAGTTCCGGGATGTGTTCTCCCCAGCAGCGTCTGAAGATTGGCCGGACAAAGACAACGATCATTTGGAGAAAGGGCTTGTAGGCCTGGGGCTTGAGGGGCATGGTATATCCGTGAAAGAAGCGGAAGATGTTGGCAGACCGTCCTTCGAAGAATCACGACGTTTGATAGGGGAGAGAGGATTTGGTGTGCCGCTGGTCTCAGTGTCGTCTTCCGGTTCTGGTCATGCCTGATATGATACCCTGCATATTCGATATAGTACCCGCGTGGCTAGTTTTTGTTGTATATAATGTTGTGCAAACTGTTGACGAGATTAGAGGGGGTCATAGAATGCATTAGGTGACGCTTGTAGGAGATGAGTATATGAGATGTGTCCCGTCCAATCCATCGTTTCATTGAGAGTCCAAAATTAGCGGCCAGAGACATCTCCGGTTCTGAATCTAGGGGAGCGTCTTCGAGTAACATTGTCATCCGAGGGAGCAAGGAAGAAGCCTAAGGAATGTCAATCATTAGCAACATCCTATGGCCATGTACCTTGCATCTGTTCGTTGAGAGATGAGGGCGATTTTGCGTTGTCAGGCCTGAAACCAACCAATCAGCTAATGTAGCCCATGTATGATGCTCACGCACACGCCGACTTCAAGTCCTTCCTTCCTCCTCAAGCGCCCTGTCTCTGTCTCGCCTTTCTTGACAAGATCTTGAGTTACTTTCGCCTTGAAACTCATTGTCCCGATGTTCTTGGTCGTATCCAAAGGAGTAGCATCCGGTGACTCCTTCGCTTCGGTTTCCGATTCAGGATCGCTTGTGTAAACTTGAAAGTTGGTCTGATGGTAGAGCGCCTGTTGATGAGAGTCACAGCATACGCTTCCAGTGGCTCACCTTGCTATCACCCATTTTGCGTTTGGGCTTCTTGACCCGAAGAACATTCTTCTGTCGGCTCACTTGATGCGGGAACATCTGATCTTCACCTTGTGAAGCGTACTCGAGTTTTGACCCGGCAGCCTTTTGAGAAGCGATCGGTCTTTGACCAGTATTTGAGGTCGCCTGATTTCCTTCTTTACTCTTCATGTCGTAGAGGCGTGATCGCAAAGGTTTGATCAGCTTCTTGTCAGGCAAATGGAGAGAAGGGGGATTGAAGGAAGACAGAGGAATCTGAATCACGGCAGTCCGAGTCAGTTGGCTCTCAAATCACAGACAAGCTGGCAACACTGACGTTGGGGAACAAGTGTATCTCTTTCAGAGGCTTTGTTTCGGTCTTTTGGGCTGGCTTTGGCGCAGAAATAACCGGACCAGCTGTTCCTACTCGGCGCATCAGTCGAGAAAGCTCAACATGATGAAAAAAAGATCTTACTGTGTCTCGGCTTGATGGGCGTGATGGATGCTGGGATATCTTGCCAATCCATCTCCACTCTCTTGGACCAAGCGCCAAGCATACTGGCCCATCTTTTCTCCCAACATGCCTCCTCTCCCTTCAGGCGTTGTTCAATACGAAGTGAGGTCTCGCAGAGAGCAAATTCTCCGTTGAGATACGCAAGGAAACACAAATCTTCGACCACGCTCTGGGAAGGGCGTCGTAGAGTGGTGGACTCGGTTGAAGGCAGTTTGAAGGGGGGTGGATCGGGGTGCTCAGTCCTCAAATAGGGATGATTGAGTATCCTTGGTATCTGTCAGAGCACATTGGTCAGCAAATGGACAGTCTTAATACAGGACTCACAGTCCATCGCTTCAGGGGATCGCTTTCGAGCATTCCTTCGGCGAGCTCGGCCATACCTCCGGGACCCTGATCTCGGAGTCTCCATCTGAACTTAGGGTCTCCTAGAAGGATACGCTTCTTGACAGCGGAGCTGGTGTCGTCCGAGCTTGTGTAGGCGTAAGGGTGGGGTAAACCGGCCATCTTTATCAGAAGTATGCCCAAAGACCAGACATCGTTTGCCTTCGGGTCATATTTGATGTCCTTGGACTTATTAGCGATAAAGACAGGAGTTGGACGGCGGCTTACTGCAGTCTTTTCAGGGCTAGAGTAGTCGAGGGTCCCGCCTGCACTCTTGACGAGGCCGCCGAAGGCTTTGAAGTGTGAAAAACCGAAGTCGACCAAAATTGGGAGCCCTTCGCTAGTTGCCAAGACGTTCGACCTCTTGATGTCTTCGTGACTGACATTGAGGCGATGAAGGTTATGTGTCGTGATCAAGAGTCGCCGAAAGAAGATGGCGAGAGAACTTTGAGTCCAGGGAGTTGGCATAGATGACACAGAGCAGGGGTAGAGAGTGAGGAACACAAAGCTATGCTGTGTCAGCGGTCGATCGTTGCCAATAATAAAAACGAGCTACGTCCAGCCTTCCTCCTCTATCACCCCTTCGAGCCCAGCTACGCCATCCACTCCCGCCCCGCTCAGAGCCTTGAGTAGCACGACCTCCTTGTGAGCTTCGATGGCGTCGATTGTCTCGTCCGTTGTTGCGGGTCTCCGTCCATTGCGATGAAGTGCTGGTAGGATCTTACAGGCAGCCTTATGACCATTCTTGTGAGTGGCGAGCCGGACGTGAGCTTCCAACAGTGTCAGCATATCATGCGGAAGAGTTCAACGGAGGTCGTACCGTATGCACCTCTACCCAACGTTGCTCCTAGCTTCCAATCGCCGACTTGGTCGAGTACACTCCGGGGTGTCTGATGGTTAGCGTTCATTGTTTGCGGGAATCGGGTGAAAGGCGGATCGGTTGAGAAGGGCAAACGTAAGGTTGGCGGCGCGAAAGGAGACTCCATGCTGCGAGGAAGCTGAGGAGGACGGGGTGTGCAGGGGGAAGGGGATATCAGGACTGGAGGATGTGTGAGATAGAAAGAAGAAAGTAAGAGATGCAAATGCAAAAGCTCAACCAACATTACCATCAGACACGCTCGGGCCCTCGGTTGACGCGACTCGCGGGGGTCCGTGCGCACTATTTCAACATGGCATGTCTCCCTTTGCCCGCCCATGTATTATTATTGTACTGCTCTTGCATTATCGATGATTATAGGTAGGCATGAGGCGTCGTACAACGTACAGGTTCGTCCTGCGGGCTACTCAAGGGTGTGTCCTTCCTCGAGGCAGGGATCGCCCCCCCGGTCACCCAACCTTCCTGGAAGGTTTCGCAGTCCGTGGCAAATCGCTCTCTTGCGCCATACTGGGTCACGAAATACGCTTCTCCGTTATCCAAAGGACGGCACTCTCTCCAGTTTCAGACCCTCCTTCATTTCTTATCTTCGAGGGGAGTAGGATGCCCCGCCTCCTCCGCCTTCTTCTCCGCCTCTTGGGCCTTGGCCTTTGCCCTCCTTCGAGCCCTCCATATCGGACCATACTTGACGATCAGAAGCAAAAGCGGAGACGAAGCTACACATATAGCTGAAAGGAGGACGAAGCACCATCCAACACCCATGCGATCGCAGATCAGTTGGACAGTGGATACCGTCACGGCACCAAAGGCACATCGAACGAGGTTGAACTACGTCTCGAGTCAGTATGAGTGTGTTCCGAACCGACGAATTGCGTACTGAAGCTGTGACAGCTCCACCCTTTCCTGGTACACTATCAATCCCGTAGATAGTGGCTGTGATTTGTCAGCGAGCCGCAGTGTCCTTGTTCGGGAGAATGACGTACTGGTGGTAAGGAAGCCTGTCCCAACCCCGACAAAAAAGTTGAGTACGACCGGCACAGCCATAGGAGCATGGGCTTCCATACTCCACCCCACGCCCAGGATAGAAGCCACCAGTATGCTGCGCTGAGGTTAGAATAGCCATCTCGAGGCGGGCAGTAGACTCACGTCAGCTGGAAAGGTAGAATGATTAAGCGGACTCGCTCAAATCGGAATGTCTCGGGGCATTGTCTGTGGTCACCTCCTACTCGCTTCTTTTCTCTCTGATACATGATATCCATGATGCGGCCTGACAAGTAGCCGGATATCGCCGATCCGGCTCCGTTCGGGCTGAAAGATGTTAGCAAGAGTCTCGAGAGAGGGAGGGGAGTTCTCACATGTAGCAAAGACCGATGATGACATCGTTCTTGCCATACTCTGTCTTCAGCAGCGTCGAGAAGATGGTTCTGATAGATGACAGGTTAGAAGAGTCTTCTCCAATACTATCAAACCGCGCTTACAGAAGAGCATACCACAGGGCGTAGTACAAGGATGATGACAAGAACATGAGGGCAATCTCAGGCTCCAACAAGAGCGCGAAGGATGACCAAGGCTGGAACTGCATTGCCCATGTCAGCTCCAAACGTTTGCGATATTCATCTCGCGACTCACCTTTGCCCTATGGGTGGTGGAGACTGGCAACTGCTCTCCTCGCTCCTCCAACATCTTCTTCTCTTTCCTTCTTTGCAGATATATAGGAACGGTGCAATTGGTCAAGGGAGGTGGAATTGAGCCGTCTCCCACTAGTGATCGAAGAGTCTCTGGGAAGAAGCTAGAAGTCGGTCAGCTGAAGATGGATGGCAGGGTAGCCAAAGAAGACTCACAAGATCATCGGCACCGTCACTGCACCGCAGAATATGACCAAGAACCAAAAGATTGACCGCCATCCTAGGCCGTAAGACAATAAACCACCTATCAAAGGGCCCACTTGTGGAGTGTCAGATTGCTTTCATCCGTGCCAAGATATACGCACAAGTGGGGCCCATTGTAGACGTCAGATTGAAGATTCCCAAATATCTCCCTCTCTCTTGAGGTCGAGCAATGTCTGCGATGATTCCAGCTCCGATAGCGATGACAGGAGATCCGCCCGACGATTGAACGATGCGCATAAGCATGAGCAGCCAGTAGGCGTTGGTGGGACACAGCGCGCTTCCGACACATCCCAGAAGGTAGACGAGAAGACATATGATGAAGATCGGGCTATGAAATCGTTAGCTGGCTCAGAGGTGACCACAGAATGTTGCTCACCGTCGGCCATATGAATCTCCAGCTGACCCCCATATTGAAGGAGTCAGCGCCTGAAAGATGAGGTATACTGTGACCGTTATATTGATCTTCTCGGTGGTCGTATGGAATGCTTCCACTAGAGTAGGGATAGCAGGAGCATAGATGATGGTCGATATTGGCCTATTGAGCGTCAGACACTGGACCCACTAATCCCGGCATTGCTCGACATACGAAAAGATGGCGCCCAAGGCACTAAAGATAACGATAAACCACTTCTGCCCGTCGGAGAAGGCGCTATATGGCTTGTTGGACGTTGTGGTCAAATTTGTTTGGGCAGGCCGCAGGTCGGGGAAGCCGCTTTCAGGCCGTCCTTCGTCGGGCATCTGCACGGCCCCTGCAGCTCCAGCTGCAGTCACGGATATCATCCTCTCCAGCCCCTCTGGGCCATCATAATATCCTTCTCGCTCCGGCGATTGCGTCTCTGGATCCACTTGTGTTGGTGTGCGTTCGGGTTCCTTGGATATCGTCCGTGGGGACATGACTGGCTGGGTCCGAAAGCTTGGGTGAAAGTTAAAGTGACGAGCAATGTAGAAAATTTAGATCAGATGGTAAAGATGCAGAACAGACCTGCCGACTTATTCAGCTTCCTGCATTTCACGTCAATGTCTTGACGTGCTCGGATGTTTGCGGCGTATGTACTCTTGCGGAGCTCAGGCAATGGTCATTGGATGTACATAAGCTAGACAACCCGGGGAAACTCGTCAAGAGCTCGATGCGGGGCCAGCTGCACACTCTAACTACGCGCTCTCCACCAATCTGCGTGTTTGTGATCATAAGAAGCGGCAAATGAAAAATACCATCTCGTTACTGTTCGGCCGCATCCGATAATTTTCGGCCGAAAGATAAGAATAGATAGCGGAGGTCACCGCGCCGTTGTGTTGGTGGAGCTGATTTCGTGTAGCAAATGTTTCCCAAGGTAGCATACTATTGACTGGACATACGGGCACCAGTGGTAGAAATGATCAAGGTGCTACATTGTGGGTTCTAGTCCTGTCGTCTTGGCACTGGTGGACGCAAAGTCGAAGAGAGTCGTCCAGCGTGAATGACATGGAGTGAGAAGGCCTGTTTGAATGGATGGTAATGCATCATGCGAGTCCCTACTTCTGTTACAATGTGCAGTGCTGTGCGTTGTTTGCAATCAAGTGACCTTCATCGGGGGAGTGAGCATGTCCTGATATTCGAGCATTACATACACATACACTTCGTTCTCTAATCTTCTTCACTCTCAACATCCATATCCATTTCCTCCTCGCCCTCTCCATCCTCCTCTGCCCCTTCCTCCTCATCGCTATCCTCAATGTAATCCCTGCTCTTCTTTGCTGCACCACCCTTCTCCTTTCTTGCCCGCTTCTTCTCCCTTTCCCTGGCCTCTATTCTTCTCTCGGCCGCCTCCATCTCATCCTCCTCCTCGTCATCCGTGAACCCTCCCTTTCTCTTCTTCCCCTTACTCTTAGCCTTTCCTTTGCCCTTCTTCTTTGAGCTATACCCGCCGTCCGAGTCCGAGTCAGCGACGACGAACCCATCATCATCCCCATATTCGAAAGTGTCTCGCTCAGCCCCACGCTTGGGCCGGTCGTCTCCAGAGTAGCCAGCTTCCGACTCGGTATCCGAATATCCAATCTTCCTGGTCTTCTTTCCCTTTCCCCCGGCACCCTTGCTCGCCACTGCACGCTTGCTAGTCGTCGCCTTTGCCCCCTTGATAGCTTCTCTATTGGGAGCGCTTCTCAAGAGCAGCTCTTGCAAAGCATCCTCATCCTGCGTCTCTTCCAGCATCTTCATCTTGGAATGCTTGGTATGCTGGGCACCAACATGCTTGACAAGCTCCAGATAGGTCTTGCTCTGCATACTCGTGGGCAGCAAGTTCAACTGTCCCGCAATGGGCTTTTCAGTGACGAGAACCCGCTCGGCGGCAGCACCGACACAGAGGAAAGTGGTAGAGGTGTTTTGGGCGGGAGGAAGGGCTTCGCGCTTCTTTGTTGGGGGAACGGGGTCGGAAGGTCGGGAGAGGGTGGTGCCATGGGAAGCGGCGAGGTCGTAAAGGTCATCGCCTAGTTGAAGGGAGACGGATCCATCAGACCAGCGGAGCATCCTCGCGTTACTTTGGCGCGTCTATGCGCACGTCAGCCAGTGCTCAGGCGATTGAGGGTAAAGACGTACAGGCTCTCCATCCGGCCCAGTCACCCACTTCCACCTGATGGTATTCTTCACTCCAATCATGTGGCTCTTGGCTGCTATAGGTTTCTCTGTTGGATCTGGTGCCTCGTCTGCCGTGGCGCGATAGTAATCCGGGTCGAATGGCTGAGAGTCGAGGTTGATGTAGGCGGGAAGCTTCATTTGCCAAATCTGTCCTCCTCATCAGCCACCGAAATCAGGCGCGTGGATCAGACGCACCTTTCCATCCGTAGCAGAAAGATGGGGCCATTGGGGGACAGCGATGGTAACGACATTTTGCTTTCCTGGTCCAGCGTCCTCGTCCTCTTCCGCATATTCCAATGGGTTGGGTGTTTGCGAACCAGATCGTGCTGTGCCGGTGCTGGCTTGCCTCCTTCTTGGGGCTTCTTCCTCCTCGTCATCGTCACCAAACTAATACACCTATCAGCATGTATAGAGGGTACAAAACGTAGACGGACCAAGTCGCCGACATCCTGCTCTTCAGTCTCGGACTGGACGGGTTCTTGCGCGGGGGCAGTGGTCGATCGAGCTGGGGAGTTTTCGCGGCTGTTGTTGGAGCCGCCAAAGAGGTCGCCTGCTTCTGATCCAGACTCGGACATGGTTGCTGCTTGCTTGTAAAATGTATATGGGGCCGGACGTGGAACGCGAAATGCAAGAGGAGATGGAGGTGCCACGCCCGGAAAAGGGCGGCGTTAGTCCAGTCTCGCTTTCCGAGCATCTCAGGCATCCCCTATGTCGCCAGCCTCCCCTACAACAAATCACCACTCACCATGGCCTCCCGATTCGCCCTCAAGACCCTCAGGTCCGGTGGTAAGTCTCCCTCCCGCCCACCGCCCCTGCGAAAGAAGGAATACGGAGCATGAGAGCGGACGGACCCAACGCCGAAAATGACCGACAGCGTGCAAGATGGGGGGTTCGGCCGATGGGGTGCTATGCATGGGGGTGGTGCTGATGAACATGTGCTGTAGCTCTCGCCAGGCCTGCTGTTGCTCCCCGAGCCATGGCCGCTCAGAGGTGAGTGGAATACGTGCACGAAAAGCCGGGATACGTATACTAACGATTTGCTCTTAGCGCGCGATTCCTCGCTACCCGTATGTTTCAAGCATCAACATGAGAGAATGAAAATGAATGGGGTGCTGATGAGAGTGTTTAGAGCCCACCCCCGACGAGAAGGCGTCCGAGATCATCAACGCCGTCCCCAGCTCTTCTCTTTTCACCAAGACTGGTGGTGTCTTGCTTGGTACCGGTTTGACCGCCGCTGCCGTCTCTTCTGAGCTCTACGTGAGTATCATGCTTCTGGATGGATGGGCTAGATGGAACTGTGGGAAGGAATTGGGAAATGGCGAAGGGAAATAGCGAAGAAATGAAGGATGGTGACATTGGAGCACGCGCTGACCCTGTCTGCAGGTCGCCAACGAAGAGACCGTCCTCGCCGTCGGTTTCCTCATCATCGCTGGTGTCATCGGCAAGTCTGTCGCCTCTCCCTACGCCGAGTGGGCCAAGGGCCAGATCGAGAAGACCAAGTCTATCCTCAACGGTGCCCGTGAGGAGCACACCCGTGCCGTCTCTGACCGAATCGAGTCTGTCCAGCAACTCAAGGACGTCGTTCCCCTTACCGAGTCCCTCTACGCCGTCGCCAAGGAGACCAACGTCCTCGAGCACGCCAACTTTGTGCTCGCGCAGGAGAACGCTGTCAAGGCCGAGCTCAAGTCTGTCCTTGACTCTTGGGTGAGGTACGAGCAGCAGCAGAGGGAGGCTGAGCAGGTTGCGCTCGTCAAGTCTATCCAGGCCAACGTCGAGTCTGAGCTTGCCAAGCCCGCCTTCAAGAAGCAGCTTTTGGAGGAGGCTTTGTCTCAGGTCGAGCGTACGTTGAGTGTATACCTGGGTGAGGGTCGAGCTGACATGTTCTGCAGAGATCGCCAAGTCCAAGGCTATCTAAGCTTAGCAATAGAAGGGAGGAAGCAGAGAGAAAAAATGGTGTCGCAAGTCGGCGGATGTACTAGACTTGCTCACAAAATCAAAATGAAGACAATGACCATCCCAAGATATCGTACAAATACATTTGCTACGACACTTAATAACTATTCACAAAATCTCTCGCCTCGGTCTTCTGTCTATCTTGGTTTTGGCTTGCTGCTCGAGTCTCCTCCTGAATCACCTTCGGATCTGTTCAACGCCCTTTTGGATCTCGTCCGCACCTTTGGAGGCAACGCCTGCGGGGCGCTCGCCCTTGTGGCTAGATTGTTGGGCCACGGCAGCAGCATCGTTTCCCTGGAGCTGCTCGCCGGCATTGTCGAGGAAAGAGTTGACGTTGCCACGGATGCCCTCGCCAGTGCCTGAGGGGGTGTTAGTCGGTAGATGGATATTTATGGTGTCGTAGCGTACCATGGAAGACTATCATGGGTCAGCACCAGACGAGGAGACAATCAGAAAGAACCCACCGTTCCAAGAGCCCTTGATCTTGTCACCGAGGCCTATTCTCTGTCAGTTGCAGGCCCGGCGGCGAAGACACCAACATACCTGAAGCAGCCTGAGATCCAGCGCTGTTGTCGACGCTAGTGTAGTCGGTGTTGTATTTGGTGTTAGATGTCATTTGATTGGGATCTGAGAGTGCTGTTTGATAGAGAAGGATGTGAAGATGGAGACGAGAGGCAAAATGGCCACGCAAAGTATTTATGCAGATGTGGGGCATGGAGTAACGTCATGACGGAAAGCGACGTTCGAAGACGTCGGCGACTGACCGTCTTGCTCACACAAGCTATGGATGTTCTCGCCTCTTTGGCTTATCCCATAATATGTCTCTCATACAGTCAGTTCTGCTGTACCCCTTACCCCGGCTCCTGTAGCATTCCTTGTGCATAGATGCAAATGCCTGGAGAGCGAGAGTCAGCTTATGGGATGTATGACGTCACCAATAACCCCTTCTGCCTCGAGGCATTCACTTTCACTTATGTAGCTTATGTAGTGATTCGAAGTCCCAAGTCCCAGTGGCCATGTCAGCCATAACCCTCCCAGACACATCCTCCGTCCCCGTCCATTCCCTCGACACGCTGCAGCAAGACGCTCTGCTGCCCATCTGCAAGGCATGTGGCACCCAATATTCCAAGCCTCGCCCCGACTGTGTGTTGACCTTTCTCATGACCTCTGACATGTCGAGGGCTGAAAGTCCTGTGACTTACAGGCCCTATATGTGAAGACCCTCGGCAGTATGTTCCTGTTACAGGTCAAGAGTGGACTTCCCTTGCAGAGCTGGGCTCTGGCAGGAAGCACATCCTCCAGCCGGACGAGGAAGACGCTCGCATCAATCACATCATGACCGAGCCTGGGTTCGCCATCAACCAGACACGTATGTCTTGATTGCTTGCTGTGCAAGCAAAGAGAAGCTGATAGCCGTATAGCCTTCTTGATACAGACTGCCGAAGGATCTTACATCTGGGACTGTGCTGCCTTCTTGTCCGTGGGATTGATCGGTCATCTGACAGCGCTGGAGAAGCCTCTGAAAGCCATGGCGATATCACATCCTCATGCAAGTACCACCCAGCGTATCAACCGACTTGGCTGATACTCTCCAAGTTTTTTGCTACTTCTCTGACCTGGGCAAGAGCACTCAAGATACCTCTCTACATTTGTGCGTCCGACCAGACATGGTTTGCGAGAGCAGAAGACTTGGAAGATGGTGATGATGTGAGATTTTGGTTGGGCGAAGAAGTGCTTGGGCCAGGTGTCAAGCTTGTCCAGTGTGGAGGGTGAGCTTCCACCTGAACTATAGAAACAAGCTGAATTGAGTAAGCCACTTCCCCGGATCCTGCGTACTTCACTGGGATCGCCTCCTCGAGCCACCTCCTCCCGCAGACAACCTGCCCACCAACCCGACGCCCGTCTCTGGCATCATATTTGTCTCTGACACGCTCATGATCCGTCCTGCCCAAACTCACTTTTCCTTCCTCTGGTCCATTCCCAACTCTATTCCCCTCCGCCCGCAGTACGTCCTCGGCATTCAAAAGGCGCTGGAGGGGGTGAATTTCACGCAGGCGACTTGTGCGTGGAGGAATTTGTGGATTCGAGATGGGGCGAAGAAGGCTTTGGGAGAGAGTGCGGTGGAGTATATCGCAGGGGAGGGGTGGAGGGTGGAGAATGGTAAACTGGTGCCGCTTCTGACTCAATAAAGGGTACAATGTGATCCCTGAGGGCAGTCTTTGTTAAGTCGGGTAACATGACTATGACGGATTGTGAGAATACTCACTGTATATGATGAGCAACGAAACCAAATGATTGGATGGGATATTGATATTCAATTTCTTTTTTTACTCAGAACTATAAAGTGTGACGTCGGGTAGCTATGATTTGATTCATGACATTTTTGGATTATACTGAACTCACCCCCAAGCCACGCCGATAGTTGTAGGGGGGTTTTAAAATGATCAGTCAACGTATATGCAAAGCGTGTCGTGGCTATTATCGTTGCATCTCTATACAAACAAGATTACCCCACTCTTAACAAGAGATGGTCTTGAAGACGTTGAACGAATCCGACGCCGTGCTGATGACCATACCCGGGATTTGAGGATGCCAGTGCACCTCCTTGACATCCTTCTGCCCTTGGTGCACAAACAGCAACTGCGGCGGCACCGTCGTCAAGCCCTCACCACCACCCACAGCAGGCTGCACAATAGGAGCTTCATCCTCATCAGGCTCGACAGACAAGTCCCAAAGCGTGAGCTGGTCGTCGGAACCAGAGGCGGCAAAGACGGAAGTGTCAGTGGGGTGCCATTCGACGGAGGTTATGGGGGCGGTGTGCCAGTTAAATGAGGCGACGGGGGTAGGAGCGCTATGGCACGTCAGGACAGTCAAAATGGAAGAGGCAGAGTTACGTACTTGCTGAACATTCTCAAATCCCAGACCTTTAAGCCACCCTCGTCACCACCAGATACCATCAAGTAGTCGACACCCTTATTCCAACTAATCACATTCACATCATCGGGGTGCGCATTGTCTACACTGACCACACTCTTCCTGCCCTTGGCTCGGACATCCCAGACCCTTACTGACCGGTCCGCAGAAGCAGACGCAAAGACGGTAGGTTCTGAGGGAGACCATTGCAGATCTTCAACAGACGAGGTGTGGGACAGGTAGGGTTGGGGGGAAGTGGTGAAACCGGTAGGGGTGAGGGTCGTGAGGAAGATCTTGCGGTCAATGTCACCAGTCAACAGACCGGTCTGTCCCCATTCCACAGCGAAACCCTCGCTCCTGCCGTGGTTGGTGATGGTGTGCACCGGCAGCTTCTGCTTGGGTTTTGAGGGGCCGGAAAGAGAGTCGAGGTAGGGGCGGACGTCAAAGATGTGGACTTTACCAGTCTCGGAGAAGGTGGCGACGTGGTACAGGTCGGTGGGCGTAGAGTTGGAAGGGGGAGGGGCGGCACGGATACGATTCACACTGCCGACGTGGGGGATGGTAAGGAAATCCAAAGTGGCATCCTCGTCGTTCGCATCGTCGTCTTCCTCCTCTTCATCATCATCATCGTCGTCGTCGTGCTGAGTCTTGGCCAGATTGCCGAGGCGCATAATGACAACCTCGTCCTTAGCCTTGCCTCCTTGCCCAGGAACTTCGCCAGCCTGAGTTCCGGTGACAATGTAAGCTGTGTGGGGGAAAGTAGCTCTGTCGGAACCAAGGTTGTCGCGCAGGACGTCGAAGGAGAGACAGGGCCAAGAGTAGGAGAGGGAATGGAGACAGGGATAGACAGAGTTGTCGGCAACAAGCTGCTCGTTCTCCGCCATAGCAGTACCCGGAAGGTATGTCTGGAGGGGAGCAGGCGCAGGCTCAGTGTCTTCCTGAGCGGGAGTGAACTCTTCTATAGCACGCTTAGTATTGGATAGCCATATAGCCTCTCCAACTCACCATCGTCTTCAGCCTCGGCGTCAATGACTTCCTCCTCGCTTTCAATCTCGTCCTCCCATCTGTCCTCGAACTCGCCCATGCCCTCCTCGACGGTCTCTGCCTTCCTGGCGGTCTGTTGTCCGGTGGCGGCAGACTTGGCCTGGGGGAGGTTGGCTGCTTCTGACGTTCGCTTGCCCATGGTCGTGATAGTTTATTCTTTGGATGAAAGAGAAGAGTGGACAACCGGATGACCGTCTTTCTTGCAACTTTTTTGGATTTACGTAATCAATTTCCACCATTCAACTCTTTCTTTCGCGCGACTTTTCCATCTTGCCTATACATCTCCCGCCCCCGCCATGTCCCTCAGAACAGCCCTCAGAAGATTTGCTACCTCCGCCCGTCTCTCACAGACACCCGCTGTGGCCTCGGCTGCTGCCCCCTCGGCTCCCTCGGCGCCCTCGGCTTTCAGCGACATGTCCCAGCTCCTCGCTACGCCTTCATCATCTTTCGCTTCTGCGCCCGCTACTCCTGCTGTAGTCTCTAAAGAGGCAGTAAGGGGATACTCACCCGATGCGGTCCCTCCTTCTGAAGACCCGAGCTTGGATCTGTTTACAAATTGCTTGATGAAGCACGGGAAGAAGACGGAGGCGCAAAAGATGGTGCAGAGTGTCTTGAAGCTGTTGTATGTCTGTCTATATTAACACGCTGAGTGGTGCTGACGGGTGGTACACAGACACCAAACGACTGCCCAGCCCCCCCAGCCCCTGCTCCGCCAATCGATCCTCCTCGCCTCACCCTCCGTCAAAATCCTCTCCATGCGCAAGTCTGCAAAGACAATCCTCACCCCTCGAGCTCTTACTGAGCGCCAGCGTTCCAGGCAGGGTATCGCGTGGATCTTGAAGGCGGCCGAAAAGGGAAGGAAGAGTGGAGTCAGCCGAGACCAGAGAATCGCTAGGGAAGTGTTGGCGGTGCTTGAAGGGACCAGCGATGTATTCAAGTGGCTGGAGGATGTCCACAAGAGTGGTTACTTGAACAGGTACGCTGGAAGTCTGGGGTATGGAATTGGCTGACCTTGCGTTTAGATCCAACATGAACGCTCGTTAGAAGTAGTCGCATATGCATTTTCAACCTTTGGGATCTTGGCTCGTCCGTCAAATCATCTTGCTAACCTTTCCTAACTCCACGATACCAGTCTTCCAGTCAGCCACCATGGTACTGTCAACATGAACTGCCACTGACACCCCCTTGTGCGCTATTCAAGGACATGCATTTGTTCGCGATTGACTATACACACTTTTACACCTTTTCGTCCTACACCACCATGCCTTAATTCAACCCAAGAAAGAACTATGAGAATTCTTATCCTGGTCGCCATCATATCTTCATTCACATCACCGTATCAAAGCTGCAGAGGATCACTCAGCACCCCTCTCAAGACGGAGGCTTAACAGCAACCATCTCGACACACCTTTCTCTTCTTCTTGGGCTTTTCATTCTCCAGATCAATTTCGTCATCGTCTTCGTCATCCTCTTCATCGTCTTCGTCCTCGCTGTCGAGCATGTCGGCAGCGTTTGCGGCGCCTCGACCATCAAAGTAGGCAAAAGCGTCGGGAAGGATGTCATCCTTGAGGATGAAACCGAACTGCGGCAGTGTCAGCTCCTGCCCCTGGGTCATGTAACTCTACGAGAAGCAGTAAAGAAAGCGAATGGGGGCGCACGTTGAACATGTCCATCTTCTCGACAAAGTACCAGAAGAAAGTTCCGGGATCGCCCTCGAATCCATCCTCCAGATCATCGGCCTCGCCGTTACCGGCAGCCTCGCCCTGCATCTTGCGAGGGAATTGGGCAGTGAGGTCCTGGTTGGGCTTCCAGTCGATTGTCGATGGCTAAATCTCCCTTTAGCTTGGGTCCAGGTAAGAGGAGAATGGTTAGAATACCTCGACGACAAGAGAGTCTTCGTCAAACTCGGCGAGCTCTTCAGAGACGTCCTCTCCAGTGACAGGCTTCGTGTCCGGACCCAAAGAGTACTTCTTGGAAATAGACTTGTTGGTAAAGTAAGGGTTCTCCTTAAAGTGCTATCATCCACGGTCAATATACGGCGGATTGGTGAGAGATATGAATTTTACGAAGACAAGCTCAAAGGGTCGGAAATCATTGACGTCCTGCTTGAGCTCGATATCCTGGAGGAAAGAGAGCGCGTGTTGGTCCACCTTGGCGGTGAGGTGGGCAGCGACAGCTTCGTGGCTCATCTATCCATAATATTGTCAGCTCTCATCTCGCTTCTGGCCTTACCCAATGTCTTGAGACCAATGGACAGGAGTGGAGATATAAAGACGAACCAAGGCGATCAGCCAAAAGTTGTCGATATCCTTGACCTTGGGCCTCAATTCATCGAGGTACGCCAAAGTCTCCTTGACCTGGAATCGGTTGAGGCGGACATTCTTGGCTCCTTCCTCTGCGATGTATGTCAATTGCGGACCAATGATGGACGGAAGACGGTGAGAGTGACGTACTGGTCTCGAGCTCCTTGCGAAGAGATTCGGAGATTTCTACCATGACAGTCAGCTACATTATCTCAAGAGCACCAGTGGACATACCGGGGGCGGTGATTTGGAAGTCCTGGGCGGCAGACATGGTTTGTGGATGTGCGTTGTGAAGAAATTGAGCAGGATGCACGATGGAGCCGGTGTCAGTCGCAACTTTTAGTGGTTTGGGTTTCGGGCTGCCCATTGCGCGCGTTGTGGGGTTATACACTCAAACGCAGACGGGCGGGAAATCTATCACCTCTTTCATTTGGAGTCCTTCTTTGCGTCCCATGCTGTTCCGTCTGATTGTTGATCAAGTGGTCAGGGAGTACAAGTCACAATCACAACATCCATAGAGACCTACGCCTGATAAAATGATAAAAGTGTCAGACAGATTTTTTTGTAAGATTTTTTGTTATACTGTTCTTCAACAGATTCAAAAGCGGAACACGACTCAACGAACGACAAGACAGAAGAAAGCTATCCGAATAATTGACTAGGCTGAACTAAGAACACAAAAGCAGGATCCGTACCACCCATCTTCAACCCCATCCCATACAAAGCCTCCTGCTCTTTCCAATCAATCTCCTCCTCCTCATCCTCGTCCTCCTCCCGACTCAACTCTCCAACTCTCATCGGCGGCGTGCCACACACCTCCGTATCATCGCCTTCGCTACTCGTGGTCGAGCTCGACATCGATCTGAGCAAGGGAGGAGGCAGGGCGGAAAAGTCGTCGACATACTCTTCAAAGTCTGTAAAGTAGTCGTCGATGCCTGGGTATAGAGCGGCAGGGATCTGGAGGGGGGATGGTTCGGGAAGAGGAGAGAGAGGGGGAGAAGTGGCGTACTCGAGGTGGGTGGTGGTGGGAAGAGACCAGTGGGTAGATTGAGTGAGGGCAAGTACGTCCTCGTCCGAGATGTCAGACTCGTCATCGTCGACCTCGACCACATCGACGCAGCTAGTCGAGGCGCAATGTGCAGACTCGAAAGCAGGCGTAGAAGGGGCAGTGGGAGAAGTAAAGGTGAAAGCCTCCATGCCGTCGACGTTGAACTCGAGGTCCTCGGGAATGGTGACGTTGCTCTCGACCCACTCGTGCTCGTGCTCGCTGGCCAACTCGTCCTCTTCCTCGTCCAGACTCGTGACAATGTCTTCAAACCACCTCTGCTCGCTCCTCTCCAAGTCCCCCTCTTCTTCTTCTTCGTACACCTCGAGCCCCATGGCACTGTGGGAAGACCAGTTGGTCATTTCGATCTCCTCACCATCGCTGACGCTCTGCCAGGCGGAGCGGACGGCCTCGCGGACGAGGATACCCTTACGGAGGTCGAAACCTTCGTCGTAGGCGATCCCGTCGAGCATAGAGAGCTTGCGCTCCGAGATGTGGAGGAGGCGGGAGCCGAGAGGGGTGAGGGAGGGGCTGGCGTCGGAAGTGAAGCGCATGATGGTATCGCTAATGTGTGTGGTGGTGTAGGCGGAAGGCGAAAAACGCGTAGTAATGTTGTGCTCGTTGAGAGCTCTCGTTGTAGTAGTAGTAGTGATAGAACTAGACGGTGTAGCCGGAAAGGCAGGCAGAGACTCGCTCAGTCGTAGAGGGGTAGGGGTAAAAGGGGTAGTGTCTGGCCTGGGGGCGGACTGTTTGTGGTGGGCAGTGGGGCGCGGTCTCGATAGAGATCGGTGTGTGGGGTGGGGGAATGGGAAAGCAGCATCTTGGGTGGCGGTGGTGGGGTAGCTGTCGCTGGTTGCGGACGACGTGTTGGGTGTGTATTAACGGGTAGCTGGTGTAGTGTTGGTCGCGCGGGGTATTTAGCAGCACATGATGAGTGATGCTAGCAGGTAGGGATATAATAGTAGTGCGCGTGGGAGATGGGGAAAGAGAAAAGAGATGGGAACGGGGATTATATATATTCGAGTCGCGAGTCCAGTCAGCTCAGGCACGGGATTATTCAGGATCACGGCATCGATCGGCTTTCTTATCAAGCATCCTGCAACGAAGAATGGGGGAATCGTCCACCAACAGGGTACCCCCAGGGTATTTCCTTCCTCTATACACAGCCATACTATACATCCTGCCTTGCCTCTCCTCTACACACCCGCGAAGACCGGCGGGTCCTCTTTTTCAGCACGACATGCAAGGAAAACTATCTATCGGCTACCTCCGTGCAGGGGCCAGATCCAGCCTTCCAGATCTCCCTTTCATCGGGTCGGGCGGGTCATCGAGTGTGGCAAAAGTTCCAAAAAGTACTACTATGCCGACGCTTCGCAGCTGGCAACGATTGGCCAAGAGCAGGCTGATTCATCGCAGATGGCGTGCAATTGTGCATTCAGTGCCAACAATCACGGATATGGAAAGCTATAACATGCTTGAGTACAGTTTATGTATTCAGCACTAAGAAGTAGCGTGGTGTATGCGCTTACAGGCTATATATGTCGCGGGAGGATGTAAAGCCTGGATATACAAGTACAGACTGCACGCACTCATGACACCACTCCTCGTCAATCAACCCGGCAGCTCCGCCAGCCATCGCCCACCATCGCCTAACTCGGCCATCCCGTCGTCGATCTCGCTTGCTCTTTGGGTCCGTCAGCCAAGTGTGCCTTCTATTGGTGGAACGCAATCACGAATATGGATGCTCAGCTCGCGCAGGCTTTCCCGGCTTTCAACGGTAGCGACGGCGGCGGCATAGCCTATTAAGGCTAAGAGCGGTCGAGAACCCCGAGAACTCGGCTCTTCACCTTCTGTATCTGGATTCCACCTATCGGGTCGCTTACACTCCGTATACATTGCTAGAGCGATGCGCATTGCGCGTTGCGAGGCTGCAGTTTCTCCCACTGGGTATGAAGAGCCAATGAATCGTGTCCTACAGAGCTCGGATGTATTCTGCTTTGAGAGTCGGAATGCCGCAGAGGGCTGCATGCCGCCGGAACCGAGACGACGAAGTTGGAACCTCGACAAGGCCCTTGAGGGCTCGACGGGACTATGATCGAGCATGGCCGGAAGTAGTCCAATCGTTGATGCGGAGTGAGAACAATGCAAGGCCATCAACGCGAACGCATCCTCAACTGTGGTCGTTGAAGGACTGAACAACCTTGACAGCTGAGCATCAAAAACGACACTCTTATAGATGGTGACAGAATTAGTATTAACTGCAGGACAAGATGTGTAGCTATGCATAGCAGACGTTTCAACACTAGATACACACATAGATAGATATCGCTCTTGGTACATTGGGAGTACAGCTTCCCACCCAACTCACCTCCTTGATGTCGAAACCGCCTTCTTCTATACCCCTTGTTTGCGTGTAGATTTTAGATTTCTATTGCTGGACGAGATCATCTACTAGATTCGCAAACGTATCGTAAACATGATCTGGCGGGTACTCTGTCGTCCTCTCGACGCCTTCACGATACTTGCCTGTTTTGACTATAGCGCGTCAGCACATTGTCCTCATCCCGATATGTACACTAACCCAGCACTCTCTTCAAACCCAGCTCTCTGGCACCCTCTCCCAAATCATTCTCCACATCATCTCCCACCACTGCCACCTCTCTTACATCCCACTCTTCCCCGCCTTGCGCTTTCAGCCGTTCCAGAGCGAGCTCAAAAAAGCTCCTTGTGGGTTTGCCTACAATCTTCGCCTTCGCCCCCGTTGACTCTTCCAGCGCACGGACAAAGGGACCGATACCCAGACTCAGGCCTGGCGGGAGAGAAGCCGAGCCGGGGTCTTGCATGTACATTGCCGCGTGGGGCGCTATCAGAGCTGGCTCTGCTTTTGGTCTATCCTCTGAGTCCTGGGTAGAGAGCGGTTCGCCTTTCAAGACGCGGAAAGCGCGGTTGAGGGGTTCGTAAGAGAGGGATTCGGGGTGAAGGCCGAGAATGACAGAATCGTATGGCGCCGAGTCGGAGAAGGAAGCAAACTCTTCTTGCGCAGAAGGGGACATGAGCAATAAAGGTCGCCTACAGATTATGAGCTCTTGCAAGACGCAGCAGACCGGCCAAGACGCACTTGTATCCTCTCTCCTCGACGAGCATCTTGCAAGCTCCCAAACTCGTCAACAACTCTTCCTTCCTCGCCTCAAACCCCATCCCCTTCAGCTTTCCCAGCAGACTCGAGCTGCTTTCCTTGGTAGAATTGGAGCAGAATATGAATGGGATGCGGGCCTGGCGTAGGCGAGTGAGGGCTTGAACGGCAGAAGGCGTGGGGTCGGAGCCAATGTGGAGGGTGCCGTTTAGGTCGATGAGGAGTGCTTTCAGCTTGAGAGGGTTCCTGTGGATGTTAGCGGGGTTATTGTGTAGAAGGACAGGACTTACTTGGACATGGTTCAGAGTGATACAAAATCGTGAAAAGACGAGTTGATAGTGGGAAAAGGGATTACCATGGCGCGTCACGGCCAACCGCTGGCTCGACGCAAGCCCCGCGCGTCGGCCGGAGGAGGGACCGACGGAGGGGCTTGTCGCTCTCTGCCAAAAACTCGAGAGCCTGCAACCCGACAAAACTTTTTTTTCGTCCATAACAATCCTGTCAATGCATGCATGTCGTTGGTTTTTCTACGCATATCTCGCGCAGTCCACAGCTACAGATTCATGCAGCTAAATGTGCTTGATGCATGCTGGGAAGTGGTAAACCAGCATCCGGTCCTTACGCTCAGGACTGCCTCTCAGGGTCGAGGCTGAAATCCAGACTCTGATGATCATTAACCCATTCTAACTTTAATGTATAATGATCAACTAACTCCTGTCATGGTCAGCTCACTGTAATTCTGCTTATTTAAGGTCCCATGCCCTCAGCTTACTGTACTTTGGCTTATCTAAGAGTCTCGCGCCGCGGCGGCTGGAGAGGTGTAAGTTGCAGACTTGTCGCTTTTTCATATCGATATTGCTGTCCTTACACAACTGGTAGAAGCATGCATAGAACGAATTGGGCTAGGTAAGATCTGTGGCTACTTATCAGGCAAACAATGGTGCTGATCGCATCAGCGGTTGTTGAGATGCACGCTTCTTAAGCACTCAAAAAACGGGTGATAATTTGCAGGCTCTCGAGTTTTGGCGGGGACCGACAAGCCTCTCACCCGCGGCGACGCTTCGCTCCCGCGGTACGGTTACGTACGCAGGACGAGAGGCTTGTGTCGAGCCAGGGGCCCAGGGCCAACCGACTTGGCGTGCTGTGGCGGTCATCTCCGTAGAACGCAGCGAATTTACCGACGCAGGTAGAAGGCCATATCGAGTCTAAAATCTCTCTATCATCGCACACGAGAGTCAACCGGGTCTCTCCATTACAAAATGCCTATCAGGCCACCCTCCCCTATCTCACTGGGCGCGGGTCTGCCGGCTCACTCCGACCATCCAGTGTCAATGTCCATCCCGACCTGGGACGAGCTCTTCAAGTATCAGGAGGGAGACGAAGTGGTTTGTGGAAGTATGAAGAGTGGTTATCCGCGGATGTTCTTTCACAGGTATATCCAGAAGGTGAGTGATCTGTTTGTGGTATCCATTCCGAGCTGATGATAGGGGAGATCGCCTCAATATGCGTGGACCGGTTCGGAAACCCAGATGAAGACCTCTGTCTCTTGCTCCCGTCTCCTCGCGTTGCTCAAGAAGGACAAGCATACCTGCTACGCCAATCACCCCCCATTCAATCCCGTACTGTCCCCTTCTCAGTCGCCCCCGAAGTGGAGATCCAGGTGCTGCTCTATCCCAAAGACAACCTAGTCGAAGCCAAGGCGTTTTGGCAGTTGACTGGGGATGGGATCTCGTCGAGATTTGCAGAGATGGTAATGGGTATACTTGGGGAGGAGCTGTCGAGTGTGGAGGAAAAGAGCAAAGAAAAGTATCTCAAGAATCAAGAGGTCACACCTGAGCTGGTGTCGGATCTCGAAGGGCTCAAGGGCAAAAGTCTACCGCTCCTCGAGGGTCGTTTGGCTAAGAAGGCGCTGAAGGGCCGCATAGCACGCGGACTGTCACCGGACGATGCCCGTCCTCGCGCACTCAAGGCAGGCTTGAGCTCAAGCAAACCCATCTTGGAAGAAGACGTATACCTCTATCCCACTGGTATGAGCGCTGTATGGCATTGTCATGATATGATACGGCGTGCTAGGAAAGAGAACGTCGCTGAAGGAAAGAGTGTATGCTATAGGTAAGCTCCTTACTTACTACTCTCTATCTGGGCTGATGTTTGTGATAGCTTTCCCTACAAAGATACACTTCGCGTCCTCCACCAATTCGGTTCTGGATGCCATTTTCTCGGCGCCGGAGGCACCGCCGACATACCAGCGCTAGAAGCTATACTCGAAAATCAATCGAAAGACCCTTCACAGGCACCCATTCTCGCTCTAGTAACAGAATTCCCTTCCAATCCCCTCCTCCGCAGCCCGGATCTGGCTCGCCTGAGAGAGTTGGCGGATCAGAACAAGTTTGTCCTCGTGATTGACGAGACGATCGGGAACTTTGTCAACGTTGAGGTGATGCCGTATGCGGATGTTGTGGTTAGCAGCCTGACGAAGATCTTCAGTGGCAGTGGCGATGTCATGGGAGGCGGGTGAGTGCCAGTACATCAGCTTGTGAACATCTACTAATGACTAGCAGTCTGATTTTGAATCCCAATAGCCCCCACTATGCGGATCTTAAAGCTGCACAAGAAACGTCTTTCGAAGACCTCTTCTTCTCAGGGGACGCAACACGCTTGGAGTACAGCTCTCGGGACTATGTCTCTCGTATAATAGAGGTCGACAACAACACTTTCGATATCACCACCTATCTACAAAGTCGCTCCCTGGCGGATGGTAGCACGCCTGAAGACGGCAAAGTAATCAAAACAGTCTACTATCCCCGTTATATCGCCCCAACAACCTACTCCCAATCTCGGCGCTTCCCTACTCTTTCCAAGGGCGGCTTCGGTCATCTCTTCTCCCTCACATTCACTTCCTTGGCCGCCTCGCGGGCATTCTATGACAACCTCGATTGCCTCAAAGGACCCAGTCTGGGTACCAACTTTACGCTGGCAGCACCATTCACGGTCTTGGCTCACTATTCGGAGATGGACTGGACGGAGGAATGGGGGGTGGAGAGGGGATTGATTAGGGTCAGTGTGGGGCAAGAAGATATATCACACTTGAGAAGCGTCTTTGAGAAGGCAGTCAAGGCGGCTGAGGATGCTGATAGAACGTAGAAAGTGATTTTGAAATCATGATATAGTATCATAATGAAATGTCATGCGGAGTCTGTGATACTGTTATTCCCATCAGAACGATGCTTGAATGAGAAGACGTCACTCAACGTCCAACCCCCTTCGACCTATATAAAGTCAAATTGGACTTACGTAACCAGCGTTAAATCCCGGTCGACCGACTCTTGCTTTTGGTGCGATGAAGGAAATTTCAGTGCTCGATTGTGTTCATTTCTATCCGAAAGCGTCCTGCCATGCGCCCCTCGACGTCAATCTTCCCCCTCCTTACAAGGGCATCCGCCCCCGGCCATGCCATTCGACCCCTGCCCCTGCTGCGTACCCTCCACTCCTCAGCCCCACCGCTCGCCCCTAAAAAGAAGGGCAAGTTCATCACAGACCGTCCCGTCAAGGTCGATCGCACTCCCACTTTCCCCGCCCCCGCCAATCCATTTGCGCCCGCACACAAGGGCACACAGTACCCGCCAGTCGTGCTGAGGGTCTTGAGGCATGTGAATTTGCTGCTGGGGTATAATGGGCGGAAGAGGACGACGGCGAGAGAAACTGGAAGAATGATGGCGGGCATCGTAGAGGCTGTGAAGAGGGACAAGCCATTCTGGTATGACGGTGAGCTACGAATGTCTGTTTTGTGGACCAGAGCTGATGGTGAACAGAGTGTGACCTACCGAAAACCTTCCACACCTTCTTCTCCATTCACGTCGTCTACATCGTCATCACTTTAATACGCCTCCGTGCTCTTTCCAACGACATCCCGAACCCGCTTTCCCCCATTCCACAACCCCGTCTGCCAGGCCAGCCCGGCACCACACCCCCTCCTAAATCTCCTTCGCTCCTTGACCGGTACCAAGCCGCCACTACCGGCAACTACGAGTACAAATATCGAGAAGTGCTTCTCACACACTTTTTCAACATCGTTGAGAATGAGATCCGATTGATGTTGGGTGCCGAGATCACGAGGGACAGTGCGATCAAGACGAGGATGCAGGAGTATGCGAACTGGTGGAGAGAGTCGCAACTCACGATCGACTATATCGTCGGCCTGACAGTTTCTGAGAAGGCGGACGAGAGGGCTATTGCCGATGCCGAATTGGCTTCTTGGGTGTGGAGGTTCATCTTTGGTCGACGAGGCGAGGGCGCGAATGGTGAGGGAGAGCTTGTCTATCCTGAAGGAGAAGCGATGAAGGAAGGCAAAGAGCTCGAGATGGCCGAGCAGATCGAAACGATTGTAAAGTTTATTCGAAGGGAGATGGCGAGGTTGGACAAGATCAGCGACAGAGATGTCATTGCGGGCAATGTTGGGTTCTTTGGTCCTATTAGAGAGTAAGGTGGAGCGCGATATGACATGGAATAATGCATCTCCTCGAGGTCTGATTATCTTATGCTGGTGGGTTGTTACATCTTGATGGCAGCGTTCTGGTCTGGTCTCCCGGCCTTGTCTTCCAATCTGAGGACGGTCCCATCGTCGGCAATCACCTTGTATCTCACTGCTCTCGAGGTTAGCTTTTCTCGGTCCAGCATGGAACAAGAACGTGCCTATTCTCCAGGCGCCCTGCGATTGCGGTCTGATCGATGTGAAGTAGACAGTGCCGGCCTCTGATAGCGCTGTCAGCTAGGTCTAGACATTGGGCAACGACTCACGCCTTTCACCCTTCAGTCTAGCGCTCAGGTCAACTCGGCCTTGCATCAGGTTGATCTGCACAATCGTCAATATCATAATCGTCTCATCGTGATTGGACCAACAGTTCCAGAAATCCAAGGTGATCCCAAAGCTATAGTCTGTAAGCCCGTATTCGTACTGACGAACGTAAGAGACTTACCCCACCATTCCTCGACCAGCTTGACATTATCACCCAGCACCGACATGACATCGGGAGAGTTCCTCATCTGGAACGTCACCTGTCTCAATACAGAAGACGAGAGTCGCTCTGCAATTGCGTTAGTCCCGGGTAACGCATTGAATACGACGCAAGACTTGCCAGTGTTGGTAGCGTGCAAGATGAAGAGACCCCAGCCGAGTCCGAGGAGGCCAAGAGCGACGACGAATGGAACCACGCTCTTCTCAAGTAGTCAGCGCCAGTCGTTGCAATGCAGCATTCGCACCTTTGCCTTCGGCAGATCTCTTCCGCCAGGCCTCTCGTAAATCAGCCTGGGCTTACTAGGCCCATCGAACGCTTCATAGACCTCCTCCTTGTTCTTCGGGTCTACTCCCATGAAGATCTTGCCCTTGTGAGGGTTGTTGGCATCAAAGGCTCCATTAGGATTGACGGTCCTGCCTGAAGAAGGCATACCACGAAATGCCTCGGGCCTGTGGAGAGTTTCACGAGGGGTGGCTTTGGATGAGAATACTTCAGGGGTAGGGGTGGACGGGTTCTGGGTTGAGAGAGCTCTTGAGGAGATGATAGAGCACCTAGAGGCGAGAGGGGCCCTCGTGGCCAAGCGGGGAATGCGGGCGAGCATGGTGGTGGGGTGCAAGAGGAGATGGAGAAGAATGACGGAAATCTCGGGCAGAGGGTTTGCCGGCAAACCATCAGACTAGATTGGGACATAAAATGCTATTGGGGTTTTGAACGGAGATTTCCAACATTGATAGCCCGATTCTACATCGGCTGCCTCCACTCTTGCAAAACTTTGAAAGAACAACACACCGGATATCTCGATACCTTTTCTGCTTTCATACACCGTTCTCTACGTCAAGACAGAACCCCTGCCAGTCACACCACTAGGTCTAGAAAAATCCAAAATGCCGAAACCAAGTAAGAACCTAGAAACGCCCGAAAGTCGCCGCTGACAGCTTGCAGACAAAGGCGGTAACCGCAAGGTGTTTGCTCTTCCCACAGCACAAAGTGAGTCTCATGTCCGCAGAAATAGACTGCAGGCTAATGTTATTCCAGAAAAAAAGGGGCTTGACGTTCCGAAATTTCAAACCAAAATCAACAATGCCAACCAAGCGCGGCCCACGCCAGCATCTCTAGCCGCCCTTGCCGCCAACCAGAGCGATATCGACATCTCGGCTTCTTCTTTCGACCTCGGTAACGTCACCTTTCATGAACCCATCGACTCTTCCCTCACCCGCGATTCTTCCTCCAAGGCGTTCATGCGCGAGCTGCGTAAAGTGATTGAGCGGAGCGACGTCATCATTCAGGTGCTCGATGCGAGAGATCCGGAGGGAACGAGGAGTCGGTGGGTGGAAGAAGAAGTCAGGAAAAGGGACATGCAAGGGAAAAAGCTGTTGGCGGTCGTCAACAAGATCGATCTTGTGCCAAGGGCGAATTTGGAAGCTTGGTTGAAGCACTTGAGGCATTCTTTCGCTACCATGCCGTTCAAATCCTCGACCCAGAACCAACGTCAAAACCTCTCGCAAAACTCCGTGCTTCTATCACAACCGACCACTGTGCCGGGACAACAAGCAGTGTACGCCGAGCTTCCCCAAACGTCCTCATCTCTTGGTGCACCTGCACTCTTGCATCTCCTCAAGCAATACGCCTTGTCCACCCCCCACTCTTCCCTCACAGTCGGCGTTGTCGGCTACCCCAATGTCGGAAAATCCTCTATGATCAACTCGCTCAAACGTTCCCGTGCTTGTGCTGTCGCAGCCATGCCTGGAAAGACGAGGGTCGTGCAAGAGGTGGTGTTGGATAAGGGAGTCAAGATTCTGGATTGCCCCGGTGTCGTCTTGGAGGATATAGGGATACATCAGGAGGGCGAGGAGGGGCGGAGAAAGCAGGCGGAGATCATGCTGAGGAACTGCGTCAAGGCTGAGCTGGTCGATGACCCTATCGCGCCTGGTATGTACATCACTTTCGTAATCGACGTGACTGACATCCACGCTAGTCGAAGTCATCCTCAGCAAAGTAGACTCTGCTCAATTAGAGAAACTTTACAATATCCCACCATACGAGAACGTCCGTGATTTCCTCATCCGCATCGCTCTCACCAGAGGACGTCTCGGCAAAGGAGGTGTCCCCGACTTGGAAGCCTCCGCCATTCAAGTACTGCGCGATTGGAACAGCGGCAGAATCCAATACCACACTGTCCCACCCAAATTCCACCCTTCGTCTGCCCCTGCTCCTCAAACTGCTGCATCAGCGGCTCCAGCTGCTGGGGATGGTATGCAAGATGAGGCCATGGGTGATGCTGTGGAGAAGGTTGGAGACGCCAAGATTCTGAACTCGCTCAGTGAGGCATTCAAGCTTGACGGGCTGTTCGATAACCTTGGCGATGAGGCTGCATGGGAAGGAGATGAAGTGGTAGAGGAGGAACCGATAGCGGAAGAGTATGTAACCAACTTTTTCATTCGAAAGCTACTGACATTGTATATAGCCCGGAGATCGTTGTCCCCGAGCCTGCTGTCGCTCCCCCTGCTCCTGCCCAGCCAACAAAACCCAGACTGTCCAACAAACGCGCTTTCGTAGACTCTAGCGACGAAGAGTCTGACGCCGACTCTGACGACTCTTCCTTCCGTCCCCGTCCCCGCGTTCTGTCAACTGCCACGATTGTAGAGCCCGCCGCTGCCGCGGCTGCTGTGGCTCCTGCCCTTCGCTACCCTGTACAACCATCTCACGCCCAGGCAAACAAGCTCTTTACACCCGAAGAGCTTCTCGTTTTGCCACCTTCATTGTCAGGCAAGAAGGCCAAGAAGGATGCAAAGAAAGCAAAGAAGAGAAAGGCAGCGGTCGAGCGAACGGAAGGCGAGCTTATGGCTGGATTCATGGAAATGGACATGGAAGAGCGACGGGACGATGATGGCGCGGGTCTGTCGACTGTGACCGGGCTGAATCAGCGCTCAAAGAAGGACAAGCGACGGGAAAAGAAGGAGGCGCAAGACAAGCAGAGGAGAGAACAGAAGAAGGCACAGGAGGAGATGGAGGTAGAGGCCAATCCAGAGATCAAGCAGGAGGCAGACTTTGCCAACTTTTTGGCCAACATGGGTGGTAAGTCTGGTCCCTTCAGAGCAGTGAACGTAAGCTGATGTTGTCGGCTAGCCGAGGGCTCGGACGAGGAGCTGTAACGCTGTTTATGAATCGCCACGACACATGTGTATAATCATCCCACGATATCTCACTCGCATGCATAGATGTACATGCTTCTGCCCGTCTTCCAAGGTGTAAAGAAGGAGGTAATGCGATTCCTGCCCGCATCGGAGAAACCTTAGGTCAGACTTGCCGCACAGATTCCAGGACACAGGGAAAAGGACTGTGTCGTCGTGTAGCGCTGTCTGACTAAAGGGCCCTTTTAATTGATTTTCCGCAACTCGTCTCCCTCGACCGCTCTCGCCTTCCGCGTTCTCCGGGCTCGGATTGACAAGGAACTGAGATATAGCGTAAGCGTGGACATGCTTTTGGCATCGCATTACTGGGAATTATCGCTATCCTGCACCTCTCAACTCTTTGGTGTTGATTCTTCACCCCCAGCTCATGTTATAGCACCTCGCCCAAATGGTCCAGACACGTCTGTGGCTGCTCACGCTCATTTTCATCCTCTACTCCGGCGCCCTCGTCTTGGCGGCTCCTACGCCTAAAAAACCGGTAAGCACCCCATGTCTCGAGTCTGGAGATGCTTATCGGCTGAATCGTCGGTGGTAGCTTCCAAAGAGAGACTACATCGACTCTCCCAAGAACCCTATCGTTGCCGCTCCTTTTCAACCACGACACCACCGTTTTAAGCGCCCTACCCATGCGTATCCCCTCGCACATTCCCCTACCACGTCCTCCTTCCCACCTTCACCCATCGAACCGGACCTCACTGCCGCATCTCCTCATGTAAAGGCAGAAGGGTGGCTGGTGCAAATCCTCCGCATATTCAGTGCTTGGCATCCGTTTCCCGAGAACGAGATTGCAGAAGGGTTGTTGCATAAGCGAATCAGGAGATGGCGTCTGCTTGGCTCCAAGAGGCCTACGAGAGATCTCGTGTTGGTCAATAACATAGATGGGTCCGGAAGGAGATTAGTGGATAGGGGAGGCGACTTGATCATCCAGGTGAGTGATTTCTGATGTGAAAGGTCGCTCTGGCTGATCAAATTAGGAGCAGCAACTGAATGGTTTCCAATGGCGGGGCGCTGAGCAATTGGATGACGAGACAGATGAGCCGTATTACTGGTATTGAACAGGTTTGCTAAGGACATTTTGGACATGTGGTCGTGGCATATTGAGCTTATAATGTTAGGTCGTGAAAACGGACAATGCGAATATGCATGCTTCAGCGACGGCGGAAGACCGACGGCGACGGTGTTCAAGTGTTCAAGTGGTGATGCTGGAAGCTCTGACCTATGACGCTCGATCCTAGTGTGGTCATCGAAACACCATCTTTCAAGTGGTCTATGTAGAGGATCGACAAAGCCACCATTTCCATCACTCAACCTTACGGTAATGTCTGTTGCGGTCATTCAAGGCGCATCTGGGGGGCTTGGCGCATCTCTCACCCGTCATATCCTGCGACACACGAACCTCTCAGTATATGCTCTTACCCAGCAGCCCTCTTCATCCAGACTCAAAGATACCATACTGGACTCTCTTCCTTCTGGGGAAAGAGGCAAGGGGAAGCTATCGACTTCGGAGAGATTGACAGTGGTCGATAGCGTGGACGTCAGAGAGGAGGACGGGCTGGAGAGAGCAAAGGGGCTAGTCAAGGAGAGAGAAGGAGAAGAGAGTGTCAGGCTGGTGGTGTGTCTCGCTGGAATTGTGGGCACCTGATTGTGTACAGGGTGACTATACTCATATGCGCCCCCAGCTCAGAGCCGAGAAATCACTCGCTGGCATCAACCTCCAGGACGCCCTCAATTCTTTCCAGATCAACACTCTAGGCCACCTGATGACCTATAAGCACTTTGTTCCTTTGATTCCCAGCAAAAAGGCTTTTAGAGAGCTTAAACGCGGATGGGGAGAGGAGGGCGATCCGGCACAGGGGTTGGTGGGAAGTGGGCATTCGATCTGCTGTTCGCTCAGTGCGAGGGTGGGCAGTATTGGAGACAACGAGAGAGGAGGCTGGTATTCTTATCGAGCGTGAGCCAGTCTTCCCGAACAGAACATTTGAACTTTGGCTGATATGATGCATAGCTCAAAAGCCGCTGTGAACCAGATAATACGGACGCTGGACCACGAAGTACATTCCATCCATCTGCTTTCTGTACGCGTACTAACACCGTACCAGCTCATCAACAAATCATCCTCCGGCATAGCATACGGCTACCACCCCGGAACAGTCCTTACCCCATTTACAGCACCCATTATCGGCAACCCTTCTCCCGACGCGTCCCAGGGCAGGTTCGATGTCGATCAAGCCATAGAGCATCTGACAGATGTAATGGGCAAGGTCCAAAGAGGTGCAGAAGGGGAAGAAGGAGAGTGGGGAGGGAGGTGTTGGGATTGGAAGGGCAAAAGGATCGAGTGGTAGACAATGGTATGCCATGCATACATCGCTTGATAGTCCGCCCCAGAGACACATGTGCAATCTTGCATGCGGTTGATAACAGTACAAGGGACCTGTTCGGTCTCGAGCACGCCGTCGCCATCAGCATGTGGCACTCCTTAGACCACGATGACCGTCCTTTGAGGTGACTCACCCTGTACCTCGACTATGCCTTCAGGTCAACATATCGTATCTCGCATCATGCCACTTTGAATCATCATCTCCAGTGTACGATACTTGCAAGTAGACCCATATTGCCCGGCTTTGATCAGCCCTTCACGTTCCTTCAACCTAATCGAATGGCTCCATTTCCAATAGACCTCGGGGGAGTTGGCGATGCTGTAGGAGGGGCAGCCGATACAGCAGTAAACGGTGCTACTGGCGCCGTCGAGACAGCTACAGACAAGGGTGCTGGAGCAGTGGCGACGGCGACTGATAAAGCAGCAGGGGCGGTCTCGACAGCTACCGTAAGAGTTACCCCTTGTCTGGATAAAGTTGGCGGATACTGATACTAGAGTCGGGCTTAAGAGCGCAGCTGGCGATGTCGTAGTGAGTTGGGTAAAGGCGACTGGCAGAAGCTGATGGTGATCGTAGGATGGAGCAAACAAGACGGCCGCGCTGTTGAAATGGCTAGACAAGATACAGGATGTAAATTGTCCGGTCTCGTAGACGTCGTCTTGTGCTGATAAATGACGTTCTGTAGTATATCGACAAGGTACCAACGCATCGCGGCCAAAAGCCTGGGATCGTCGCTGACGCTGTGAGCAGATTGAAGGATACTGGGACGAATACAAAAACCTGATCATATTCAGTAAGCCCTCCTCCCTCCCTTCCCCCGTCCACTCACCCCTTTCCAGTCTTTGCCCTTATCGTGACCATCTACGTCCTCTCAATCATCTACTGCTGCTACCACTGCTTTCACGACTTTTTCCGGTGCTGCTGCTGCTACGTCAAATGTACTTACCGTTGTGAGCAATGGTGCTGGCACCATCGGGTCCCTTGCATCAGCTGTTGCAAGAACTGCTGCAATGCCGCTTCCAAGCAAGACTACCACCGGTGTTCAAGAGGATGTTTGCGGTGCGTGCCGACCAAGATTCAGCAAGATTTGGAAAAGCAGCATGGGGATCTGAAGAAGGGCTGGTCGGATCCGACGTACATGGCGCGAGCGTGTGGGCGGCACGAGTTGCCGGAAGAACCGATGGCGAGGGCGCGGTGGCATTGGTGGGGGCATGAAGACGGGTATGTGCACCGGGTCGTGGTCGGTATAACAGACTGCCTGGGGACGACGATCGACAAGGAGAAGAGGTTGATGAAAGAAATGAGCTCTGCAGCTGGGAGAGATGAGCATTTCCGAAAGCTGATGGAGCGGGCGAGCGCGGCGAAAGGGAGGATGGCGGTGGAGGGAGAGGAAATCAAGGCGAGGATCAATAGGGAGTGGGCGGAGAGGAAGGAGATGGGGCATTTGCTGGATAGAAAGCTGACGCGAGCCGAGATGAGATTGTTGGCAAAGGCAGAGAAACGATTAGCAAACAAGATGGACAAGGAGGGATGGGCGTCGGATACGACAGCCGCTGATAGTGAGAGTGAAGACGAAAAGCCGAGAGGAAAGGGAGGTAGAGTCTAGATGCTATGCATGGCAGCTTAGAGCATGCCCAAGAACTTGTTGATATCGTCCTGTCCCTTGAAACCGACTTTTGATTCATCAGCAAGTGTCATGGGCTTGTAGGGAACAACGTACCAAACTTGTTCTTGACGGCACCATTCTTGAAAGCGACCACGGTTGGCAGAGCACTGATCTTGTAGTTGCCAGCGATTTCAGGGTGGTTGTCGACGTTGACGGTCATGAGGTCGAATTCTGTTTCGGGGCCAGTGACCGCTTTCAGCAGTGGCGAAAGCACTCGGCAGGGCTGACACCAGCTGTATCCCATGTCAGCTGCTTTCTTCTACAACTATCATATGTGGACCGTACTCGGCATAAAAGTCGACCAAAACAGGCTTGGCATTACCAGCATCCAACGCCCTCTTCTCGAACGCTTCGGGGGTAGCATCCAGGAAATGGTCTCGGGCGATCCTGGTGGCGTGGAAACCTCGCTGAGTCAGGAGCGTGGTGCGGAGGGAGGCGGTGGGTCGGGCAGAACGGGCGAATTGGGAGAGCATGGCGAGCGATGGGGTATGTGTTTCTTTTGAACGTTTGTATGGGTTGGTAAGACTTGACCTTTCCTGGACCTTTCAAAGGCGAAGAGTCACGGAACTCCTGACATCACCACCCCCAATTGATCCCGTCCGACGCGACGCGCATGGCAAAGCAGCGCCAACAATATTGACTCCATCTCAAATCGAGTATCCCCTCAGGCATCTACCATGGAGCTGGCACAGGTCAAGGCAGCGGTCAAGGCATGGGAAAAGGCATTCAAGGCGGAGAACGGGAGAAATCCGACCAAGGATGATATCAAGAAGGATAAGGGCGATATCGGTGCGTCGTGATGCGGTTTTTGTTTGTACAAGGCTGATGGTGGCGTAGCATCCCAGTATGCGCTGTATAGGACATTATCGAAAAGTGCATCTTCCAAACCTGCATCAACATCACAAAGCAACGGCCAATCCTCGAAACCCCTCCCCTCGTCCGCTTCCTCTTCATCACACCACTCCCAACAGCCCCGCGTGACCCCGCGGCATACCGTCGTATCCGACTACCCCACCACACCTACACCGCCTTCTCGGAAATCGTCTGGAGCCTACAGCGCTTTGCCGAGAGCGGCTGGAGCTGCGAGTACGAGCGCTTTGAATGTCGGGTTGAGCGGTGTAAAGCGGAAGGCCGATGGAGCATCGAGTCCTCCGCGTATGCGTCCTCCGGCATCAACAGCCCGCACACTCTTTTTCACGCCAAAGAAACACGCCTACTCGGGCCCGATCATCGACCCGAACCCCGTCAACCCGTTCAACACTGCCAACTCGCCTTCGAGCGCCGCTAAAGACAAGGGACGCGAGTTTAATGTGTCTTCTGGTCTAGCTCTGGAAAGAAGGAAAGATGGAGGGAAAGGGGATATGAGCTCGCCATTCATCCACGCTAATTCGCCGAAAAAGCTGAAACAGGTGCTGGAAGCGAATTCGATGCACCGCGCGCCTTCTCACTTAGGGGCCGGGGAGGGGATCACGCCGAGGACAAAGGCGAGAAAGAGGTTGAGGGGAGAGTGGGTGGAAGATACGCCGGGGAAGGATCGGCAGGTGCGCCGGCGGAGGGGGCAGGGGTTTGCCCCTGTCAGTGAGCCTTTGGCGAGCCCTTCGAAAAGCGCCAAGGTGGATGTGGGGGATGACGAGATGGAAGAGTATGAGGAGGATGAGAGTGCACTAGGCCCGACGCCTGTTAAACCGCCTCCACCTGGGGGCAGGGCTTACGCTCCTCTATTTGAGGATGTGGCTTCTCCTCTAAAGCCTGCCCCCAAAGCCAATGCGGCTGCCAATGGGAAAGCTGCAGGAAAGACGGGCGGCAAGCAGCAAGGAATTATGGGATTCTTCAGCAGGGCAAAGAATGCGGCAGAGAAATCGTCCAAAGGAAAGGACAAGGAGACGCTGGTAGAGACTACACCGTCTCCGACTCCTTCTAATGCTCCTCTCCCCGATCCCCAAGATCCCATGCCGGATACCACCATCGCCGATCCCCCGATACCGCGAAAATCTCGAACGCCACAGAGGCGCAAAGAGCTAGCACTGAGTGATGACGAGATTGACGAGTGGGATCCCGAAGGAGGCAAAGTACGGACCAACGTCGTGATTGTGCCTACGCGGCGAGAGCCAAAGAGGCCAAAGCATGACGAGCTGGAAAGTATATTAGGTGACGGGCTGGACGAGGCGAGTCAAGACGAGGAAGAAGTGTATGAAGACGAGGACGAGAAAGATGATCCAAACGATCTGCCGTTCCCTCTGCTATCCATACTTTCCCCTCGAAAACACATCTCTGGGCCATCACGCGAAGAGCTCGAGTCTCTACGCGTCGACGCCATCTTCAACCCTGCTGCGCTGAAAAGGCTGCAGGCTCTGAAGCGGGGGCAAGATATCACGTTTACGGGCGAGGGGCGAGGGGAAGATGAGGAAGAAGGGGAGGATGTACTGGAGAGGCTAGAGCATGAGGAGGAAGACGGGGCGGACTATGCCGACGAGGACTGGGAGAGCGAGGACGAGGGGTGGAAGCGGGCGGAGACGGGGCTGGACGACGAGTGGTAGAGGATGCATGTGATTGTATTGGAATTACCCCGCGGGGAGATGAGGCTAAACTGGCGGGCAGTCTTATCTATGGGTCGGCTCCAGGCACGAGGGAATGGTATCAGTTGTTGGAAATAGCGAGATAATGTTTTCCAAGGATGCGCTGGCTGCCCTATAAAGCGGCCCGATCCCCCCAACCCATCCTCCCTCCCCCCATCCACCATGTCCCTCGCCCGCCGTCTCCCCAGGCTGGCGCTCCCCGCCGCCCGCCCCCTCTCCCTCTCCCTCTCCCTCTCCCTCCGGCGCTCCTCCACCACCGCGACCCAGCCACACCCCCGGGCCCCCTCCCAGTCCTTCCACCCAGCGGCCACCTCCGTATTCACCCCCCTCGACACCTTCCTCCCCCGCCATCTCGGCCCCCGCGATGCAGACATCCACGCCATGCTCCAGACCCTCGGCCACAACACCCTCGACGAGTTTGTCGCGACCACCGTCCCCAGCGAGGTCAGGATCGATGCCCTCACAAACGAAGAGAGCAGCAGCAACGGCATCAGGGCTCTCAGCGAGCTCGAGCTGCGACGGAGAGCAGAGGAAGTCGCCGCCATGAACAAGAATGTCAAGAGCTACATTGGCATGGGGTATGTTTGTTATTCTCACATCGTTCCCTGCTGACGTGTCTAGCTACCACAACGCAATCGTCCCGCCTGTAGTCCAGAGGAATGTCCTCGAGAACCCGGCGTGGTACACTGCGTATACCCCCTACTCGCCCGAGCAGTCCCAGGGCCGTTTAGAGTCTCTCGTCAACTTTCAGACCGTCGCCATCTCCCTCACTGGCCTGCCAATCGCCAACGGCTCCTTGCTTGACGAAGCTACCGCCGCTGCCGAGGGTATGGCCATGTGCCTCGCCTCTGTTGCCAAGCCCAAGTTTACAAAGGGCAAAAAGGTCTTTTTGGTCTCCCCCACCGTGGCCCCGCAGACGATTGCAGTCCTCCACACCCGAGCCAGCGGCTTTGGCATCGAGATCAAGATCGCCGAGAGCAATGCCGCTTTCGCGTCCGAGGTCGAGAGCCTTGGCGAGGAAAAGCTCATGGGCGCGCTCGTGCAGTACCCCGATGTCAATGGTGAGATTGGTGACTGGGAGGCGATCGCAAAGAGCGTCAAGAGCAAGGGCGCCAAGACGGTGGTTGCGACCGACTTGTTGTCGTTGACCATGCTCAAGCCGCCCGGAGAGTGGGGGGCAGACATTGTTTGTGGTAACTCTCAGCGATTCGGTGTGCCTGTTGGTTACGGTGGCCCCCATGCCGCCTTCTTTGCTTGTACCGAAGACCTCAAGCGAAAGATGCCAGGACGAATCGTCGGTCTGAGCAAGGACTCGGCTGGGAACCCTGCCTACCGATTGGCTTTGCAGAGTGAGTACATCTCTATTGGATGAGACCAAGCTGACACTGTGTAGCTCGAGAGCAGCACATTCGACGAGAAAAGGCCACATCCAACGTCTGCACTGCGTAAGTCGTCCAAGGCTCATACAACTTTGTACTGACGATCCCCAAGCCAAGCCCTCCTCGCCAACATGACCGCCATGTACGCCGTCTACCACGGTCCTGAAGGCCTCCGTCGCATAGCTGGCAAGGTCCATTCTCTCACCCGGATCCTCTCCGAGTCTCTCAACTCTCTCGGCTTCACCATCACCAACAAGACCTTCTTTGACACCCTCACCATCGACGTCTCTTCTGCTGGCGTGACGGCTGCCGATGTACACGCTGCGTCTGTCAAGGCTGGTATCAACTTTCGACCAGTGGACGACAAGACGATTGGTATCACACTCGACGAGTCTGTCGGTCCTCTCGACTTGACCGACATTGTCAACGTCTTTTACGCCGTCAAGGGCGAGTCGGCCATCGAGCCCGACGTCCTCGAGTCTCTTGCCCAAAAGCTCGAGCTCGACTCGTCCAGCGTCTCTGCCCCCATCGCGCACTTTGCCCGAACCACCCCCTTCCTCACCCAGCCCGTCTTCAACAAGCACCACTCTGAAACCGACATGCTGCGATACATGATGCACCTCCAACAAAAGGACTATTCCCTCGTCCATGGTATGATCCCCCTGGGATCTTGTACCATGAAGCTCAACTCGACGTCTTCCATGGTGCCTCTCTCGTGGAAAGAGTTTGGCGGTATTCACCCCTTTGCGCCTGTCGACCAGGCCAAGGGGTACGAGGTGATCATCAAGGAGCTTGAGAATGACCTCTCGCTTGTGACTGGTTACGACGCTACCTCTGTTCAGCCCAACTCGGGTGCGTCGGGCGAGTACGCCGGTCTCAAGGTCATCCACGCCTACCACGAGTCCAAGGGTGAAGGCCACCGAGATGTCTGTCTCATTCCCCTTTCTGCCCACGGTACCAACCCTGCCTCGGCCGCCATGGTTGGCTACAAGGTTGTGCCCGTCAAGGCGTTGGAAGATGGTTCTTTGGACTTGGCAGACTTGAGGGAGAAGGCCGACAAGCACAAGGACAAGCTGGCTGCTTTCATGGTTACCTATCCCTCCACTTTCGGTGTCTTTGAAGAGGGTATCGAAGAGGCGTGCAAGATTGTGCACGTCAATGGCGGACAAGTCTACGTCGACGGTGCCAACTGCAACTCGCTCGTCGGCCTGACCTCTCTCGGCCGTGTCGGCGGTGACGTCTCGCACACCAACCTGCACAAGACCTTCTCCATCCCCCACGGCGGCGGTGGACCCGGTGTCGGACCCATCTCTTGCAAATCCCACCTCGCGCCCTTCCTCCCCACCCACCCGATCGTCGCTACCGGCGGCTCCACCGCCATTTCTGCCGTCTCTGCCGCCCCCTTTGGTTCTGCCAGTATCAACACCATCTCTTGGGCGTACATCAAGATGCTCGGCGGTGAGGGTCTGACCAACGTCTCCAAAATTGCCTTGCTCAACGCCAACTATATCGCCGAGAGGCTCAGGCCATACTACAATGTGCGATACACCAACTCGAAAGGCAGGGTCGCGCACGAGTGCTTGATTGATTTGGCCGAGTTTGAGAAGAGCGCGGGGGTGAAGGTGGCAGACTTTAGCAAGAGGTTGCAGGATTACAGTTTCCACCCGCCTACTGCGCAGTGGCCCATCTCGACGTGTTGGTTGATTGAGCCTACCGAGTCGGAGCCCAAGCACGAAATCGACCGGTGAGCGATTCTTCATTCAAGATAGGCAGAGCAAATCTGACAAGCGGAATAGATTCATCGACGCACTCATAGCTATCCGAGCCGAGATTGACGAAATCACCTCGGGCGCTCAGCCCAAGGACGACAATGTGTTCAAGAATGCTCCCCACCCCCTTTCCTTGCTCACCGCCGACAAGTGGGACAAGCCGTACTCTCGTGAAAAGGCCGTGTTCCCCGTCAAGAGTTTGAGGAGGAACAAGTTCTGGCCTAGTGTGGGCAGGTTGGATGATGCGGCGGGTGATTTGAACTTGATTTGCGAGTGCGGGAGCGTGGAGGAGTATGTTTAGGCATGACAGTTTCCTTTCTTTCTCTTTTTTTCATGGGTTTTGTCTTTTAGCATCTTCTTTCTTCATTTGTATAACAGTTCAACCTCATACCCAACCCTTTCATGTTTCACCTTAACGTTGTCAAAGCAATTCAACCTTGCATTCACGAGTATAAAGATGGGAAAAGTCTCTGAAAAGTTTCCTTTTGTACCTATCGATACGAATGAACATTGGGATCTGTGCATCTATCTCTGTAAGCAGACTCTAGAGGTTTCTTTTGCACATGCCACAAAAGACAGCTATCATCTCTGCCCGGGGCACCGCCTGTTGGGGCCCGTGTCAAGTGCTGCGGATCTAGAGCAGAAGGTGACCGTGAGAGTCGCGCCTTCGTCTAGCGGAAGCAAAATGAAAAAGTAGTCAAGGCCGTGTCCTTCGTTTTGCCTCGATGTCTAGCGTTACCGCACTTGCCGCACAATCAACAGAGTCTAGAGGTCTGCCAAGATGCCTTTGATTCCAAGCTTCGAAGACCAGCATGGGTTTTTGATTTCCAGATCCCTCTCGAGCAGACTGGACACGTTGACCGCGACATCGCCCCATTCTCTTCTTGTCGTCAAGTTGCCTGATACCTTCTGTATCTTGTTGCTGCACCCCCTTTCATGGTCATCCTCGTGGTCGCCGATGGTGGCTTCTTGTTGTCTGGATACTCATTGGTGTCGTCTGATAAAGAAGGCAGTGCCGGTTTATCGAGCGTTGCGCAGCATGGTGTCATATTTTGTCATCCAACATAGGTTGCTGTAGCGTAGCGTACGATGGACCAATGACATTATGGGGCATAGTACACTGTACCAGGTCAGATGGTACTACAAAGATCCATGTATCGCATTGTAACGTGACAGGTGGAGGCACGGGCACGATAGCACGTTATCGATAAGAAGGAGGCACTAATGTGAACTGTTGTGCACGCCAAGGCAATGATGATCTCGTCGTTCAAAGCTAACCATGCTATAGACACCGGTTTCATTCGCCATTCACCTCGGCCGATCACGCAGAATGCTCTTACCGAGCACCCCACCGCGCGCACTAGTCGAGTCTCCATTGAGACTAGAGAACCCATCCGGTGCTTGCATCTCCTTTCTACGACCGCACGTTGATCTCATGAGTTCATGTACCGCCTGGGCCATGCTATATATTCTACTCGCCACTCCTAGCTTTCAAGACAAGAGCCCCACACTTCCAGCGCCATGTCCTCTGCGTACAACACTCCCGTTCCCCTTCAAAGCGTTGCTCCAAAAGGCCGTGATGTGGCCTTGTCGTTGCCCAAGGGTAATACGGGCAAGAGTCAAGTACCACTGAGCACTCACCTAGTCGCGGGCGGTACAGCTGGCCTTGCGGAGGCCCTCGTCTGGTGAGTCGAGCTGGGGCCATGGTCGATGTAAATACTCACCTGATACACGCAGTCACCCGCTAGATACCGTCAAGGTTCGCATACAACTGTCCAAAGCGCAAGTTGCTGCCCGAGTAAGTCCTCTGTAGCGACCTATCATCCTCAAAGCCTATACTAAGCGCTTTGCATGTAGTCCCGATCCAACGGATTTTTTGCTACAGGTCGACACATCATCTCCCAGGAAGGTCCCCTGAGTCTGTATAGAGGCCTCGGTGCTGTCGTCAGCGGCATCGTGCCCAAGATGGCTATTCGGTTTGCAAGTTTTGAAGGTGAATCTTTATCATTCTAATACAAGGGATCAGGCTGATGACTTCAGTGTTCAAGTCCTGGCTGTCACAGCCTGACGGCAGCATCTCGCCCCAGGCAACGTTTCTTGCCGGTCTGGGCGCGGGCGCTATGGAGGCTGTAGCAGTGGTGACGCCCATGGAAGTCGTCAAGATAAGACTTCAAGCCCAGCATCGTACGTTCCCATGGTCACTCCCTCATCTCAGTACTCATCTTCTTTCTCAGAGCCTGTCCTGGCCGGTCCAATGGGCGCCATGGGATCCCCTCGATATCGAAATGCCGCCCACGCTGCCTACACCATCGTTCACCAAGAAGGTCTCGCTACCTTCTACCGCGGTGTCTCTCTGACGGCCTTGCGCCAAGCGACCAATCAAGGTGTCAACTTTACGGCCTACCAGCAGTTCAAGAGGTGGGCGTTGGACTTGCAGCCTCAGCATGCAGAGCGGGGTTTGCCTAGTTGGCAGACCATGTCGTTGGGGCTGGTCAGCGGTGCTATGGGACCATTTTCGAATGCGCCGATAGACACTATCAAAACGTGAGTCAGTACGAGGTCTCGAGTATTGGTGTTTGCTTACGGTCGTATATCAGTCGTATACAAAAGGCGACCAAGGTCAAAGGCGAGACTGCCCGTTCGCGGATGATCAAAGTGACCTCTGAAATGTTCAAGCACGAGGGTGTCAAGGCGTTCTACAAGGGCATCACTCCTCGTGTTCTTCGAGTCGCTCCGGGGCAGGCCATCGTTTTCACCGTGAGTGGCCGCGGCTGGTTCTTGTGTATGTCTGACAATACCCCATAGGTTTATGAGCGCGTCAAGAAGCTCATTGACTAAGCGACGGTATTCAGCATTGACTAGATTGTAGAAACCATAGACTGTATCATAGAGAATAGATTGCAGCCTCTGCTGTTGACGATCTTGTGTAAACAGCGACTGACTCGGGACCGCCTTGTACTGTAAACTGATCTGCATGATCATGAATAGACTCTATATATCAACAATAAATGGTTACAACATTCTGAACTCGCCTAGGCTAACTTCAGTCTACTTTCACACCACTTGATCTACTCCCAATCTCCAAATTCCCTATAGAAACGGATCAGCACTTGAGACAAAGAAAGCCGTCCCATACCACGTACCATTTAAAGCAATCCACACAGTCTTCTTCCGAGACCGGCTTCGGCACTCCTCCATGCTTATGCCATTGGTCGTCATCGTCGTCATCTCCCTTCTTATTCTTATCCTTCTTGGGCCCTCTGCGGCCCCAGCCCCATTGCGCTCTGATGGCCCCTGAAGCCGAGACATCATCCTCGCCAGTGCCGTCGGCTCGTATGAGCTCAGCAGTTGGCTTGAGAGCCAGCCTGGCAGGGTCGACCAAGTACTGGATCAGTCCAGAAACAGCTTCCCAAGCGCCCCCGCTGACATCAACTTGCTTCTTCCCTTCATCCGTCTCATTGACAGGCCAAGGGTCCTTCAACACCTTGTCGATGATCTCCCCAATCCTGTGCGTCCGTATATCCACACTCCACCCTTTATCCTGTACCGTGTCATAGAGAATAGTCTCCCCCGTGTGGCACTTGCTCTCCAGAGCAAAACCAGCGGCGTAACACCCACTGTAACCGCCGTTACATACCCCCATAGGGATAGGATCGGCGGTGTGGTATACGTGAGTGATACCCGTAAGGTCGGCAGGAAGTCCGGGAGGGAGGGGAAGGTGAAGACGAGAAGCTGGGAGAAGGTCTCCAGGGGCTTCGTAGGTGACTACCGGGGCGCCAAAGGAAAGACCAATGAGGGAGGCGACGGATCCTCCGAGAGAGTGACCAGTCAACCATATGGTAGCGTTGGGGTACATGTAGGTGATGTTGTTGTAGAGATTCTGAGATGCTCCGTCAGAAAGATACCTAGCGTCTGAGACTACTTACTGTGCCGACAGTCGCATAGACACTCTCAGCCACTACGGCATCTTCCAGACATGTTTGACCGCACTTGTTGCCTCCAGAGTAGCAGTCACAGACAGTCGACCACGAAAAGTCTACCCTGGCGCAGCAGCAAGAGAAGAGCAAGTTGTCCTGTTGATTCGTTTGTCAGCCGAAAGGTAGCGCTTATAGGTATTGAGAACGCACATTGAACTTGTCGTTCTTGGCAGAAGGTCCTCCGGAACCAAGTACACCAGCAGTGGTACCTTTGATAGATATAATCACCGTTTCGTTCTTCTCATCCGCAAACTAGAGCCAGCAGTGTCAGCTTCTGTCCATCCGATCAAAAGCAAACTCACGATATGCCCTCTCAGCCCATCGGCACCTTCTTCCCAACCAAAAGGCACTGTCCCCTTTCCACTACTATCGCTCCAATTCCCATTCCATCCCTCCACCGGATACCACCCGTCTCCACCAGGTAGCACGTATGCATTGCTAGCCATCTTGGCAAGAGCAATGAGCGTCTGCCTATCAGACACATCGGGTACGGTCACTTCGTCCTCTATCCACTCGTCTGGGTTGTAGGAGGTCGATGGAGCGACCCACGCCGAAGACGAGTTGTAGGCGGCCAGTGAGAGTTTGCTGCGCCGTGATTGAGCCCAAGAGGTGATCCGGGGCGGACGATGCTTTGGCCGGCGTATCAGGCCTTTCTTTGTGCGTATCGTCAAGCCAGCCTCCTTCTCCCCCTCCGCCAACAACAGACTGGCATCAAAGTCGCCCTGTGTCATCCCAAGGGCCTCTAGCCCTTCTGGGGAATAATCCTGAGCATGGAAAGATGCTGACTCGGACGAGTCGCGCAGAAAGAGCTCTGGGGCAGCGGTCCCATTAGCTGGGCCGTAGTGGGAGTGGGCGTAGGAGGGTTTGAATGTGAGGGTACTGGGTGGGGGTGGGGCGGGGGCGAGGAAGGGAATGAGGTAGGCGAGGGGGGGGATGTACATTGTGGAGATGCAGTGAGACAAGAGCGATGGGCCATGATTGTGCATGCGTTGGGTGGCGACAGTGGCCGTGTCCGCTGGCCGGAATGCCGATCCGGACGCCCCTTATCTGACCCGGACACCTTGTTGACATTGTTGACTGACACGTGCATGACCCCTATACCCTATACATGGATGAACACAAAGAAAATCTAATATTACAGCACCCAGGATCACTGGGGGATTAAATCTATGCGGGATATTTACAGCCGAAACCCAATCATACCGGTCGCAGCTCCTGCTCCGTATCCTCTTTCTTTTCCTGGTGAATCTTGACATTCTCCCTGTCATATATCATCAGCCATTATTCACTCTCAATTGCGATAAGTGGCCTCACTGTTGCCTTCCATATAGCACCTCCTTGCGCATCCTCCTCATACTCTCCTCCCTCTGCTCTTCCGTCTCCTCATCTTCTTCAACACCAGCTTCCTCTTTCTGCTTTCTCTTTTCATCCTCTTGGGTTTCCGCCTCCTTCAGCCTTTGCATCCTCTCCATATGCTCCCTATCTTCCCTCTCGGCGTTATCTTTGACAGCTTGAGACTTTTCTTCCTCTGTAGGGTTGTGAGAGAGATGAAGAGCGCGAGCCATGTGGGTGAAAACGTCTTTCTGGGCCTTGGTAGCCTTGGAGTATTTCGACAAGCTATGATCTGGGTCAGCGAGGTATCCTGGTCTTTTAGAGTAGCTATCTCACCCCCAAAGCGACTATGAAGAGAGATCTGTCAGTTTCCTGCGTCCAGCGTTCAAATAGGCACTCACCAATACGCTCTTTGCAACCTTGACATGAGACAAGTCGATACCCAGCCCCTCAAGCTGCGCAATGAAGCTCCGGAAGTTCTGGATCAAGTGAGTCAGTCGCGAGTCGCAGTGGTATCACACAAGCTTACATCTATAGAGCTTCTGTAATGCCCACTCAAGGGATTTAGACTCTTGATCAATCCATGCTTTACCACGATGATACCAGCAGACGAAACCTTGCCTCCAGCGAGGACTACATAATGTTAGCTGGCATCAAATAAAGAAGGAAAGGTGACTCACAAGAAGAATGTTGAAACGTCCCGCTCTTCTTCATCCCGATGAACATATTCATCTTCATATCACTGACATAGATCCACGTATTCCTTCTCACAGTCTTCCTCAGCAGCTCCTTTCTCACACCACCAGGTGTCATCTTCTTCCTATGTCTCGATAGCCAAGACCCACTGTTGGCCTTGTCCAGTCCAATGTAGTGCGTGTCCTCATTCTCATCCAGATCGGACGACTGAGCAGACCAAGAATCTGACGAGAATGACGAAGTGGAAGCGTTTGAATGGGAGTAGGAGGTTGCAAGTGAGCGCTTGGGTTTTGGGAGGCGTTTCTTTGGAGCAGCATACGGGTCCCGAAATACGGGGACATCGTCTCCGTCCTCCTCATCGCCGTCCTTAGCAGGAATGATACCGCCGCCATCACCTGCGTCCTGCCATTGCCCGGCTGCAGTGTCGACCAGATCGCCGTTGCGAGCCCATCGTAATAGACCATCCTTGTCGACTTTGACGAGGTAGTTGAGGCGTTTTTCTGCTGTGAGATATCTGCATCGGACAATGTTAGCAAATGGTGTATATCTACAGAGAGTAACATACGTTATACGCTCCGTTTCTAACCTCTCCCTCGGCAACTCCTCCAGATCAAGATCTTTCCCTTCGCCTTTGTCTAGCCACCTGAAGAAATTGTCTGAAGTCTCGGCTTCTTTCCATTTGCGAAAGTAGAATTTCATGTTACTGCCTGGAGAAAGAGTCAGCGAGGAGCCCGGTCTCAGTCCGACAGCATAGACTTGCCATATCGATGCTTGCCGTCGATCATCTCCAGCCTGAAAGCTCAAGGTAAGTCTAAATCTCAAAGGCTGGATAGGAACCGACGTACCAATGCTGTTGCTCCAAAGCCTTGCTTTGGAATGGCAGGTCTTTTCTATCGTCTCTTTCCTTCCCCAAACCCATAACGCTGAAACTCCCCCAAAACGTCGCTCTTCTTGCTCGCCTCTCCTTTTCATCCAGAGTTTCCGGGACACATTCTTCGACCATGGCCAGCCTGCTTGGCTCGCCAGCGTGACCTTGGACTGATGTGGTGTTGGATGCGAGGTGCACGGGAGTGGAATAGAGGCCGTCGCCTGTCTCCAGGCGTGAGGCTGCTTGGGCTGCACGCCGCCATCTGTACAGCATTGACTCAGCGCTGATTATTTTCAGCTCGAGAAGCCATTACACACCTTGACTTGACGTCGTTCTTGTTTTCCAACTGCTCCTGAGCGTATTTCAAGTCCTGGCTTTGCTTGACGAGATCATTCCATTTCGCTTCGTTTTCTCTGTCACATCACATGCCAATCAGCTCTAGCGTCCCTCACAGGTATATTAACAGCATGTGTCTAGTACAGCTGTCCAAAGATAAGACAAGACGCAAAAACGTACAGCTGGAGCTCGCCATATCGCCGTCTGGCAAGATGACCCCGATAATGTTTCTGAATGATCACAGCAGCACGCTCTCGCTCTTCATAGCTCGGTCCATCCATGATCTGTCCCTTTCCTTCAGTATCGATAGGGGGCTCGAGAGGAGCCTGGGTTTGGATTGCCATGTCCTGAAGAACTTCGCAGGAAAGCTGGCGGCGAGAAGGATCGCGAATATGTCTATTCTTGGCTGTCTGTCTTTCGACGGGGATATTTGCTGTCGGTCGGAGAGGGGAGAAGGAGGTGAAAGGAAGAACCCTTGGCGGGATATATAATGGTTGCCGGGGGTATGCGAATTATGGAGATGCAAGAGCAAGATGACCTCACGCTCTGTGCACTGCTTGTTAATTGTCGTTGTTGATCATTACCGAAGCCGTACCTGACCCAAGTGACTCACGTCCGCAAATATCGTTCTCGCAATTAAGAGCTCCATGCATGCGAGTGCGGACTTGAGAAGCAGCATGTACACCGAGCGAGCATAGCTGAGCTACAGAAACTGACTGACCCCCATGCATCATGGTCTGTTCATGGTGCACAAACAACAGCCTTATAGAACGGCGGACATGGCCGCCACTGCGATTCTGCGAATCACGAAAACCGACTTTTCGAAAGTCCTTGACTGTACTCTTGTTCACGAGAATATCACGACGACCCGCCAAGATACAGTATCAACAGGGGATAGACTACTATGCCGTCCTCGGCCTGGAGGAAGGAGCTAGTCCTACAGAAGTGAACAAGGCGTGGAGAAGGGAGGTCTTACTCGTGAGTTGCACGTCCTGCTTCCAGGCTCGACTGATGCCCAGTCCAGCATCACCCGGACAAGAACCCTTCTTTGGTGATTCCATCTTGTTCAACAGGACTATCAGGTGCCAGCACACCTAGTGGTTCGGAAGAACAGAACGCAAAGATTCACCTGATCAACCAAGCGCGCCTTGTGCTTACCGACCCCGTTTTGCGTGAAGAATGGCTCTTGTCCTTTTTATCGAACGCACAGCAACCCCAAAAACCGAAAGAAGAAGGTCCTCACGTCTTCAGACACATCAGTCTGGACGAGTTTGAGCCTTGCTATGCCTCAACGACATCTAGGGCAACTGGAGAGGCCGAGGATGAAGAGGAACCGACTCACTTCGTACACCCCTGCAGATGTGGCGGAGAGTTCCTCATCACTACCGAGCAGCTGGAGCAAGGCGTTGATGTGGTGGGATGTGAAGGTTGTGGAGAGTGGGTCAGGGTGGGGTATGAAGTTGTAGAAGAGGAGGATTAGCGGCCTATAAAGGGCCCGGGAGATGGCAGACTCTTTGCAAACGCTCTTGGTGTGGTATCTCGGGTCCTCCGACATCCATCAACATGCCTAAATGACGGTTAGACCCTGATGATAAACTGTCAGAGGCTGCCTCCGCCATCCGTCTCGGATAGAGCAACGGCACCCCTTGGTGAGTACATAGCACCCTCGTGTCTTTTTGGCGTGAGCTGACTGGTCAATGGAGTGGTCTACTATGGTTTAGGACAATTTTACTTCCTACTTCGCGCATCGATCGAGCACGATGATCGCTCAACGTCGCACCAGTGCGCGGCCGATCATGTCACATATTGTGACTGGCGACATGCCTTGCGTATCCGGAAATGCCACATAACTTTGACATGCGTTCCTCCTCCCGAATACCCCACTCATGTAGCATGTATGTACCTCGGACTTGCCAATGCGATTCTGCATTTGTTGATTGTTGCATGTTGTGGCCATCCCCCGAAATGCGTTACATAAGCAACCTCCACCTCAAAAGTTGCCCCCCACCGCCATGAAGATGCCGATGAACTGTCCATGATAGTCATCTCCAGCCATCCCAGCTTGCCTGCCTCTCCGCCATTTCCTCTCCTGCCATAAAACTCATCCCACCAAGCGCCACTCTCCTCCGCGCTGCTGGCATCTTGACCAAACCCCCCAAGCCAACTCTCACCATGCCTAAAGCTTCCTCGGCCCCTACGTTGCCTCTCAATGGTCTCTTTCCTATCGCCAAGCCGACTGGACTGAGCTCGTAAGTGTCACTAGCGTATCAAGACCTTATCCTAAAGTTAAATAGCATGAAGGCCATCGACAAGATCACACCGTTGTTACTCGAATCTAAGCTGTTTGATGACCCCGAGAAGAAGCACCAGGCCCAGCAGAACAAGAACAAGAGGAAGAAGAACTTGACCCAGCACGGCCTCAAGATTGGACAGGGAGGTACTTTGGATCCGCTGGCCGACGGTGTTCTGGGTGAGTACGAGGACGAAGCAAAGTTCGAGCCATCAATTAACAGTTTCAAGTCATTGGTGTCAACAGGGGTACCAAGCACTTGAATCAATTCCTCGAGTGTAGCAAGGAGTACGAGAGTATTGGACTGCTTGGAGCTACCACGACGTCTATGGACGCAGATGACCCTGTGCTGGCCACTGCCGCTTGGGAGCATGTTACGAGGGAAGACGTCGAAAAGACGTTGGACCAATTCCGTGGTGAAATCATGCAGGTTCCTCCCATGTGAGTTCCAAACGGGATTAATGGATCAACCGTCACTGACTCTATGCAGCTTCTCTGCTCTGAAGATGGACGGCAAGCCGCTCTACGAGTATGCTCGAGAAGGCAAGCCTCTCCCCCGACCAATCCCCGCGCGGAAATGCACCGTCTCCATCGAACTCGTCGACTTTACCCCTGCTTCCGTCACCCCCGGAGACGGTGGCCATGACTACCGATGGCCTGATAAGAGACTGGACGCAGAGGAAAAGGAGAATTTCAGAAAGTTGACGGCGATTGTGCATGATGCCCAAGCAAGCGCAAAGGGAACGGAGGCCGAGGCCAAGAAGGAAGGGGCTGTCGAGCCCCTCGTCCCTGACCTCGATGCCCCCGAGTATCCCGAAGTCTCTCCCAAATCGGGTCTTCGACCCCCAACCTTTACTGTCCGCATGACCGTGTCGAGCGGTACCTATGTCAGGTCTATCGTCAACGACATCGGCCTCGCTCTTGGCTGTGGCGCCCACGTCCAGAAGCTGACTCGTACAAGACAGGGAGAGTTCCCCTTGTACGGCGACGAGAGTGCGCTCGTTGTCCCTGATGTGCAGACTGCAGAGCCCATGAGCGAGGAGGAGGCGATGAACTTTGCTTCATCATCTGAAGAGGCCGCTGCTTCCGTCTCGTCAGGACCGTCGGGCGGCAGTATCCCATGGTCTGTTTGGGAACGGGCTCTTGCTCAGCGGGAAGAGAGAATCGCGAGGGAAAAGGCGGAGAAGGATGCGGCTATTGCATCTGGCATGGGTGCTGAGGAGATCCAACAAAACTTCCACCCGGAAGAAATGAAGAAGGCGCGTTGGGCCAAGGGATGGGAAGAGTGGGAGTCGGAGGTGTTGAAAAGGTTCAAGCCTGTACCTGTCCCTATCAGCGGAGGCCATAACTGGAGGATCTAGTGTATGATCTGTAATATGTAACATCACTTATGGCATACGCAGAGGTATCGCGGTGATGTCTTTCGATATTTTGAGCTCTATAGAGTCTATGAGCCAGCCGCCTGTAGGTTGGGCTGCCAATAATCTTTCCTCAAATCTGTCGTTGATCTTGTCAAGTAATTCTTGGGAAAATAGACACTTCTCTGTGGGCCGCTCGACCTCTTCGTCAAGTGCGTCACCAAGAACCATGGTCTCCTCCTGCCCGCGTAAAGTCCAAGCAAAAGAAGTATGAAATTCGGGATTGTTGTGATATGTAGGGAGGTGTGATATCTTGAGTAGCGGATCTAGTGTCTTGTCAACCACCTCTTTGAGCTACAGCCTGTCAGACACATGACGTCGAGGCTCAATAAGAATACTCACCTCTGCGGCCCCAGCCCCAACCCTCAAGGCCAAGAACCCTCTTCCTTGCCCATTCTCCACATGGACCTCACTAAAGTACTCTTTGACTCTACCCGCTAGACTGAGTCTGAAAGCTGGGACCTCCTTGGCGAGTTTCGCCTTTAAATCGTCGGTGAAAGACTTGGTCTGATGACGACGGAGTGGTAGAGGGCGGGTGAGGGATATGTGCAGATCTGGGAGAAGGGAATGAAGTGGATTTGTTGTGGAAGGGAAGGAAGAAAGAAGTTCTTTGAGTGTTGACAGGAGAAGAGGCGGGATGGCAACTTTGTCAGGATTAGCTGTAGGTCTCACAGACGATTCAAGCACGACCTACGAGATAGATAGACATGGGTATTGTACTCTCCGTCCACGAAGGGTCGAGAGCGGGTTCGTCCTTGATGCAACGATGGATCATCTTTGGGCGCTGAGGCCGAGTCAGCGGAGAACCCTGCAATGAGTCGTGGCCCTACCCGTGTCGAATGTGGCTGGCAGAGACGGAAGCTTCTTTGCTCTGCGAAGAGATGGTTAGCAGCAGACGGTCACTCAAAACCAGTACCTACCTCTTTGGGGGTGGTGGGGGAGTCAAGGAGGGCCTCTTGCAAGATTCGGAATCAGATTCTGAGCTATAGTCTACGAGCGCCATTTTTACCGAATTGTGAGCAGGATGCAAAAGTGTCAACAAATGCGCGCAAAATCTCTTTCCGTTGATGTCTCCTTATCTTATCTCGGATGTACTGGTACATCTCTTTCCTGCGCCCGCCCCCCGTGGCCACGGCAAATCCTGCACAAGGAATCACTATAACTCCTCAAGTCGCCAACGACCTCCGCACAGAGTAAGTACACTCCCCTTCCCGACCCTCTCCTACTCACCAGACGCAGGCTGCGCTACGAGCCCACCACCATCTCTTACCTGTGGCAACGCGTTGTACCGGCCACATCACCGCCTACACCCCCAACACAGCTCACCATTTTTGAGCCCCCAGCAAGTACCTACAAACCCATCACCATTCCTCTCCCTCCTCTCGCCAAAGTCGGAGAGTCATGGCGTTTGGGCTTGTTTTCTTCGGGGGCCTCTAGTAAGGCCAGAGGGGCCGAGGCAGGGCCCAGTGGTAAGCTGTTGGACTTGGTGCAAGATCCGCAAATACTCGGCGTCTGGTCTGAAGGAGTTCAGATCATCCGACCATCTGGCTCGGGCCTTACGCCGGGGGCAGTACGAGGTATGGGCAAACAAAAAGAGACCCAGCCCTCGTCAGGAGCAAAGGGAAAGAATGTCAAAGGCAATGGAAAGGGCAAGCCCGAGAAAGATGAGGGTGCAAAGCAGGGGAGGATCATCAGGGAATGGGCCTTGCCGGAGAACGAGGTTTCCTTGAGGATCGTTGAACAGACTAGCTTTGATCTCGACAAGGTAAGCCGATATGCCGTGTGCATATGTACCGGTACTCACATGAGCTTTAGAAAATATGGGACTCGGGTCTGGCGCTGTCTGCTTGGCTATGGAAGTATCTGCCAGACCCGTCAACTCTACCCTCTCTGGGTCAACGAGTCTTGTCCCTGCTGACAAGAGAAGAGCAGCTCAGGATCCTCGAGCTTGGTATGTTCGCCTACTATGATCCCCGTATCCTGTCCTAACGTATGAGATTCAACGTGTGTAGGTACGGGAACAGGTCTAGTATCAATCGTCCTCGCTCTTGCTCTAAGACGTCGGACTTTGGGCAGAGAGATCACTGCCACCGACCTCGGTAAGCCTCTACATTCGTTCAAATCCCAACTACCCACTCACCCATGACAGACTCTGCTATACCTCTGATGGATGAAAACATCGCCCTCAATCCTATTGCACCTCAACCGCAATCGACAGAGCAAGCAGAAGAAGACGCAGAGATCTCTCCCAAAGTCACCCTTGACGCCAAAGTCTTGGATTGGGACCAACCTCTGCCAGACTGGGTGGTTCGCGACATGCCCGAGCTCGTTATGTACGTCTTTGATATTCTCGCTTTCCTTGACCGAAATACTGACACCAATGCAAGCGCCGCGGACGTCACCTACAACACCGACTCTTTCCCCGCTCTCCTCTCAACATTAACTTCCCTGCTCACCCCCCCCAAAGACGACAAGCATCCCCTCCTGGTTCTGGCATACAAACAACGTGATCTGGCCGAGAGAGACCTGTGGGAGATGTTGAAGGAGAAGGGCATCGGGATGGTGTTGATTGACAAGGTGCAGGGTGCGGAGGAGGGGTATGGAGAGACCGAGATCTGGGTCGGGGGCTATGGTCTCAAAGCATAGACAAGTACGATGCACACATTTGACTTTTGATTTGCATATTCAGTACAACCCAAGGACCATGTTTGGCCACGTAACAGCAGTTTCACTCCCCCACCCCTTTCTTTATACCTGAGGATATTGTACACACATCGAGGACATTAAGCTAGCCTGATCTCTGTTGTGATCGGCTGGTGTATCCCATTCCCCATCCCACCAAACCCATTTACCCTCTCCATCATGACTTCCTTACCCCCAGACACCATTTGCCCTTCTGGCATGCCGTTCGTCTGACTCATCTGCACTTGTCCTACTATACCCTCCGGTTCCTTCGTCTTTTTCCCTTGTGGCTCGTACGCCAGCAGCAACATTCCATTCTGCACCATAAAGTCAAAGATCTTGCCACTCTTGTTGACATCGATACTGAGCATCTTTCGCGCCTCGCGCCGCCGTAGCAGGCCTTGGCGACGCTCGTTCTCGCGAATATAGAGCTCTTTGATGGTGAGGTAGGGTTTGGGGAGGACGCGGATGGTAGAGCAAAGGGACTGCTCTTCGGAAGAAAGAAGATCGAGGGAGGCAGAGTTGGCGAGGTTGAGCGGTGCAGCTATTCGATGTCAGTCACAATTACACAAAGGAATCTCGGGCGACTCACGAGGTTTCCTTCCAACAACGGGCAACGCCCTCGGCGTTACATCCCTCGTCTTGATATCCGGCGGCGGCGTGCTCGTCGCCCCGTGCAGATACCGATGCTGGCCTGCATTCGCTCTTGCCCCCGTCGGCAGTACATCACCAATTTTCTGTGGGGGATAGTCCATGGCGCGTGTGAGCTTGACATTGTCGTAAGCGTCTGCCTCGGCAGCTGTTGTGATGCCCATGCGGCGGTATTCTTGAAGCTCAGAGATGCGTTTGCGCAGGGCTTGTTCATCTGAATGAACAAGTGTTAGCGGGCCCAGAAGGTATGCAACAAACGTACAGATCAAGCCCTCGATCAGAATCTCAAAGTCTTCGGCCGTTTGAAACTTGGCAAAAGGTTTGAAACGGTGTATCAGATCGCGCTCTTCTTTCGACAATCTCTTGTCATGCGCTTGAATCTGTGCATTGTCAGCTCAACCCCCGACATTCACAATCCACTCACAGCTCGATACTCTGTCAGCCCTCTGTCGAATATGATCTCCTTGGCATCCTCTCGCTTGTCTAACCGTGTAAAGTAAATGTCCATCATGGCCAGCTTGACTTCGAGCTCGTCTGGGTCTTCCACTTCTGGCGGTGGTGGATCCTTTTCTACCACCAAGACCTCATCGACTTCTTCTTTAATCTTTTCCTTCTTGTCTTTGGCCTCCCCATTCCCCCCTTCTCCTTCTTCGTCCTCCTCTTCTTCGACCGGCTTTGTGACCTTTGCAGCCGGCTGCTCATCTCCCCCATACCCCATGACCATCTTGAACTCCATATCCTTCACTGCCATCTCGGCCTCATTGTCCACTTCGTGCTCAAACTCTAGTCTTGCAGGCATAAAGCCGCCGACTTCGTGATTTGTGGGCGCCGAGACGGGGGGAGGGGCGTTGGTCGGTGGAAGGGCATGGGGCTTGCGGAGTTCTTCTATACGAGCTTTTTTGCGTTGTTGAAACTCGTCAGGGTCGTAGGGAAAGTTGCAGTTCATGGGCTGAGCAAAGGTAAGTTTCATTCCGAGATAGAGCGATGAGACATACCGGCATGAACTCTCGCCGTCTCTTTCTGTCATCTCCGTCTCCATCTTGCTCTTCCTTGACGTCTCCGCGCAAGTCTTGCCCGTTGTCGCCCACTCCCAAGTAGACCTCCAGATAGTGCTTCTCACACTCTTCTTTGGTTCTCGTGCCGACATGCTGCGCGACCTCGGCCCAGTTACCGAGACCGTTCTGGATGAGGCCAGAGATGAGCAGCAACTCTTCGTCGGCGCCCCAGTCTGGTGTGAATATCGGCTGGGAGTTTTGCTCCTGTCCTATTGTCAGCCAAACTCACATCGGAATCCTAGAGGCACATACAACAACCATATAGTCATGCCACGCTTTGTGCTGCAGCCCCTCTTTACCCTCACAGAAGCAGTTCGGACATAGGTCCACCTCTTCGCACTGCTTCATGGCGCATTTGATGCGCACAGTGTGGGTGATGTCGACATGGCAAAAGTCACAAGTATACTTGATACCAGGCTCAATGACTGGCGAAATGTATCAGCTAGAGTACTACTAGAGAAAGAGGCCGAACCAAACTGACTCGGCCGATTGTCTGCCTGGGCATTTGTGCGCCGCTGAGTGACGGTCATGCTCCTTTAGGCGATGGGCAAGACCGCTCTGTAGACCTATACCTGTCCTTGTTGTTGCCCCGTGTTCTTTTTTCCTTCTCGTTGGGCAATAAGAGAGAGGAGCGAGGCGACGGTCGCAGGAACAGGACGCGACTCGGTCTCTTTTCGGGGCCGTTTCAGGGGTGTCTGTGGAGGGGGCGAGGGGGATATGGGGCGGGGCCGACGCGTCGGGGTTGGCGGGGCTGTGGGGGGTATATAGCTAGGTAGCTAGAAGAGGAAGAAGAAAGAGGGGGGGATTGTGTGTCTGTAATGTTGGTCGCGCGGTTTAGGTTTGGGCCAAACAGCAGCAGAGTCAGTTGCCGGGGGCCTCCGCTCTGACGATATGGTGCAATGCCACGTGCAATCGTCTTGCACCGGGCGGTCTTTTCTGGGCCTCTGGTCTCGGGAAGTGGTGAAGCGGAGAGGGGACGCTGCTGCCTGTGCTTGTGCTGGGTGATGCTGTGCGCTGGACGTCTTGCTGTCGCCGCCCGCTCTGTCGCTGTGGCTATTACCCAATCGGGACATTGTCTCATCCTCAGGGTGCAACCCCCTTTTAATCCCGTCAATTGCTCCCGAAAGTGGCAAGCGGCCCCCTCCGCCCTCCCCCGGACCGCCGAGCCGAGTCCATCAACGCTGACAACGCTCTTGTGCACCAGGAATGCTCCCGTCTATCGCAAGAAGAATGTCCAGATACGATACCATCATCCTCGGCGCGGGCTGGGCTGGCGCTACTGCTGCAAGGTCCCTCGCTGCCAGGGGCCACTCGGTCCTCGTCCTCGAAGCCCGCGACAGAATCGGCGGTCGCGCAAGCACATGGCAGGGCGGAGGCGCAAAGATCGATGTCGGCTGTAGCTGGATCCATGGCTACAATGAAGGATCTCCTGCAAGGGACCTGGCACAGGAGGTGGGTGTAGAAGCTATCCTGCCCAAAGAAGCGCAGGGTGTCATCTATGGACCCAACGGTGAGTTGAGTGAGCACATGTGAATGTGAGCTCATCCGATACGACTAGGTCCCCTCTCTGCTGCAGAGGCTGGATCTCTCCAGAAGAGCCTTGGTGCGAGCGTAGCAGCAGCCAGACTCCCTCACCCTTCTCCTCCTTCTTCCCAGTCCCTCGCCTCGGCCCTCCTTGCCTCCGACTCTGCCCTCTTCAGCACCTCATCCGACAAGGCGCTCGCCATCTCTCTCGCCCGTTCGCTCGAAATAGGTCTGGGCGTCAAGCTCGAGCAGGCGTCGCTCAAGTGGGCTGGTTGGGAGTCGACCACGGCTTATGCCGGGTCTGATGCTGCTCCTCAGGGAGGGTACCAGGCTTTCCTCGGCAAGGTGCTCGAGGCGAGCAAGGCAGAGGTCATCCTCGGTGCCGCTGCGACGTCGGTCAAGGAGGTCGATGCTGGTGTCCAAGTGACTACAAAGGATGGCAAGACATACACTGCATCGACCGTGCTCAGCACTATCCCCTTGGGTGTACTCAAGACCCTGCCTGGCGACTTCTTCTCCCCAGCTCTGCCTGCTCACCTGCAGGAGACTATCAAGGGCACCCACGTCGGCGTCCTCGAGAAGCTGCTCGTGCAGTACCCCACTGCCTGGTGGCCCGAGGCGGAAAAGACGGGATCATACACCTTCCTTCCCACTGGCCCCGAGCCGACTGCATCTTCCACGCTCGAAGAGGTGTTTGCCGGGTCAACCTTGGTGACTGCAAACTTTGCTGCTCCTACACTTCCCAACCCCACCCCGAGCCTGCTGACATACCTGTCCGAGACACCCGCGAGGTTGTTGCTCGAGCACCCCGCCGAGGAGGTAGCTGCCGCCTTCCACTCCTTCCTCATGACCCGCTTCAACGCCACCTCCCCGCCTGCTTTTTCCGACTTTACCCTCACCTCCTGGCTCACCGATCCTCTCTCTCGAGGAGCCACCACCACCCCGTCTATCGTATCGCCGAATGACGAGCGCAGTCCGATGGATTTCAAAGAGCTCGGCAGGCCTGTGTGGGGGGGCAGACTGGGCTTTGCGGGTGAGCATACCGAGATGGAGAATCGAGGGAGTGTGGCGGGTGCTGTACTGAGTGGGATCCGGGAGGGTGAGAGGATTAGCAAGTTTTTGAAGAGGGCGTGATGTCCATAGATAGCACTAGACATACTTCACAAGAATGCGACCCATTGTGCAGCGCGGAATCATTGCAACATATTCACCAACGACCGTATACATCCCCAAAAGTCTACCAAAAGATCTATGAAAAGATCCGCCGCTTAGGCAGCGATGGTAACCTCAACCTCAACTCCGGGCTCAAGAGAGATGGAGGTGATCTGCTTGACAACCTCGGCGGAGGAGTGGAGGTCGATGAGACGCTTGTGGATTCGCATCTCGTATCGGTCCCAGGTCTTGGAACCCTCACCACAGGGACTAACAGCCGAGGTGAGCGGGATGATGGAGGGAAGAGAGAAAAAAAGCAAGGGACGTACGACTTCCTGGTGGTGTGCTTGAGGACCTTGGTGGGGAGACGGACGGGGCCCTTGACGTTAAGGTCACGGTCCTTGGCACGGCCAACGAGGTCGGCACAGACTGCTTCTCGTCAGCGCTGACTTTTTTCCACGGGCAAGACGGGCGACTCACACTTCTCAAGGGGCTTGACGTTCTTGGAGGTGAGGGTGATCCTGATCTTGTGGATCTTCTGGGCACCGGCGCCAGACTTTTCGAGGTCTTCCTTGTACTCGGCCATTTTGATTGATTTCTATGTGTTGGTGGGGAAAGTGAGGCAGCGACTTGGCGACTTTGTGCTAGCGGTGACTGGCTCAGAGGACACAAAAAGCGAGTTGCAGAATTTGGTGCAGCCCACAGAGAAATTACACGTGGAATTGATGTGATTACGTAAAAGTGAAGCCCCCCTGGACTCAAAATTTCTGGGCCGGCCTCCACTCTCCTCTTTCACCTGGCACTTTTGTCTACTGCTGCACCACAACACCCACCGCACTATGGGCAGAATCAGGAAGAAGAACAGGACTCATCTCAAGGGCCCACAGAAGGGCGAGACAGAGGAGAACGTCCCCAAGAGCTTCGTCATCAAGTCGGGCCATGTCACCAAGGCCATCTCGCAGCTTGTTCGGGATACCAGAAAGATCTTTGAGCCCAATACGGCCTCCCGTCTCAGAGTACGCACCTACTACACTTCAAAGTACTCGGCTAAATTGTGATCTAGGAACGTCCTAATGCTCGTCTACGAGACTACCTCACCATCGCCCCCTCCCTCAAAGTCACCCATCTTCTCGCCTTCACCCTCACCGACGCCGCCAACGTCCACCTCCGAGTGGCTCGTTTCCCGCAAGGACCCACTCTGACATTCCGAGTGCAGAGATATAGTTTGACGAAGGATCTTGTGGGAGCGGGGATGCGGGGTATCGGCAAGGCGCCAGGAGGAGAGTACAGAAATCCACCTCTGGTAAGTGTAACGAGCTCAGCTGGAGAGGTGTAGTGTGGGGCTGGTCAACAGGCGGAAGGGTCAAGGGAGAACAGGAAGACACAAGAGTGCTGTGCTGACGTGAGACAGCTTGTGCTCAACGGTTTCCAACAACCCCAAAACGGTGCCGCCCTCCCTCAACTCCGTCTCATGAGCACCATGTTCCAGGGTCTCTTCCCTCCCATCCAGGTGGAAAAGGTAAGCCTCCTTATCTACCCTTGTACCCCGACTGATCACATATAGTCTGCTCTCCCCACTTTCCGCCGTGTCCTCTTGATCTCTTACTCCCACGTCACGGGCCTCATCTCCTTCCGCCACTTTACCATCACTGTCCGTCCCCACGGCGTCTCTCGACGCGTGCGCAAACTCCTCACCACCGCCGGCGCCCCCTCCCAATCCGCATCGTCCTCTGCCCGATCCCGTAAAGGCGTCGATCTGTCCAACACGGACGATATCGCCGATTACCTCTTGCGCCGAGTCGGATCTGAAGGAGGCGGAACACCGGGGTACGATTCGGCCTCTGAGACGGAAGCGTCTGAAGGAGAGAGTGATACGAATGCTGTCGAGCTTCCGGAGGACTATGTAGGCAGAGGCAACAAGAAGGGCGAGCGTAAAGCTGTCAGGCTTGTGGAGACTGGACCGAGACAAGAGTGGAAGCTCATCAAGGTTGTCGAAGGTCTTGTCGGCTCCAAGAGGGGTGAGGGAGAGACAGTCTTCCACGAGTTTGTGCACAAGAGCAGCCAGGAAGCCGAGGCCATGCAGAGACAACATGAGGAGAGGAGGAATTTGAAGGATGAACGGAGGAGGCAGCAGGCAGAGAATGTGGCGAGGAAGAAGAAGGAGAAGGACAGGAAGAAGGGCAAGAATGTGGAAGAGTCGGAAGAAGAAGGAAACTCGAGTGATGACGATCTCGATGTTGAGGGCTTGTCGGATGTGGACCCCGAGGAAGAGCTCGAGAAACTGAGACAACGTAAAGTTGGCTTCCAGGGCGACGACGATGATGAGGACTTTGAGTTTGAGGATAGAGGCGCTGCTGCCGATGTGGAAGATCTGGGAGAAGATGATGGAGATGATTGGGGATCCGATGCCGGAGCTGGTGAGGGAGAGTTGACTTCTGACGAGGAGAGTAGCGAGTCAGAAGAGGAGGAGGTCAAGCCCGCCAAGAAGAAGAAGGTGGCTGGCAAGAGGAAGTAACGTGTATCATCAATGCATATATACCCTAGAGTGAATCAGACAATGTCTAGCAACAACGCGTGTCTCTATTTAGCAAAGTAGAAAGGCAACTTTGTGCCCACCCTTTGCCTGTAAGCAGGGTACTCGGGAAAGAACCGGCAGAGCCACCGTTCCTCATCCACAATCCTGTCGGAAAAGAATTTGTTCAACACCACCACAAACCCAAGGGTAGCCACCACATTTCCCAGCAACAGTTGTGTTGTGACTGCCCAGTAGAAGAAGCCCGCGTAGGAGGGGTGACGAGACCAAGAGTAGAGGCCGTGCTGGACAAGAATGTGGTCGTCGTGCTTTTTAGACTTGACAATGTGGGAGAAGGATTGGGCAGCCTGGATCATGGCGCCACTGCGGATGATCTGAGACGTAATCATGAGGATCGTCACTAATACGAGTCAGAAGCGAAGGGGTGGGAGAGAAAAGGCTCACCAACACCGAGCCAAGGGAGAGAGCAGTACCAGCTGTTGAACTTGCTGGGCCAGATCAAAGACGAGATGAAATACTCGGCCAGCCCAATAGCATGGGCAAGATGGTACATCTTCCCGTTATTCAAGAGGAACGCTGAGTATCATCAGTATGACTCGCATATGTCTGCAGGCAAATGTACTGACCGTCCACGCTCAACTTCTGAGCATTCCATCCGGCTGTTGTGAAAAACTCCATCAGATGGAACACTGCCATCGCTGCCAGATACACTCCCAGCTGGGGCCTGGCCCACTCTCCCGCAACAGCATCCCATACTCTCCGCCCAGCAAGTGCGAGGGAGCCTCCGGCCACAGCACCGAGAGCAGCCGCAATGACGGCCACGGCGAAGATGGTGTTTGGGATGGTGCCTCGAGCAGCATACTGGTCCGTCTTGGGGAGGGCGATGGGGGCGGGGAAGGCAGGAGAGGCGAGCTCGGGGGATTGCTTTGGCTCTGACATTCTTGGTTGCAGAAACGAAAGATGAAAAAGTCGGCATTTGAGAACGAGAACAATAGAGCACCGCGTCCGGGGTCTCCGCAAACAATCAGGGCGTGGCTGCGTCCACTTTTCTTTTGTCCTGCAAACCAGTCCGATAACATGCAGCAGGTGGGTATATGTGACATGGTAATACTATGCTCTGGACCGATCATGGCTATGACAAAGACATGGCTACGAACGAAAAATACAATTATGCTAACCCTCGAGAACCCGACAAAAGCCCATATACGCGACTTCCACTCTCCAACCACTACTGCCCTCAGCCCTGCTGGGGAGGCCTCGGGGGAGGATGCATGCCCATCTGCGGAGTTCCCTGCCCCGATACCGCTCCATTCTGTTGACGTTGTTTCTGCTGATGGCGAGCCGCAGAAGCCAAAGCCACTGCGTTCAACAATTGCTGCTGGCTAGGCGCCAAACCCTGTATTGGCTGTCCGTTGGGCCCCATTCTCGGTGATCCATTGCCATTATTCATCTGGGCAACAGCATTGAGGATCTGCTGCTGCTGTTGAGGCGTCGGCGGCATTGGCGGGAGGGCTTGGCCATTGGGGCCAACTGCTCCGTTCAGCAACTGCTGTTGGTTGGGAGTCAAGTTTGGCAACGGCTGCCCGTTGGGGCCCACTCGTGGCGTCATGTTGGGTATGTTTGGTGGCATTTGTTGACCCTGCTGCTGCATGGGTGGACGCATTTGACCTTGCTGCTGCTGTTGTTGTGCGAGTAACATGGCTTGCTGCTGGCGCATAGCAAGAGCACGCTGCTGTTCTTGAATGGCACGCTGTTGGCGTTGCTGGGCCATTTGCACATCGCGCTGATACTTGGCTTCAACTAGCTCCCAGGGAGTAGACGACGTATTGGAAGTGAAGGCAACGTGTGATTCGTGGACATTGATGATCTTCCGCTGAGCGTTATCTTTGTCTGCACATCGTCAATTTTCGTATGGAGAAAGACTCGAGAGACATACAAGACTTCACCTTCGCCGCCTCCCTTCGCCTATTGAGCCTTTTGACCGCATCATAAATGGCCTGATGTCTTATTGACCTCTTTGTGCCTTCATACTTTGGCTTCGCCTGCTGCTTCTCTCGCTTCGACATACCCGGAGGAGGAGGCGCTCCATCAGGTAGTCCTTCGCCCGTGGGTGTAGGCAGGGACGGTACAGAAATCCCCCCAATGGTCGTAACTGACTGCGGAGGTTTGGCCGATGAGGGTATAGCCGAAGGCATACCGGGTGTACTGACAGCTGATTGGGGAATAGGTGTGTTGTTGCCCGTATTGAGCGCAGCACTTCCTGGTGGTGGAAGAGCGTCGGGCCGGGGCTTGTTCTTTCCCTCTCCATAGGCATAGTACCATCTCTCCCAGCACTCGTACGCTCCCCTCTTCTCCACGGGCACCATCACCATCTCCAAATTATAGCTTTCCGCTATCAATTCCCAATTGAAGGGGTACATCTCTACAAGCCGAACCAAACACTGGTCTTCTTCCGTCGACCATGGGTGTTGGTGCCGCAGATGATGCGCAGGAGGCTTTGCCATGTCGTGAGGCTGGAGAGAGTTTAATGAACGCTTGTGTACACCGTGGAAAAGTGTAGAGCTGGCGGTAATCACGGGAATGTTGGGAATGTTGGGGTTCTGCAGGGGCTCGTAGTATGGCCCGTCATGGACGTCCCAATGCCCATTCCGGAGGTTCTTTGCAGGCTGCAGAGTCGACACGAACGTTGGGCGGATGTCCATGAGTCGAGAGGTGTGTGCAATGCGGCTGCTACCGCCTTCAGGACGGCGAGCCTGTTCTTGTCCTTCCGGAGGCGAAGGCCCATCATAAGAAGTAAGCTCTGGGAAGAGGTCGGTGAAAGATGGAGGCGATTCGGGCGAAGTTGGGAGAGCCTTGTTATCTACATCAGATACGGGAGCAGGTTTGGGAAGGGCCTCGAGGTTGATGGTTGCAGCTGCCAGAGGAGCGTCTAGCACAGGTTTGCGCGTAGCCACAAGATCATCCCGGCTGCTAAACCTCTTGTCAATGGTGATACCATTGATGACGAGAGGATTTGACAATCGTCTCGGCGGCTTGGCAAAGGCGTCGGATTCAGTCTTGACCGCGTCGATTTCTGTGGCAAATCAGTATACGAACAACGCTCGCATCGGTGATCTTACCTGACAGACCGACCTGAGCAGACCCGGAGGCTTCTATCGTCTCTTCCTCGCCGTCTGCGTCGGCCTCGCCGTCTGCATCTGCTTCGCCTTCCACTTCGCTAGCCTTGGCTATCTTCGCATCTTCATCCTTCTTGTCCAGTCGAGCCTGTTCTTGCTCCTTCATCTCATCCATCGAGTCAAGAACTCTGCTCGCTTCGCCTTCTCCTGCCAGATCCCCTTCTTGCCCCACTAACATTTCCACGTCGTCGTCCTCTGCCTCCTGTGTTGCTACTTCTTGCAGTCTTCTTTTGCCGGAATGCCCAGGTATAGGCACCTTGTTCGACTCTCCCCACCCTCTTCCACCAACCATCAAAGTCTTTCTTTCGTCTGAGCTCGCCAGATGCCATTCAACAACCTCATACGCAAACTCCCTTGCCTGGACCACTTTCCATCTGCGTTCCTCTGAAAAGTCCGTTCTCATCCACTCCATCTCCTCCAAAAGGTAGTCCCAGTGGGATTTGGCTATGGGAGGAGCTCTGGCTTTCTTTGGTTGACGCAAACTCCACCGCCCCTCAGCTTTTTTGGACTTGATCTTGTCCATAGCCCGGATATGTCTCAGCTCTTCCATTGCGATTTTCCAATCGCATGTCAAGACACACTTGGTCGAATGGGACAGATCTTTGGATACAGGGTTGATAGCGAGCGACGATGATAGTTGAAACATGTCGGGTTGGGGATCAGAGTTGGCAAGTCTCCGCCTTTTGGAAGCAAGGGGTAGAGGAGGTAGAGGAGGTAGCTCTGAAGGGTAGGCAGAGGTGAGAGGCATGAGGGAAGGGGGAGGAGATACTGGCGTTTGAGCTGGGCGATAATTGTCGACAGGAACCCAAGGCGGTACTTCGATGTCGGCCGGCGGAGAGTACTGTCGTGTGAAATATGGCCGTGGTTGAACCTCAGATAGGGCCACTGTGGGCTCTTCCTCGACACCATCCAGCGAGGAGTCGAGAGGGGCGGTAGTCAAAGGAGATTCAATAGTGGTGGATAATGGGGGAGGGGGCAAGATAGGCGCCGGCTTCGATGCAGCTGCCTTAGCGGCAGGTGCGGAAGACGTTGAAGCAGCTGGAGTTGAATCTTTCTCCGGGGTCTCGTCGGGAAAGACTTTGGTAGTCGGCGGAGGTGAGGGAGGAGGAAGATCAGGGATTTTCAAGCTGTTGATAGATCTGAGAAAGAGATAAGCAGTCTGGTTTTCGATGGTTGACAGCTTGAGACATACCCATGACCCAGCTCAAACTTCCTCTTCCACTCGTTGAAGCCGCTTAGAGTTTGGTCTGTCTCTGGGACTGTTGTCTGGAGACGCCGATGTTCCGGATCTATGAGGTTGTGTCTAGGTTGAAACATGACGAACAGGTCTCTGAGTGATCGCTCATGGCCTGCTTCCTCCTCACTGAGGACGGAAAACAATCAGCAGTCGAGCTTAATCTACACATCACCATAGCCTGAACATACGAGAGTTGATTTTCTCTGGACTGTATTGATTCGTGGACGACATGCCGAAGTTGAAACAGCTGCGATGACACGCCGAGAAAGCGGGCGGATGTCAGTAACGATACGCGGTGAAAGACTCGAACTGACAGTAGGTGGAGAAGCCATTTTGGGGTATTTCGCGGCGGTTGAAGTTGCCATGAAGACCTTGGAGGTTTGTCTTTCCGTGGGCACCAATGGATGTAGGCGTCACCGGAGATTCAGCGCGTATGTGATGCCACGAGCTATATGGCACTGGAAAAAGAGCGGAGAGTCAAACATGCCTTCCACAGTCTGCGTTTGGTTCCGTCTCTCCCAGCGTTTTGAGCCGCGGGGGGCTTTCTAGAGCATCAGGCGGCAGATGGTCATCACGCTCAAGCCTGACATATACAGAGGTCAATTGTGCCGAGCAGCGACATCTCCCCTAGCGACAGAGTGACTTATGCATCAAGAATACCCGAATCAATTTGAAGTGAACGTTGACTATTACCTCTGTTTAGACAAGGCATGTCCGTATACGCGGACAGAATTCAACACGAGCGTCTGCGAACCCTACGAATATGTAGGCTCATAAGGTGTGCACATGACTAGAGCGAGCATCTGAGCCTATCCGATCCTGCTAGAGAGTTTATGATATCATGATACATGTTATACCAGCATCACTGAGCCCCTAGCTGAAGTTGCTTTCGAGCTTCTTCTTTCCATCTGCCAAACCCCAAATGTATCAGCTATCAACCCCACGGGGTATAATAAATACTCACTTTCGGGATATCTGGGAATAACAGGTGGGACAAACGTGATGTGTCAACTTGACAGAGCCACACGCCGGGCACTGAGAGATGTCTGAATGTTCGTCAGCAAGACATTCACTATCGCCATGGATTGACTTACTCGTCCTGTTCTTCAAGCCCTTGTTGGCAGATCTCGCGCTCTTCTTTCCGTGAGAGGTCTTCTTCTTCGGGACACTTGCCCACACGATTGGAGGGATGAGCTCGAGCAGGGAACCGAGGGAGAAGGAGGGGAACAGCGAGGTCCAAGAAGGCATGGACAGAGGGGGGTTTGCGAGAGTGAGGCTGGATGACACTCTAGAGGGGACGGAACTAGATGAAGCTTCGCAGGGAGTTGACCAGGATGGTCGGGCGATTGGGAGAAAGGAGCGAAGGGAGAAGACGGGGGTGGCAATTGATCGACTGGCGATTGGGATGGCGGCCATTGTGAGGTGAAGCCAATGGCGGTAGCACTTGAGGTAAGGGTGATGGAGTGGGAAAGTAGCTATGAAGGAGAATGCGGATGATTTCTGAGATGTGTCGCACTTTTGACTTTTTGACTGCTTTTCGTCGAAGGATGGAAGGCGATTTTGGCGCAACACAATTGATTCCGCTGGAAATCAGCAAAATAAATAACTGCCTTTGCTGGAATTCGAATGCCTATGTATTGCCCCATGCCTGCTTCCATTTCGCCTCTACTCTATGTTTAATGCGGGTGACGGTACTCGAGTATACTTGTGCATATTGTAAATATGGAAAGGAGAGTGAATCGATCTGAAGAAAGCAGTCATTAAACTAAACTGAATACAGACTAGCGGCCAGGATGTACAACAAGGTCATCGCTTGCACACGAGCGCGCAAACATCTCAATGCTGATAATGGGCTCCGCGAGTTCAGGTGTTGGAGCCTCCTCCTTGATGTCGGCGGAAACACTTCCAAAATTCATCTTCCGCCCAGCCTCAATTGACAGAACTCTTCTGTTCGGCACGTCTGTCCGGTTCAAATATGACGGTGCTGGTCTCAACCTGTGTGGGCGTCAGCGCAACACAATGGGTAATGGAGAACAAACAAAAGGTTTCTGGCTTAACGTAACTCCAACCCGGCTATTCTTTTGAGACAACATCAAACTGCCACATATCATTCAGTGAGACGTGCTATTGTTGCTCGATGCCGTCACAAGGAGAGCCCTATATCTTCAGTTGTGAAGTGACACCATCTAGGATGAAATCGCGAGTGTTTTGTTTTGCATCGCCACGTAACAGCTGTTGCTGTGCCTGTGTGATGCAGACTATACTTGTATGTACAAGGTATCCAGAGAGGTGAAGCCCCAGCCGGAAGAAGAGGAAGGTGGATACTAGAATTACATGAACAGCCAGACATCCCAGAGAAGGATGAAGGCGTCAAGTGCCCAAAAGAAAAACGAAAAGAAGTGATATGACTATTGGCACGGAAAGAGGCCGTCATGATGGCAAGGCTGTGGTAGTTGTTACAGAAGTAAAGAGACGCAGAGAATTCTCTCTACGTGTCGATTTACAGCTTCTCAAAAGCGAAGCCCATATACAAGTCTACACATCTGCCGTCAGCATCACCATTAGTAGGGTCGATTGAGGGAAACGCACTGGCAGCCTCCCACTGATCTCCATCCATCGCACTCTCTCCATATTCATTCAACACGCCCATTTTCCCAAGCAGTGGCCCGAAATCTCTCGAATCCTTCTCTTCAGACAGGATTTCGTGGAACTCTTTCTTGTAAATCAACCGAAGATTGTATTCTGCGGCCAATCTATCACGTTGTTCAGCGGGACCTCGATATAGATTCTGGCAGGGACTCACGACTCAAAGCTTTCCCAATGAACCAGATACTCTGGCACATCCTCCACTGCATCCTCCAGATAGAACCTGTACTCATGTCCATAGACGCCTGTGTGATGCCTTTGCGAGAACTGTACGGAATAACACGAGTTTCCAAAGGTCAATTGTTCGTCATCTTCAGGCAATTCCTCTAATCTTTCCCTGGGCATAACATTAGCACACGTCACAAGGGTTGGCAGAGATAGACATACAAGAGTAACTCGGAATTGGGGATGGTCCCAATGAAGATGCCGCCAGGTCTGAGATACATTGATACGTTTTCGATCATCATCCTGGCTTTGGCGGCATTCTCGAAGGCGTAATGCATGCAGAATTGCATGGTGACGTTGTCGTAGAGGTCTCGGGTTCGGAGTTCCGGGCCTAGGACATCGCTGAGTGGGTTCTGGAATGCCGTCAGCTGGGCCCAGAAGATATCGCGAAAAACGACTCACGGAGAAACAGTCATGGGCGTAGAAATAACCTTGGAAAGCATTTTTCAGTCGTTGGTATCTGTCCGCAGCTTGGTCCACAGACTGCTCTGCCAGATCTGCAAGTATCGTTGTCAGCTTTGCCAGAACAAGCGAGGTGCCGACTGACCAATTCCAACGTATAGAGCGATCCTCGCCTGTTTCCACTTGTTCAGATCACCGCCTTTTCCACACCCGACATCCAGTACTTTGCCTCTTGGACGATGAGCAAACTTGCCAATGAGCACCGACTTGATCCAGTTGTTGAACTTTTTGAGACCAATGATGGGAGAGAATTCACGTCGCTCGACCCCAACGTCTGGCCGAGAATTGTCTGAACAGAGTATTAGCTTATGTGGAAATGATGGGAAGGAACGTACAAAAGTTTGCAACTTGTGCCACCTTCTTGCTATGCGCCTGTCTCGCTTGATAGTTCGAGACAGCCTTCTTTGAAGGGTAATTCTCCACCTCGTCTTCCCTGCCGCGTTTCGTGCCATGGTGCGTCTCCTGATCATATCCTAGATTCTGCTGCCGATACCCCTTCTCGTGTCCATACCCATATCCATTCCCATTGTCCCCTCTGCCTTTCTGTAAAGAGCCACTGGCAGCTTGGTCTTCCCAATTAGGCGGGTATCCATGGCCATGTCCACCAGGCGTGGGAGTGTTTATCGACCCACCCGAAGCCGAGACAGCACTTCTATCGTCCCACTGATGCTGCTGAGGAGGATAGCCCGCCGATTGCGCGCTTTGCGGAGGAAAGTACGAAGTGTCGCTCTCGTATGGCAAGCTCCTACGGGGTGTAGGCGTGGGCTCGGGAGCTCGGCTCGCACTCCGACTGGCAGAGGGTGCGTGTCCAAATTTACGACGCAGAGGATTGTTATTGCGAGCCAATTGTCTGAGATGGTCGATCTCGTCGGCATAGATCACACGAGTGGGTCGATCAGGGTGGTAAGGCTTCGAGCGAGGGGGTGGGACGACAGCGTGATGTGTATAAGGAGATGGAGAGGGAGAGAAAGGCTGAGGCGTGACGCGTGGGGGAGGGTATGAACCAGGCGTAGACTGATGCCTCGGCTGGTACGCCGACGGCACAGAGTTTGGCGGAGGCTGGGTCATACCCACCGGACTCTGCGCCACGGGCTCTGTATGTCTTCTGCCTGCGCCTGAGCTCGACGACGTCGGCCTCTGTTCCTCCGACAATCTTCTGCTAGAGATGACTGGCGACAATGTGTTTTGTCTACTGAGATGGATCGGTTGGTGAGAGTACGTGTAAGGTTCTCTTGCGCTTTGAGCAGACCCTGGTCGGGAGGTGGAATGAGGAAGGGCTTGATGCTGGCTTCGCGGAGAGACACTAATTGACGGTGACCTTGCAGTAATGGAAGCACCAGGGAATGAGCTACCAGATGTACGCCTTTCCTCGTATTCGGCATGTGGATGATGAGGCTGCAGAGGGGGTAACATACTGCCTGGCCGAGGCTCCCCGGACCCCGCAGAGTATACCGGGCTTTCATGGGAAGGGGTTGGGATATGATGGGTAGGAGGACTCGTATGCAGTAAAGGAGATCGACTGATACTGAGTCGGCTGGGATAACCAGGGACGGCAGATGCCGGCGTGGCGGGAGCCAGGAAACCGCTCGAGTCGGCCCTCGATTCAGCCCGCTTGGGGGATAGCGAGCCGCTCACGAGGCTGCCGCCAGAATGGGTAGAGGCGCTGGTAGGGACAGGGGGGTCGTCGTTGAGTAGATTTTTCAATTTCGGTTTGTGAGACTCGGTGTCACCACCAGCTGACGAAAGACTCGTTCTTTCGCTGGCGCGTCTGGGGACCTCGGGCTCTGGGTCGTTCAGCAATCCTCTCAGACTGCCCGAGCTGGAAGGTATTCTTTGGACTGGAGGCGGTGGGGAGTGCGATGTTGCGCTGGAGGATGATATAGCCCTCGAGTGCGAAGGATATGGATGGTGGGTAGAGGATGGTTCGCCGAGCTCTCTGTCTCGATCTGACAACGTTGGCTGAGCGTAATTGGAGACAGGATATCTTCTTGAGTGCTGTATTGAGGGCGAAGGAACATCACAGTCCCGGATTGGATCGTATACCATGGCTGAGGGATTGTTTCGGGAGAAGGAAAAGAGCGCGATGGGAGAGGCTGATGTTGCGGTGTTACGCTGAAGTGGGAGGGGTATATGTTGGTGGGGTGGGCGGCCGAGGAATTACGCCTGAGGTACCCCCTGATGAGCGCGAGGGGGCGTGGAGGGCGGGGAGTGCAGAGGAGATGCGTCAGAAAGAGCCAAATATCAACAAAGCTGGACGGGCACGCTTTTTCGTCGGCGTTTTGGCAAAAACCGGGGGACTTTGCAGGCCAAGGGGCGTCCAAAGACATCGCCATGCATCTCTCCATCCATCCCATTCCAGCATGACTGCAGCACCCCCCACTGTGCCGTCAGACCAGAACGGAAACCCGCTCCCTCGATCCCACGCAGGGCCCTCTCGGCGACCGCAAAGGGAAGACTCCTGGGCGCCTACCCGCTACCTCGAACCGCCCCATCCCGACAATGAAGAGGTGCTGGAGCAAGCAGCGTATCAGGCAGCTGTGACTCGAGCCCCAGGAGACGACAGAAAGCGAAAGATAAAGCCAAGAAGAACAGTGGATTACCAGGGCGGTGTACAGAAATGGCGCATGGTGGGTCACAGTCAACTCGCTGGACGATAATAGCTAATGCATACCATGCTCAGCTCAACAAGCTGAAGGGCATACACGAATTTAGACCTTCTATACACCCCAACGCTTCGGACATTGTAAACGTAGCTCAACAATCTCAGCTGTTTGGGGCCATCGTTGACTCTTCATAGCTGCTACCTCCAATGGCTCTGCGGTCAAATCCTTCGACTTCTGTATGTGACTATTGGGTTCACACTTCAATCAACAAGGAACGCTCTCCAACGCGTGTAGTCCAGGTGCGTTGTATCTCCATCGACGAGTAAGGTGCTGACCCCTCCAAGTGGACACCGGACGCCCGACGTCTGCTCACTGGTAACGACAAAGGTCAATTCACCCTCTGGAACGGCGCCTCCTTCAACTATGAATCCATCACTCAAGTCCATGACGACTCCATTCGATCCTTCACCTACTCGCATAACGGGCAAGCTCTAGTCTCCGCAGACAAAGGCGGGACAATCAAATACTTTACGCCCCATTTGACAAATATCCACGGATTCCAAGGGCATAGAGAAGCATGTCACGATGTCAGCTGGAGTCCCAACGATGAGCGATTTGTCTCCTGTGGAGATGATGGTTTGGTTAAGATCTGGAGCTATAGAGAAGCTAAAGAGGAAAAGACTTTGTCGGGTTAGTCGTTGAGTCCTGCCATGTTCAAAGTCGCTGACGGTTTTTAGGACACGGTTGGGATGTTCGATGCGTCGACTGGCACCCTACGAAGGGGTTGATCGCTTCCGGATCTAAAGACATGCTCGTCAAGTTTTGGGATCCGCGAACAGGAAAAGATCTCAGTACCTTGTATGTTTGAGCAACACGAGTCAAAGACCCTACTGACGTTGCCAAAGACACTCTGCAAAATCTACTGTCAACGCTTGTCGCTGGTCTCCCGATGGCCATCTTGTTGCAACAGGAGGCCAAGACAATGTCATTCGACTTTTCGACATTCGGACTTTCCGTGAACTGGAGGTCTTGAAAGGTCATCAGAAGGAAGTCAACACCATTGAATTCCACCCCATCCACCATTCTCTCATTGTTTCTGGCGACGCTGCAGGGGCTATCAACTATTATTCGCTAGACTCACCTACCCCTAGCGAACCTATCACATCACTCTCGGCCGCTCATGAGGATGCCGTCTTTTCGCTTTCTTGGCATCCACTTGGACACATCTTGTGTTCAGGATCAAGAGACTTTACGGCGAGGTTCTGGTGTCGTGCCCGACCTTCTGGTGGACAAGAGGACGATAAATGGCATTTGGGTGAAGATGGCGCTGCACAGAGAGAGCTCGAGAAGGTGCACAAACGAGCTTGGGGAGTGCCTGCCCGTAGCGAGAAGAAAGAGGAGGCCTCTTTGCCGGGTCTTTCAAATCTCATGGCGACTGTCGGCAACAACAATTCTCACTCTTCTTCCCTCCCGGGTCTGTCAGCACCTCCCGGCCTTCCCGGTCTTGGTGGTCTCGGTGCCTCTAATGATGGTCCATCGCGGACATCCACACCCGGAAGTATGAGTGATGCCGGCTTCCGGAGAGGCGCGCTGCCGAGCCAAGGAGATATGCTGAAGCAGAATAATGTGCCCGGCGGGAGGTTTGGTGAACGAGGACCAGTGTCGGAGAACAGGGACCGACCACCATTCCGTGGTGCTCCTGGTAATGCGCCCCCTGCGTCCGCGTCGGGTGGCTACCCGTCTGCGGGACAAGGAAGCAAAGGCTACGGTGGCTACCCGCCACCTGGTGCTCCTCAGGGGGGGTACTCCAATCACCCGCCACCTAGTGGTGGTTCAGGGTATGGCGGTCCACCTCAACAGGGACAAGCTGGGTACCCGCCTTATGGTAGAGATGGCAGAGACGGCAGGGATGACAGGGACAGCCGAGACGGTAGACCGCAGGACAGAGATCCGAGAGGTGGACAAGGATATGGGGGTGGAGGTGCGGGTCAATATGGCAGTAGTGGCGGAGGATATGGGGGAGGCGGCGGTAGAGGAGGCTACAGTGGAGGAGGTGGCAGAGGGGGCTACAATGGAGGGGGAAGCGGCGGATATGGCGGCCGCTACTAGATCTGCAAAGGGGATTGTGGTATACCACAAATGCATCATAATGTACAACAAATGTCAAACCCAGATGACCTCAAGACCTCCTGGTCTACTATCTAGCGGCCCACCTCGTGCTCAGCGAGCAGCTGAACATCGTTATTAGCTCTCTCTCTTTCCAAAGACATGATTTTTGGCGTACCATATTAGGGATACCGTTGGAGATAGGGTAGACATGCCCACAACCCCGGCATGTCATGTTGCCCTCTTCCACATTGAGCTAAGCAGAGAGTCAGTCATAAGGAATTTGGGGCATATTTGTGATCATTCACCTCAAAGAGGACGTAATGCAACGCTTGCAGTTGCTCTTCGGAGAAGTCTTCAGGCATCTGCTCTGGGAGGCTGTTGTCGCCGAGCTGCAGGATGGTAAGTCAGTTCTGCTTTGCGTTCGAGCATCTTCTGTAATGCCTCGCCACACGTTCAAATACGCCCTGCGTCACCCAAAGAAGCATTCACGTACACTTCTGGCAGTGTCCACCAAAGCCCTCCAATCCAACTTTGGCAGGAACCTCTGAATGAAATCCGGGTTGAAATTGGCCTCCCTGATCACAGTCTCCACGTCAGAAAACACGAGCGGAAAGTTGTCTTTGGTGCAGTTCTCTAGAGGGGCGACTGTGGTCAGCAAAAGCAAATGGAAGTAGGACTAGCGCAACTTACTAACGTGGCACTGAAGCATATTGTGGGTGATTAATCGAACCATATTGACATAAGTCGCTGTGCGATACGGGGCTTCGTCGATTGGGGTGAGCAAAAGGGTTCCGGATGTTGAGCGTTATAGATGACGGTCAAGGCCAATGTCGCAAAAGGTCAAGAAGCCGGCGTTCTTCAAAATTCACGGTCATGATTATCTTACGTAAATCAGGCGCGACGACCGCCGGCGTCGGTACTCCTTCTATATGAAGCATCGCTGCACCGTCTATCAGCATTCACCAGATCAAAAAGTATCAATTCAATCCCAACATGGCTGTAAGAGGAACACAGGAATCAGCCCCGACCCACACGAAACTCTACAGACCATATTTCGCCCCCGCCGAAGTCGAACGCCTGTCAGCGAAGCAGCGCGGCAAGCTCAGTGTCTCGAGAGAGGAGCGGGCTAGGCAGCAGGCCTGCTCCTTTATTGACGCCACAGGGGTCAGATGTGGATTGTAGGTTCTGGACAATATCTTTGGGTGAATGAAAGCTGACACGCTCAGTCCGAGACGGACAATTGCAACAGCCCAGCAGCTTTATATGAGGTTTCACCTCTTCTTCCCATACAAGGATTTCAATTACATCGTGGGCGGCGTGATTTGTACCATGCCTGTTTTAGCTGACCCAAATCTCAGGAGGTTTCCCTGGCAGCCCTTTACGTATCTTCAAAACTGCTTGATACACTCAAGAAACCGCGCGACATCATCCTTGCCTCTTATCCCATCCGATTCCCTCAGCTTGTTCGAAAAGGGACGATCGATCCTTCTGTCGCCCAAGCACATGGACTAGATAGCGAGCGCTTAAGAGTGCTGAGTATAGAGAGGCTAGTATTGGAGACTTTGGCGTTCCATTTTGGGGCGCAGGATGGGTTAAAGGTGGTGATCAAGATTGGCAAAAAGCTGGGATGTGAGCGACCAAAGATTGTCGTCTGGTAATGGGCTGACTCTTTCCCAGTAAGCAAGTCACTATGTGGTGACGCTTGGAGAGTGGCTATAGATTGGTCAGTGAACATCAGCAAACCATAGGATCTACCATGCTGATTGTCGTCTGCAGTCATCGGACACAAGCCCCTCTCTCCTACCCGCCTCATATCATTGCCCTTGGATCGATCTACGCAGCATCTTTACTGTTATCCGAGTCTGACCTGCCGAGTGAGCCCTCATCAACGGCCAACGAAAAGTCAATATTATGGGTCGTGGATTTACTGGGTAACGAGGGCGGATGGGAGAAAGATTATATCACAAGCGTTGGACAAGTAGATGGTCAGTCTCCTTTCATTCCGTTACTGCTTACAACATTGATCCCAAACGCCGCTTAGACGTCACCCATGCTTTGTTGGATCTATACCACTCCATCCGCTCCAACCCTGAAAACCAGCCTCTCCTTACTCCCTCCCCTGTGTCTCCCCATGATCATCCCCCATCGGCCGCTCCCCAGAACCCCTCGTCCCTGTACTCGTCTCTCACAGCTTTTCCTTTACCAAGCTACTGGACACCACAGACGTTGACAGAATTGAAGATCAGATTGAGGGAAAAGAGGGGCAGTGTGGCCACAGTGCCTCCTATGTGGGATGGAAGGGAGGACGGAGAGACGGTGCAGATCTCAGATGGGATGGGAAGGAATGACGCTACATTGAGGTTTTTGTGGGATGAGGAGACTATCAGTGGTGGAGATGTAGGCCCATGACTTGAGAGGCCAGCACAATCATCGTAGACGTGCGGCGCTCGTACTGAAATATAATGATGCACATCTAGAAACAACCATTATGCATGAACCGTGAATTATAAGTTGATGTCACTACTGCAGTCCAGATTATACTTCGCCTACGCATTATGTCGCCGCCAGCCTACTAGAGCCTTACTACGCCGCCATAGCAAAACAACCTCAGCCAGCCAGCTTCGTACCCTGCTGCCGCTTAGTGAGCAGGAGCCTTCTCCTCGTCGACAAACTTCTCTTCGTAGGGAAGTTCGTGTATGGTTCGGCCCCAGTGGCCGCCACTAGCAAGAACGGGGAGAAGACACAGGTAGATCAGGTTGAACCCAAAGAGCATCCAACCAAGACCTTCGGTACCCTATTGATTTCGTCAGCTACCGTCTAACAAGCGTCAAGGATACGCACTCGAAGGACACCACAAAGATCGCCGTTGTTTGCAAGGCTGGTGTCACAGTACTTTGAGTGGTGTCGGAGAACGGTGGTAGCGACGATACAGGCTAGCAAGATGTATCAGCCATGGTCTCCGAATTATCGATGAGCGATCACTTACCAAAGCTGAAGCAGGTGAAAAGTCCAATGACAGCTGCAACGGAAGAGGCCCGGAACAATTTCGATCTCGGCATGATCATGAGCCAGAGAACATAAAGCCACTCCAGGATTGAGCAGACAATAAGGGCAACGACTGCAGGAGGGTAGGTGTTGCTGTAATGCCTCACTTTGAGGATCATTATAATGTCGATGATGAACTAGTGCGGCCGCCTGTGAGCTGAACTATGCGGGTGATGGCTAACGCATGACTCACCGAGCAGAAGGCCGAAGCCAAAAGCAAGCCCGTGACAAGGCCCTTGATGCTTCTAAGCCTTCAATCACTTTCAGCAAGTCCATCGCCACCATGAACTTGAGACTCACCAGGTTCCGGGCATGATCAGCGTCTACGTATAAATGTATATGGGAGGTAAATTGATGTATTGGTTCTGGGAAAGATCAAGCAGTCGTCCGCCTTATATAGATACGCACGATCGAGACCATCAAAAGAGGATACCGTCATCCGCTTTGGATAGCGTAAAAAAGGACTGAAATCAAGTCTAAGAGTTGTGCTGCACCGTTGCCGTTCTGTCGGGTACATGACGGCCGGACCTTGTCTGGTAAGTCTGGTAAGTCAGATATGGTCAGCGAGGCCGTAATTCTGGATCTTGAGGAGGCTCCATTAGGGGTTGAGGCGCGATCCGACCAATGGCCGCGGAGAAAAGTCAGTTGGGATTGCGTGGCCCAGCGCCAGAAGACAGAGAAGCTCTTGCGCTAGGAGGAGACGTTTGAGACGTGCGTGGACTGCATCGGCAAGCAAAGAGAAGGACGAAACCGGAGATTGCGTAGCTCCCTGTCTATGACGGAGGATTCGTTCGCGGTTCAGAGTGGCGACGTGGACGCTGCCTCCACTTTCCTCTCCGGGCTTCCGATGAGTCCTCGGAGAACATCGCATCGTTTGTGAGGTTCCCTAGTGACCTCGATAAATCCGCGGACGACCCAGGATGGTACATTTATCTCTCGACTCGACCATCAAGCTGCCCAGCGGCAACCTCATTCCCCGCCTCGGCTTCGGTGTCTACCAAGCTCGCTCGAAGGAGTGTGAACAGGCGGTAATGAAGGCCGCAGAGGCTGGCTACAGACACGGTACGGCAGTGCATTTGAAAAGCAACATGTGCTGATATCGGCGCGACAGTGGATTCGGCTCAGGGTGTGTCTTTCGTCCCAAAGATGTTAGTCGAACACTGATCCGCCAGACAGGCTATCACAATGAAGAGTGTAAGAACATCTGGATATCGGCATGACTACTTGTTCACTCTGCGCTATCTTAGACGTCGGGAGGGCCATCAGAGATGTTTCCGTGCCACGCTCCTCCGTTTACTTGGCCACCAAGTACATGCCCTCACACAAAGTTTTCAGTCCCGAAGAGGTTCTGCAGGTCCTGCGAAAGTCTATCAAAAAAATCGATCGGTCGGGTGAAGGAGAGCCATACATCGACTTGATGCTGATACACGCACCCTGGGGCGGAGATGAAGGGCGGAGGAACAATTGGGAGGCGCTGGGCCTGGCACAGAAGGAAGGCTGGGTCAAAGATATCGGAGTGTCCAACTTGTGAGTCCTCCCGATCCACGGCAAAAACATGAAGCCGATATGTACCTCAGTGGGGTTGCCCATCTTAAATCTCTACCTGGACCTCTCCCAGCAGTCAACCAGATTGAGCTGCACCCTTTTTGCCAACAGCGCGACATCGTTGAATACTGCCAAGAGAAAGGCATCGCTATCGAAGCTTATTCGCCCCTCATGAGAGGAGAGGAGAGATATTGGAATCACCCTGTCTTGGTCAAAATATCAAAGAAGCACAAGAAAGATGTAGCTCAGATCGCTATCCGATGGAGCTTGCAAAAAGGGTACGTCGGCGTCCTATCGTCTTGCGATCGCGCGTGCTTACCATACACCGCCAGTTTCATCCCATTGCCCAAGTCTGTCACACCAGCCCGTATCCAATCCAATGCCGATGTGTTTGACTTTGAACTCAGCAGCGAGGAGATGGTAGAGATTGACGGACTCGATAAGGGCACGGAAGGCGCCATCACCTGGAATCCAGTTAATCACGAATAAGACATGCTCTGCTCGACGACCACTTTATATATCATTAAGGATGCATTGATGTCAAGAGATCCCATCTCTGATGAATGCAAGAAGACAAAAAAAAACCACGGAACTAGAATACACGTATATACCTATGTTTGAAGATTACCAAGGATTCTCCTCCGCCATTCTCTCCTCGTCTATTCTCTTCTTATTTGCTTCATAGCCCGCTGGAGAGTTCATCCCTGAAATGACCTCCATACTGCTTGCAAATCCACCAGACGCCTCACTCTCTCCCCATGCATTCAGGAACTCTGGAGGATGAGGTTTGGCGGGAGGCGCAGCCTTTGGGAGCTTGAGACCAGGAGTGGATGTGCCGGTAGCACTTGAGCTTGACCCCCATGTATTCCAGGCCCACCTGGAGCCTGTAGATGACGATTGGTGACCAGTGTCTGGTGATGGGGTTGTCACCGGCTCTGGATTACCCCAGCTGGGCATATCATCGGCCAAAGACATCTGTCTGACCTTGTAGGTGTTACCGGATATGTCGCCCCCGTCGTCCAGCTCGGCTGGGAATAATTTCGAGCTCTTGCCGTTATCGGGCGCCGTAGAAGACCAAGCATCATCAACAGGCGGAGGGGCAAAATCATGAGGTGGAGGAGCTGAACCACTCCTCTCTAGAGGGCGAGGCTCAGAGAGGGGAACATGCAGAGGCGGGAGCTTGCGAGGCTCGGGCTCACGAAGCTTGTCGACATCAATGTCTTTGCCGAGTTCTCGCGAGATCGCCTGGAAGTCAAAGCCGGCGGTCTTGGGAATGGCTTTGACTTCTTCTGCCTCCAAGCGACGATCTTCCTCTTCTTTGACTGCTCTCGCTCTTTCTGCCTGCGCAGCATCTTCAGCATCTGTAGCCTCCTTCTCCATGCCTGAGGCTGGCGAGTGAGACTTGGCCGAAGGAAGCTCTCCAATGTCGACTTCCTCTCGCGGAGGAAGATCATCATCATCCTCCAGCTCGTACTCGCCAGCGGCGGCAGCCTGCGTTGTAGTAGGCGTAGATGCGCCTGCATTGGGAGTATTTTGTCCAGAGTTCGACGCAGATGTCTGCTTGACCGGGAAGATCCCAAGAATCTTTCTGCGGTTCTTTTTTGCCTCTTCTTCGGCTTCGTTGACTATCGTTCGCTCCTGGACGCTCATATCAACGTCGGGGTCCTGTTAAGGGAATCAGCCTGTTATTGAGAAAATTGTGCAGACCACTGACCTCAGGTTCATCAAAGTATTCTGCCGTGACAGGGAAGCCAACCTTTTTCAGCAGTTGTGGCATACAGCTTCGGTAGCTCATATGGCCAGTAATGAGCTCAGTCACGTCCACGTTCTCCAGTCCTTGCACGGACTCGACCGGCCTCAACCCCGCCACAGTGTTTAAACCACCAGACGTGGCTCTGAAGAGGTATCCAAGCATCCAGTCGTTTGTGGCGTACCCATTGACGAACCGTCCGGCCACTACGCTACGGACATCTAGCCAGGTGGTTCGAGACGCAGTGACGGTGGTGCCGAATATGAAGACATCTTGAACGAGCCCGAAAGCCTTGTTTCGGGCCAGCTCGATGAGGGCGTAGAAGATCGCTCGGGCGCCCAGGGAGAATCCGATGAGTGAAATGGGACGAACACCAGCGTGGCGCTGCATGATCACATCTGCCAGAAGAAGACCTGCTGCTCTCGCGCGGTCGAGGGCGTTTGACCAAGGATTGTCGATGAGGTACCCGAGTTTGGTCAGGACTGCATCGGTTATCGGTGACAATTCTGACACGTTTCAAGAAGGTTGACTCACTCAGAGGCCATTGTAAAGCGCTCAATAGGGCAGTCATGACTGTAGCCTGCAATACTTGTTGACCAACTTGTGTCAGGATCTCGGAACCAAAGATCTTGAGGGCGCCGCCCATCTCTTCCATCATCTCTGGCTCCCACAGGATCGAAAACACATCACCAACAGATGGATCGAGAACTGAAAACGGGAGCCGGACGTCATCAACTTTACTGGCCATGAATCTGCGCCCTGTCAGTGCACCCCTCTAGTCTGCCCACGATTGACTCACCCTCCCATGGTAATGTAACAGCTGACCCTCTTGTTGTTGTGGAGAGGTTTCATCTGGAACGTTCGCACTTCTCTCGTCCTTCTAGCCATTCCTCTTCCAGCGATATTGGCGCCAGTCAAGACTCCACCTGTGGTGATAACAGCCGCACCCCCGGCACCAGCCAGAAATCCTGTAGTCCCAGTGATGCCGACTGTTGTGAAAGCGGCGCCAAGACCAGCTCCGATAAGCGGTGCCATCAAACCAGCGGAAAGCCCGATGACCAAACCACCGCCTGATGATCACGCATCAACACAGTACCCGACATGACAGACAAATTACTCACCAAGAGCAGCAGCGCCCATCATGGCATATCTCTTATTTCTAGCTGCCTTTTTTCTTCCATCGATGATCTCCTTTTGCTCCTTCTTCTCCATGCCTTCCTGAATTTCCAAAGCCTCCGTCACTCTGTTTTCAAAGCGTACTACGTCTAACCAGTCAAAGCCCAAGGCTGCGGCGACCTGTGTCAAGAACGTCCTTGACCGAGCATCAAAGACAGCATCGGCAATCAAGACGAGGAAGAGATCACATAGGATTGTCCAACGAATATCAAGGGTTACCAGCTGATCTGTGGTCGACAGAGAAGTCGAGACGCCGGGCAAGGATGGAAGGGGGGCGGGCGCTTGGCGATCTGCCGCGTCAAAGAGAACATTGGGATCATTCTTGGGAGTCTTTTCTCCTTCGTCCAAGTCTTTCGCCTTCTCAACCATGTCTTCTTCCGTTTTGGCCGGCGCTGCTTTTTCATCTCCGGATTTAGCAGTCTCGGGTGGAGTGAGGGGTAAAGAAGGTTCTGCAGGAGACAAGGGTGAAGCCGTAGATTCGGTCGAGGACAGAGGTGGTGAAAGAGCACCACCGATGTCACCACTGTCATCCCCAACGGGATCAGAAGAAGGCGTTCGTTTTATGGTAGAGGGCGGCGGTACATCTTCCTCGTCGTCCCACCCGAAAGGATTGACGCTCTTGGGCGATGTAGACGCAAGAGGCTCGCGGGACTTGAGAGACTTGAAGGACGGTGCAGGGATGGATATGTCGGTTTCGTCATCGTCATCAAACCCAAAAGGATTGATAGGCTTTGACGACAACTCCAAATCTAATGATTTCTGGCTAGATTGCGTAGATGCAACGCTTTCTGTTTGCTCTCGCCGAGAATAAGGAGGAGGCGCTTCGGTCTCTGTATCGGAGACCTCTTCCGCTTCATGACTTTTTCGACGAGACTTTTCTTCGCGGAGGGTCTCATCATCGGCTTGCTGTTCTATTATTCCGGCTTCCTCCAAGTCTGCTCGCTGCTTTTCTTGAGGGTCGTAGTCGGGGTTGTTGACAGTGTGGGTGGTCATCAGAGCGGGTACCAGATCAGAGGGGTCGACGCCATGCTCTGCCAGGCTCTCAATCATGCGTTGTTCTGCCCAAAGATCAGTAGACTCTAACGATTCAAACTTGACATACCATCTTTGCTGAGCTCCATGTGCTGATACAGCCTCGCCATAATCTTGAGCATCCATATATGCCCACTCTCCACCACCGGCACTTCAGATTTGCCGCCTTTGATGCCCAACACCTTCTTTGCCTTGTATCCTTCCCAGCCTCGGCCCATGTCCCGCAACATCCGCCGCATGATCAATTGACAGAGACCCACATACGCGATTCTCTGTCCCTCCGTCAAAAGCTCTTTCGTCGCTTGCATTTGACTCAACGGCGTCATCGCCTTGTCCTCATCGAACAGATACCGCGTCCTCATATGCACTTCTTCACTCTCCTCATCCTCGTCCAGCCTCAAGCGGGTGTAATCAGATTCGTCCTGATCAATTTTGGCCCGCCATGAACCGGTGGCGGCAGTTTCACTTTCGAGCTCAAGATGGGCGCCTGTAGCGTTGCCAGCCCCAGCTGGATTCGGGGAGGAGGGGTCGTCTTCAAGGCGGGTAGGAACTTGATAGTGATACTTTTTTTGATCCTCGTCGTCGAGACCAAAAGGGTTTGCCTCTGACCGGACAACTGGCATATCTATGTCGTGTAAGGGTACATTCCGCTGAGCTTCCAAGCAGAACTTACCTTGCCATCCTTCGTCATCGTCCCAGACTTCAGACAAGGTGTGTACAGCGGGAGTCGAAGCTGCCCGCCGGGGTGAAGGGATCATTGCGGTCGGTTCATCAAATGGGACGCGATGGGGAGGGGGTGGGGAGTCGTGGACGCGGTCGTATGCTGCAGGCGTGGTACTGGTCGACTGGCAGGCTAGTATCTCTGGGGGCTGGTTTCTGGGACAGGATTGGGCTCGACAGCGAGATATTACGGGGCAGCTGGTAGAAGAAAGTGGTCACGCAGCGTTGTCCCTGACGAACCCGCGCGAGCGCGCATGCGAGGACCGTCGGTGAATTTAGTACTCGTATTTACGCTACATATGTGATGTGTGCATCCATAAAGCATGCATGTCAAGAGCTGATAATATTACAGTAGTTGTGGATAATTGGTGTTTCTGGTTCTATCACAATGACATGCTCGCATTACAGCGACATCTGTCAATTCGAAGGCGGTTGCTCGGAGACTTGCCCATTCTCATTCCTGAGCGGCCATTCAATAGGCGGCTCGCCTCGAATGGCTCGCCACTTGTTGCTAATGTCCACCGCGACATCATCCACCAGTATACTGAAACAGGTCAGCAAGAAGCTGTTCAGGAGCAATTCGATGAACGTACGTGAACTGACGAACAAACTTTTCCGAGATTTCATAGCTACGATGGTCCAGTACATCATCGCCGTGCAGAGTGAACTTTGTATATGTATCAGCATATGACTCCCGTGATACAAGACACCCACCTCTGATAGCAAGGCATGGAAGACTTCCACCAAGTCATATCTTCCGCGCAACAAGATCATCCTATCTCTCATGGATGGGAAGCAGATTCCATCAATCGCATGCTCGTGTGGCACTGTACGTTGAATGACAGTGGGACGCAGCGAAGGGGGAAGGTGATATTCGTGGTTCATGCGGAAGCTGCAGGCCTTGGTCAGCTCTGATTTGTGAGATATCGCCGGACATACTTGTTCAGATGATACGTGATCAACTGCATGGCCTCCAGCTTTCTGTCTGCCGCGTCACTCTCCTCGATGGACTTGACTATCTGGTCCTGAGCCTTCTTTCTACCCTCTAGCTCTTCCTGCGACATGCCTGGTACCCCGAAATCATTGCGGCCTGACGGTACGAGTCGAGCTACGGCCTGAGCTGGCGTCTCGCGATCGGGCATCTGTAGCGGAGGCGTGCGGTTGAGAGAGGGCGGTTGGGAGTGGGGTCTCGGAGGTGCGTGAAAGGGGGGCGGGGGGCAGGTGCTTGCAAAGTCGGTGACCAAGGGGGGATGAGCCTGGGACTGGTGCATCGGCGGTGCAGAGGGATAAGGGGAAGAGGGATTTTGTCCAGTAGCGGCACCCAAGTCGGGTGCTCCCAAGGTGGATGGCGGAAGGGTCAGACCAAAGCCACTATCGATATCGGTTGGATAGGTTGAGGGTCCACCGTATCCATTTGTTTGTGGACGATCTGCTACTTGTCTTGGGTAGCCTTGATCTGCTCTTGGCTGGCCGGGCGGCGGGTTCGCGCTCGGACGTTCCATATTGGACTGTGATGTGAGGTCGAATTCAGACGTCATGAACATTCCGTCCAGGTCGGGGAAGAGATAGGTGTACTCGTCCGAGATGAATGGACTATCCCCGCTCTTTGTCCTCTTTGCCCCCTCACTCTGCGGCGCCTTCCCCTTGTCTTTACTCGCGCTCGACGGCCCAGCAACCGGCATCTGATCTTCGTCCCCAGCAGCAGAGGGCGTCTCGGTCTCGGCCGTACGTTTACGCTTGCCAGCAGCTGTGGACCGACGGCGTAGCTCGCCCAGCTTGATGCCGGGGTTTGCATCTTGCATTTCACGCGTGGCTTTAAGGTTCAGGAAGGCTTCATAGGCCGTGTCGGTGTCGGCGCGATTGACGACGGCATCAAGTTGGTCCGCCGTGAGGCCAAGTCTGGGGAGGCAAGAGCCAAGGCCTATAGGCAATCAGCAGGTGCGGGATGGTGGGGAAAAAATGCGTACCCTCGCCGACGAAAGAAGCCATTGAGCGTACCATCCCTCTGAGATCCTTATTCTCCTTGAGCAGATTCCTCACGAGCAGCGTCATAAGCCCCACTCGCTCCTCCTTGTTGGCCTCGAGCACCTGCACTTTGGCTTCCAGATCGCGAATCTACAATCTTGTGAGCTACATGAAGCGACTGCGAGGGCATGCGACCTACATATTGCTGCATCAAGAGTTAGCATAGGCCACATGTCTTTCTAGTCTGCTCACCTGTTTTCGTAGACGGAACTCTCGCTGAGCGATCCTATTCTGAGCCTTTCTCACCTGGCTCGACCTGACGAAGATTCAGCGCTGATCTTGACCTGTCAATGGCAAGCGTACGAGGATCCCTTGGCCCCTTCTTCTGGGGCGGCGGAACCAGCGCGCGAGCTGTCTTCGTCCTGTAGTGACCGCGATGCATTGCAGTGATTGATAGAGGCGGTACGAGGTATACCAGTAGTGAGCAGGTGCAAGGCGTGTCGCGAGAACCGAGTGCAAGGTGGTTGACGTCAACATGGTGAGGTCAGCAGGGTGAGTCAAGTGGCCAGGAGAGGAACAGGGATGGATTGGGAGGCGAGCGGTGAGCGACGGGTTCCCTGTAGTACGGGCCACTTACGTCGCTATCGTGGGCAGCGGAGGACTTCCGCGGCATACTGGGCGGGTTTCTGGATGGAGTGGTCGAAAGGCGCAAAGTGAAGAACGGCGAGTAAAAATGTAGCTGATTAAGCGGGAGTCGATAAGCCATCGCCGCCGCTGGTAAGCGTGCATCCGGTGTTTGAAAGTGGGTGCGAAACGGGTCTGGCGTATGCAGCCATACCAGGGCATGCATGTATAGTATGTAGTGCATGCACCATGAATTGCAACATGCATAGATCCAAAAAAATTAGTGAATGGGCATACAGACGCCCACTCATCTCTATCATCCCACACTCGACTCGTGCGATTATAGCAACATACTCGATCATGCGCTCCACAAACAATGACTGAAACCGAGAATAATGTGCCAGTGGTCAGAGAAAACCAAGTGGGAGTCAAGTAATGCATCATCTGTCGACGGCGTGGTAATAAATAAAGATAGCGAAAACGAAGAAGGCAACAAAGTGTTCTACAAGGCGCAAACAAAGTGTCTAAGCACCGAAACCGTAGAGGGTTCGGCCCTGCCTCTTGAGAGCGTAGACAACGTCGAGGGAAGTGACTGTGCCAAAGTCAGCGCGTGTGGATTGTTGAGATACAAGTCGACTCACCAGTCTTTCTCTTGGCGTGCTCAGTGTAGGTGACAGAGTCTCGGATGACGTTCTCAAGGAAGATCTTGAGGACACCTCGGGTCTCCTCGTAGATGAGACCGCTGAATGTTTGTCAGTTGGTGTCGACAGAAGAGGCAAAGTAGACTCACGAGATTCGCTTGACACCACCCCTTCGCGCCAATCGCCTGATAGCGGGCTTGGTGATACCCCTGGAGGATGTCAGTGAGGAAGAGGCAAGAGGTGGGGGATACTCACTGGATGTTGTCACGAAGCACCTTCCTGTGTCGCTTGGCACCACCCTTACCGAGACCCTTGCCGCCTTTTCCTCGACCAGACATTGTATATAAGTGTGTTGTTGGGGGTAGGGTGGGAGAGAGAAAGAGGGAAGTTGGAAACTTGTGGGATGAGAAGACAAACAGAGAGAGATGCAAATGGGTATTTATACGTCGCGGCGCGGTTGGAGGCTTGTTGCGTTTATCGAGGATCTAGGCACGCTCTATTTCTTAATTCACCTGCACGTGACTGGGAGAAATAGTAATTCTCCCGGCGTTATCGCGCGTGGCACTGCTAATTACAATTGGCCCTGCATCCAAACATCCACCAAGCAGGAAGGGAAAGGGATGGGATGGAGGGGCCACTCCACAGCGTATGCCTCGTCACCCACCTTGGGCCAGTATGTACGCATCGCCAGCCATCCACCTTCTCGCTGGCCAGTCGCCCATTCACAACTTCACAAGGGATTATGGGAGAGCTGGGAGACGGCACCCGACAAGCGACAACCCAACAAACAGGGCAAAATCATCCCTCGAATTCTTCATTCACCTTCCCATCTTCTTGCTCGCATGCAAACAAGCGTCGCCTGGCTGCTTTCGTCCCCGCCATTCCGCCCCTTAGCTTCTTTCATCAGGCTTTCGCCTCTCACCATGTCCTCTTTGCCCACCTACCTTGCTGCCTCCGCCCGTGTCAATACACGTCTCATTGGCGTCCCCCATTTCGTCATCATGAGAATTCGATCAAATCCCTCCAGCCACAAGCTGCCTTTGATGTCTCTCCACCCAACATGAGGTCGCGCGCAAACCTGCATGGGGGCGCCCGTCAATCATGCGGTCGCGTCCATGCTCTTCAAGAATCGACAAAAACGTTCATGACTATACACATATTACACGCTCCAGTCACAATAATATATCAACAAAAATCTCTTATGCGAATGCTAATGTCTAATCATCTTACAGCTTCCCTCACTCCCTCCTCTCTTTACCGACCGATCCCCAGAAACTCCCCTTCTCTACGCCTTGCACCAGCTGCTCCACATTCCCCAACCACTTGCCGAGCTATCGCCAATCAGCATTAGTCAAACAACCAACAGAAAACCCACCATTTCCTTCTTCTCAGCCACCGACTTGATCTCACCCTCCTTGTGCCCTTTCTCAACAGCCTTTTGCGTTATCGACGACACCCTCTTTGCAGGGCCCAATACAACTTTGGGCGACGCTGCCATCCCTGCCAACGATGGGGTGGACATGCTCGGCGGCAAGCCCCTCGTCAAGTTTGCAGGGAACGCGCGAGGTTTCGAAGGCCCGGGTTTGTGCGCGCTAGGAACGACCGGGACGTCTGGAATGCTGGCAGGAGGTGGTGGTGGGAGGCCAGATAGATGGGATTGAGTTCGGGAGTGACGCGTTCGAGGTGTGCGAGGAGCGAGAGACGAACCGGAAGAGCCATCCCTACTCTTTTGGGCAGTTCCTTCGCGGGGTGCAGGGCTAGGGCTCACACGTCTCAGACTCTCGCTTCTCCCGAGCCTAGACGCAGGTCGACTTGCCAGCATTTGCGTCTGCGACCGGGGGATGCCGTGGGATGGCACGACAGTAGACGAGCCCGATGAACCAGAATGGGACCGCTCCGAGCTTGAGGCAAGGTTGAACGGGTCGGTCGATAGCCCTGACATGTTTGGTCGTGTGCTGCTTCGAGACATCCCTGTCCGGGGCATTCCCAGACCTAATCTTCCGCTTTCGTCGCTCGACCCCCGATTCATACTCTCGCTCCTTGGAGTCATCCTTTCTGTAGGGGAATCCTCGTCCAACAATCGCGACAGTCCCGTAGTTGACTGGCTGACCTTGACCTGAGGCGTCGCGATCGGCGAACCAGATATGGGAGGAAGAGCTGGGGTCGAGCTGGATGAGTAGCTCGTGCCAGAAACATGGCGATGAGCAGGAGTGAGGAATCCGAGGCTGGGTTGGGGCCGTTTACGGGGCGTCATGGGGACGAAGGCGACATTGACGTCGTCGAGCTCTGCTTGGCGAGGTTTCGAGTGCGGACCGTGACGGTTGTTGCCCAAGGAAGGAGGGGAGGGTGGGTAAAGAGAGCCGTTGGAGACATCTGCGTTGGACGATGCGATAAGCCGTTGGTTGGCCTCTGATTCGGGTAGAAGGTAGAAATAGAGAAACTCTATACACTTCATTCTATAACACGGTCAGCGCCTCACAATGTAATCAGAGTCCACCTACCGAACATCCTTTGTCACCCCTGACCCTTTCAACACTCTCACAACCGCCTCTAGTCCACTGAGTTTCTCAAACGTCCTCGCGTTCTTGGGCGAATCCACAAGGATGCAAAAGAGTAGCTCCAGAATGCCATAACATATCGGCTTATCTTCCTTGAGAGCCGGCTGGGCCCGCAGTAGTAGCAGACTGTCAATGAACATCTATAGCACGTCAGTCCAGCGGATCATGCTTCCTTGCTCGGGCTCACCTCCAAGACACATTCGTCCCCAATAGCTTCCTTGCATTTCTGACTCAGAAGGCACAAACCTTGGAGCATACTGACAATGGCGTGCAATTCCGGTATCAAACCTATTGCGAGGTCGTCGCCTGCAGGCAATGAAGTGTGAGACGAGCGAAGGGACAATGCAGAAGCATGTCTATTGAGCAGACTGAGAAGCGTCGAATAGGCTGCAAACAGGTCAGCTTGTGCTGCAAAGTCACAGAATACTTGCGTGTGAGCGATAGAAAGTCTTCAAGAGCGCTAGCGTCTTCGGCCTGGCAAGCATGGACAAGATGCTTTCCCAGCCCATCGAGGGCCGCCAGTCTCCTTTTACTGGAGCTCCGTAATGACTTGAGCTAAAGACAGGATCAGCCCGGTCAGTATACAATATGTTAACGCACGTCATGAAGCAACTCTTCTGCACTTCCCTCGCCCCGCTCCCTCTTGACCTCCTTCACAGCATCCCCTGTCCTTTCTCTCCTTCTCTCTTCCACCATTCCAGTGAGTCCATGCAAGACACTGAGGCTCGCCGATTCTGATTGCGCTTCGTTGGACCCCGGCGGCAAATGGCTACGCCCCCTACGTTCTCTCTGAGGCTTTGACGGCGGCGGAGCAGCCTCTGCCGGATTCGAGGAGGCAATGACAGAGAGCGCCGAGGTCGACAGTGACTTTCTGTGGCCTGTCTTGGACATTGTTGGATTTGTTGTTTGGTGGCAGAGAAGGTCGATCAACTGAAAACAACAACATCTGACGAAACAAAGACGGCGCGTGGAGTGTTACGTAACAACAAAGCCGAATATAGCCCATCACCATTCATCCCCCGGGGCCCCCCGGTCCAGGACAGGGCATCACCTGTCCAACTGATAAAATAGGATTTCGGTCTTCTGCGAAATGATACGAGCCGAAGAGTCATCTCTGATTCTGCATTTTGAATCCACCTCAGCGCAATATTCGCCAGTATTCGTTCAGTAATCACTCAAACATGGCCTCATGACCAACTCTGACCCCCAACATCCCATCGACCTCGAAAGAGGACCATCTTTCGACGATGATGTCTCTGCGCACGGCAAGTTGGCCAACAGAAGCCAAGGACTACTATCGCCTCGCACAGCAAAGGACGAGCACTCCTCGGATCCGATCACCTTGACGCCGACGTCCTTATCTACTCGCGAAGCCCGCCAAGTTATAGCAGCTTTCCCGACTTCCCCAAGCAATCCCTTGAACTGGAGTGGAAAGAAAAAGTGGGCCATTACAGCTACACTTGCCCTGACAGGATTCATCTCCACCGCAGGGAGCTCGGTGGGCGTTCCGGGAATGCATTCAGTTATGGAAGAGTTTGGGGTGAAGAATGAAAAGATCGGGGTCCTGATATCGAGTGCCTATGTTTTGGGCTTGGGGTGCGTGACGGAACGTTTCCGTGAACGATTACTGACAGTGGTATAGCTTTGGCCCGTTTGTATTCGCTCCAGTATCAGAGCTGTATGGGCGTCAAGTGGCATACTTCTCCAGTCAGTTTCTGTACGTTGTCTTCTCCTTGGGGACAGGCTTCTCTCAAAAGTAAGTAGATCTTATCCAAACAGCCGCGTACAGTATGACTAATGACGCTTCGAAGCATGCCCACTCTGATCATCCTTCGTTTGTAAGAATACTGAAATCCCTCGCGCATAATCACTGAGTATAATTAGCCTTTGTGGTTGCTGGGGATCCCCTCCGCCCTCTTTGGGAGTCGCAACATGCGCAGATGTGAGTGTTCCTTGTGCTGAAAGCTACTGGCTCTGACGTAAATTGTAGATATTTGCGCCTCATGAGAGGGGCAAACCCATCTCTCTATACGCCCTAGGACCCATGGTGAGCTTTGTCCATAGAGTATCAATAATGCTCATGACAATCAGGGCGGGCCCGTGATCGGCAATATGGTCGGATACTGGTTGCTCTTCGGTGGTTGGAGATGGGCGTACTACTTCATAACCATACTCTCCGCACTCAATCTGACACTGCTGTGTCTGATACTACGTGAGACATATGCGCCGTGAGTTTGACCGTTCTGATGTGGGCTCATCTGACGTTGACTTTTCAAGGGCCATTCAAAAGATTCTTACACATCGTGCTACGCATCCTCTAGCTTCGTCATCGAGATTTGGTCGATATGTCCCTGTCCTCTCCTGGATGCCAGCTATGGTATCGAGAGCAGATGCCAAGGCTGTATACGGCAGAGCGTTCTCTCGCCCACCAAGGCTTCTCTTCACCAATCCTGTCGCCTTCGGATTCTCGATGTATTACGGATATGTTTACGGTCAGTTTGGAGATGGTCGCCGATCGGACAACCCACTCATGCTTTTACAGGTATAATCTACCTCTTCATCATAGGACTTCCATTACTCTATGGAAAAGCGCCCTATAAGCAAGACAACCTCTTCTCTTATCAATGGCCACTCGGTACCATGGGACTTGCATATATATCTCTTGGTGGGTCGGCTGTCCTGCAAGAGATCGTCAAGACGGCTGATCGTACCATCAGGGCTGGGTTTTCTGATAGCTGCAGCTGTCACGTCCACCTTCCAGGATAGGATCTACAAGCATCTCTCAAAGGTCAATGGCGACAAGGGTCAGCCAGAGTATCGAGTGAGGGGTTGCTCATTTGCAGTGGCACCCAGATGCTAACGACCTCAGCTTGTGATGACCCAGATTGGGATGTGTGTGATGCCCCTTGGGCTGTTCATCTTTGTGAGTCCTGCGCCTTTTCTAGCTTTTTTACTCCGTCCCTGACGGTGACTGTGAAGGCTTGGACGGCGAACGCAGAGGTCCACTGGATAGCACCCTGTATTGGACAAGCCATCACCGGTCTGGGGCTCATGTTGGCATTCAACACCCTCCAAAACTTGTGAGTGGTTTCATGTTCTAGTCTTTGCGAGATGTCTGACCACGGTTAGCTTTGTTGATGCTTTCTATCCTTACTCGGCGGCTGCCATCGCGGGTGCTACGGCTGTAAGCACGCACTTTCATTGGCCACCCAGACGCTCTTGCTGACTCGCAGTCAGACCCGTTCAGTAATAGCCTGCGTCCTACCGGTGTTTGTACCCGAGATGTTCTCCAAGCTTGGATGGGGATGGGGTGGCACTCTCATCGCCTGTGTCGCGCTTGTAGGTGTGCCCGGGCCGATTGTCGTGAGTGTAGACCTAGTATAATTACCAGTGAGGTGGGTCTAATATTCATCAGATGTTCTTCAGAGGACAGAGATTGCGAGAACGATTTGCGTTCCAGGGATGAGCGGCCATATTGCAAAGGTCCGATAATCCACAAGCTACAGGCGCACAGACGGGGCTGTGCATCTGACCCATCTTATCCATTATATGTATGTAGCATCAATCCGATATCCTACCACACAAGATCCTCCACCTTCCGGCCGCTTCGCAGCAAGGCAATGCCAGATAAGAGGTCATTACTACCCGAACCTTTTCATCCTGTTTGGTATTGAAAGTCCCATCCGAGGAATGGTACCAGTGGGCTTGTCACCACCTTTGGCAGGGGAGAGGTAGGACGGAATGACCCCGTCCCCACTCTGAAGATTGGTTGCGTTAGCGCGAGAGCACAAAGCACTTTGAATTTTACGCAGACATCACTCACGTCCATGATATGATCCCAAGAGAAGCTCGGCTTTGGCTGGATACCCAAGGTCCTCTTCTTCTTCTTCTTCTTCTCGTCCCCATCTTTCGAGATGTCTGTGCCATCCTCTTCGAGTCCCTCGTCTTTCCCGGCCACCTTGACCTTACTCGATTTGGTTTTGTTGTCCGTATCCGATTCCTCAAGAGGCGTGGCCTGGGTTTTGGAAAGAGCTTTGACTTTCTTGGTGGCGGGTTTGTCGGCTTCAGAGTCGAAGGCTAGGGGCGATTCTGCAGGACGCTTGGCCTTGGATTGAGGTTTGGCGTTCTGTGCAGATTGTCAGACCTTGAACAGGAAAGGGAGCGTTACTCACCGACACAGCCTTCTTGGCCTTCTTTTTCGGTGACTCGTCTTCGGATTCAGTATCTTCTGGGCTTGCCTACAGAAAGTCAGGAATTTTGTACACCAAATATAGTTATACGCACCTTCCTGGCGTTGTCCCCCTTCCCGGTACCAGACTTGTGAGCGCTCGCCCTGGACTCCTCATGTTCCTCCTGTAGCCTCTCCGCCTTCTCCTGGGCGTCCTTCAGCTTGTCCTTCAGCAGCCTCTCCCTCTCCTTCCCATCTTTCTTTGCCTTCTTCAAATCTTCCTTCAGCTCTTCAACCTCTTCTAGTCGTTTCTCGAGCTCGGACTCGAGACCCCGCATCTGTGTTCTAAGCTCCGTCTTCTCCTTTTGTCTGCTGCTGACCGATCCCTCTTCTCGCAACCAATTCTCCAGCTCAGATTTCGCTTCCTTCTCGCTAGACTTGAGAGCGCGCGTCTTTGACTCAAGAGCTTCTACTTTCGTCCGAAGGGAAACAATTTCTGCGCGAGCTGATAGGACCTCTGTCTGGGCTTGTCGTAGCTCTTTGGAAGAGGGTTGGGCAGAGGTGGCAGATTGGGCAGTATTACGCTCGGCCTCGAGTGAAGAAGACATCATAGCCAAGTTACTCTGAGAGAGTCGCATTTAGCAATTAAAGCACAATGTTGCCCCACGACGACATACCTCGAGGTCATCAATTTTGGCATCTCTTTCTTCGAGGTCTGCTAGCAGCTCCTCTTCGCGGGCTTGAAATAACGAGATTTTGTGGTCCCTCAAAACTGCCTTCGTCAGCGCCTGCAGACTGGTGTTCGCACCAATCTCACCTCTGGCTCTATCCGACTCCAAAAGCTGATTCTCGATCTCTACAACACGCATCTGTTCTTGAGCTAGCGCTATAAGGGCTTTTTGCTGTTGAATGCTAGAGTGCAGTTGGATCTGGTGTGCCGACAGTCAGATTGGGCGCCAAGAGGTTTTCAACATACCTGGTCTCTCATGGAAGATCCCTCGGATACACAATGCTCCAACTCCTTCTTGGACCACTCTAGCTCCTTTTTAACCATCCTAGAGGCATCCTTGATGGCTTTGATTTCTTCGTCTTTGGTCTGGATAGCTAGTTTGTAGCGGGTAGCCTCGGATACCAGTTTCCTCTGGAATTGACTATTAGCAGTCGTAAACCTCTTGAGGTAAGAGAGACTCACGTCCAGGGTTTGATTCTTCCGGACAAGCTCGCTGACCTGGCCGTGAAGCTGGTTGATTCTGACACGTGACGGGCCTGGCGTGACCGCGCTCTCCTCCTTGAGATACTCATTAGCAAGCTTTGGGGGCGTCCTGGCAAAGCGAGACATGGGGGCAGTGATCCTATGGGATAGACAAAGACCGTACAATCTTGTTGTTGTTGTTGTTGTTGTTGTTCAGATTGCTGTTCCTTGTTTGGTGCGCGTCAGCGGCGATGGCCGATCCGAGCTGCAACGAATTTCAGGCCACTTGTGACGAGTGACGACCGCCCGAGAAATGTTATACTTTCTCCTTTTCACTTGAAATATGCGTACAACAGCATAGTCCCAGCTCGTACAACAGTCATCATGACCACAGTCCCGATATTGACCAGAGCTCTGAGAGGGACGTTTTACCGCCTGTCCGCTTGTGCTTGCTGCACCTCTCATATTCATACACGTGCCTTCTCTTATGTCTATCCCAAGCCCCAGCTCTCCATACCGTACTCTACATACCCCGGCTATTCCAAAGGGAAAGGACGCGCATTTCCGAGTGGTGGCGGTAAAGGGGTAGACCCAGAAGAGGAAGTCGATGATAGAGAGTGGGATATACGAGTGGGTGCGTGTTGTTTTCGGCACATCTGTGCATGTAAGCTGACCAGATGAGAAAGCGAGGGCAATGATGCACCTACAAGAAACACTTCCGCAATTCTTCAATCCTGAGATGACCGCCTCGAACATGTTGCCACCTGAAGTTTACAGCCAGCACATGGTGCTCAAGCTGCCTGCGCCGCTCCCTCTTAAAGTACGCTGAAACCTGTTGACAATTCTGTCTGTCTAACAGTGTATAGATATCATCACTAACAGGGTATTCTATGGCATTCTCACTCACTCGTAATGGAATGCAAGGTACGCATGACAGCGGCAAATACCTAGCCACTGAGCTAACTTTTTGGTACAGCCCTCCACACCGATCTGCGATCAGATTTGGAGAGAATGACTTTCTCCCCGGCTCCCAGAGATCTTGCCAAAGATGACAAGCGCGCCGCTCTTCTTATGGCACAGAAAGGTGTTCCCAGTCACAGATTAAAACAAATCAGAGTGCTATTGTCGGTATATGGAACCCTACGGCTTCCACCTCACTCGGTATGCCCATGATCATGTGTACTTGGGGCTTACTCACCAACTATCGTGTAGGAGGCACGATGGCATACATCATCGTTGTATACATTTTCTCCCACATCAGGCTTGATCGTTTCCCACGAAGTTGAGACGATCAGACCCTTACCAGGAGAGGGTGTGGCAGAATGGCTCATGTCTCGGCTGCTTGGGTGGACAAACAGGAATGGGGTAGCAGAGGGAGCAATCCCGTGTCCCAGGACCGTCGCCCTCCCACCCGACTCGAGTATCGCGAGGCTGAAAAACGGCCGTGAAAAGGGCGAGTGAAAGTTTATCCAGCATACGAAACCAGTAGTCATCTATAGAGCATTGATTTGCAACCACACCTCAGCTATCAAATCGTAGAGCATGTAGCAAATCACCCTGCGCCTGTTATGGTTTCCCGACGAGTTTCAACGCAAGCTACTGTTGCTGACCGTATACATGTCCGATATTGTGCTAGCAACTTCACTTCTTTTTTCCCTTCTTCTTCCCCACACTGGCCTATGAAATTGTCAGCATCTGCCCTAGTACAAACATAACATGACATACCTTGCCATTGGGAGAGGCGACACCCTCCGAGGCCGTGGCGGTCGCCTGATTTGCGACTGGTGCTTCCTGCGGCACCTCAGGAAGGGCCTGAGGGGATGGTGTTGAAGCTTCCGGGGTGATAACAGCAGGAGCATTGGGGGTAGCTGGGAGTTGTGCAGTACTCGAGAGGTTGAGATACTTGCTTCGTCGCTCAAGACGCTTCTCTATGTGCCCAAAGTCAGTCAACCAGACTTTCAGAGACAAGGCCTGACTCACCTTCCATCTGCCTGATGACGTGCATATTCATCACCGTGTTTCTGGTCTTTTCCGCTTGAGCAGCTTCTGAAGCAGTCCCGAAGATAAATTGCCCCCACCCCTGCTTGAACGAGTTCGCCTCTGAGACCACGTCCAACACTTCGGCTTCTAGCTCCTTCTCGGCAGCCGCAAATCGTGCCATAGTGTCGTCTCCAATGAGCCCACGGGTGTGGAGATTGTTCAAGGCCATCTTGTCATCTCGAAGCTGAGCGAGTCGTTGAATGTCGACGATGGCACGCGCGAGAAGAGCGGATTTCAGCAAGTTGTCGGGAGTCGAGGGAGAGTTGGAGAGGAGAGACACGTAAATATCACGAGCAGGGTGGGTGGGAAAGTACGGGGTGAACGATGTCTTGGCGACTAGGGCAGCGTCAGAGATGATAGCCGGATCGTTGCGAGAAGACTTACCAGCCTTTCTCCGTCTGTATATCCTGGAGAAAATGGCCATAGCTGTGACGAGCACAGATATGTATGCCACTGGGGCAAGAAGGGAGGTCGCCATGGGGCACTCGGTGGGTAGGAATAACCTGCAAGATGGACAGAAAGTCGACGCTCAAGTTGATCTTGTCATGGTGGTGGACGGCGAGCGACGTGGAATTAGTTACGTAAGTGTACCGGCCTCCTCTACAACAGCAATCGACGGTGATGCTTGGTGTCTCGACGTTCTCTTTGCCTATGCATAGCCACATCCCCCGCGATCCCCCTCCCACCAGCCATGGCCAACCTCGAGCTCGAATCCGACAGCTACGACGTCGTTGTGATCGGCACCGGCGTCTCTCACAGCATCGCCGCGGCAGCCCTCGCCAAAGCTGGCAAGACTGTCCTCCACCTAGACCCCAACGACTACTACGGGGGAGATCAGGCCAGCTTGACTCTCGACGAGCTATCAGAGTGGATCAAGAGACAGCCCGAGACTGGGCAAGCAGAGGGCGTTGTCGCGTACTCGAACGCATCAGCGACCGCTCTGACACCTGCATTGGAGGCTGACCGACGGCGATATTCCCTGTCTCTCTTCCCAGCCCTGATACCATCACGGGGGAGACTGATCGAAACTTTGATATCATCCGACGTTGGCAAATACGTCTCGTTCAAGCTCCTAGACTCGGTTTCCATATGGAACCAAGAGCAGGGTGCGCCGCAGAGGGTACCCGGAAGCAAGGAAGACGTATTCAAGGACAAGAGCGTGACGCTCTTGGACAAGAGAAAGTTGATGAAGTTTTTGCTGTTTGCGGCTGGCGACTTTGAAGAAAGTGAAATACTGAAAGGTGAATTATTCAACAAATGACCTGTCACTAATCCGGGCATAGGCAAGGAGGACCAGCCCCTCTTGCAACTCTTGCAAGACTCATTCGGCCTATCCTCACAACTGGCTGCCTCCATCACTTATGCCATTGCCCACTGTGAATCTCCGAACGACAAGTCACTTCCCTCTCTGATACGTACTCGCCGTTATCTCCGATCCATTGGTCGGTATGGACCCTCGTCCTTCCTCGTCGGGCAGTATGGCGGGGCCGGAGAAGTTGCTCAAGGTTATTGTCGGTGAGTATTTCAAGATCATTGCCGCAGAGACTCTCTCATTCATATAGAGGCTGTGCAGTATTTGGTGGGACCTATGTCCTTGGATCCCCTTCAATACCGACGTCGTGTGTCATCACAGAAACGAGCGCCACAATCTCCGTCCCCTGCCATCCTCGCCCAGTCACTGCCAACCATATAATAGCCTCCACCGACTATCTAACGCCTGCTGCTCTGACGAAAGACGAAACCTTGTCTTCGCATGTCACTGTTTCTGCCCACTGCATTGCCATAACGTCTTCGCTCCCGGACGTCTTGCGCCGATCACGAGCCACCGAGAGTCAGAAAGTGGATCAGGACGAGAACGACGATACGTCTCTGCTTGTATTTCCGCCAGAGGGTGACAATTCTCTGGTTAGATGTCTGATCAACGGTGAAGGCACTGGCAGTTGTCCTGCAGGCCAGTGTAAGCAGATTTCCGCTCTTTTCTCGTGCCATGCTGATGATGTTTGGCATAGATATCATATACTTGTATGCCTCTTCGGATACTTCTTCGGATCCCTCTGCCCTTTTGAGGCCGTATCTTCATCGCTTGAGCGAACGGCCGACGTTTGAGGCGTACTACACGTGCTCACGTAAGAGTGCCCAAGAGACAGCCTCAACACCGCATGCCGTCGTCCTGAGGCCCTACCCGGGCAAGGAGCTGTTAACGGAAGGTCTCGATTGGGAAGCTCAAGAAGGGGAAAGGGTCTTCTATGAAGTCATGGGGAGAGATGGCAAAACGTTCTTTGAGAGCGAAGAGGCAGATGTTGGGGATAGCCAAGATGAGTAGTACGTTATTGTATGTGATGTACAAGTATTTCACTCCCCGTGCTCTCGAGCTCAATAGATCTTCATGACACCCATTTCTCGCATGTGTTGATCTCGCGCCTTTAGATATAGCCCTTTACCGCATCTTTGCTCAACGTTCCATTCGCCACCAATCTACTCAACAATGTCCTCATACCATCGAGCTTCCCCCGTAGCATCTCCGTCTCCTTCTCAAGCTCCTCGGCCTTCTCAATTTTTGCTCTTCTCTGATCCCTGGACCGTTTTGCAGCGTTCTTGGCTTTGAGCCTGTTCTTTGCAATTTTTTCGCCGAATGCTTTCGCGCGAGCATAGTTATCGGGATGAACATGCTTGAGAAGCTCTTCGAATGTGGGGAAAGATTGAATGGCGGCTGTACTCATACCCAATGCAATCTCGGCTGATCCGTCGCCGATTAACTTTTCCGGTACGACAGATTTAGGCCGGGCAGTGGATGCTTTTACATCTGCCACAGACGCGATTGACTCGTCGGGACTCGAGCTATCACTCTTGAGTGCAAATTGTAGCAATGGGCTATCAGGGGCGTTGGGGAGAAGTGCTTTGGGAGTCATGGTCAGGGGTGCAGTCAAAGATAATAGGTTGTCAACTTCAAAGGTCATGTCCCGACGTTTAGAATCCGGAACCCCATAATTAGACCCCTCAAATGCCTTCCTTTTCAATGTGAGGTTTTCGGGATGGACAGAGGTGTTCGACACGTCTTCTTCAAAGTTGACAAAGAGCTGAGACTGCTTCATTGCATCTTGAAGAGTGAGAGTCGGCCCCGCGTGGTCAAGTCGGTTGAAGAGGCTGGCAAGATCGATCTGGCTATGAGGCTCATTTCTATCGTTGTCTCTTCCTCCCACCACTGTACCAGGAAGAATAGGGCCAGATGAGTCAATATCCATCGTCGTGAAACCCTCTTGGCTGAAAATGTCATTTTGCCGATCAAGGTCTTCGAGTACCGAGCGGACATCGAATGGCTCAGGAAGGAGATGCTCTGAGGTAGGTGAGGCGACAGTGCTTGGCGGAGACCTTGGGATGTCAAGAAACTGAGGATCAATATACCTCGATGCCATAGTAGAGCTACCATGGATCGCACCGCCCTCTTGACCGTGGCGATGCGGTCGCATAACGCTTTCTTCAAGAAGTTCATCCCAAGATTCTTCTTCCCATACCGGAAGTTGTGAGGTAGCATCGATTTGCATCATGTTGGCCTTGAAGGCGTCCCGTGAAGTATTGAGAAAGATATTGGCCATGTCTGACTGTCCAACACCGGATAGGGCAGTCACACGTTCTGCTTTTGGGTGTCCTAAGAAAGTATTGGTCACGTTCTTCTCTCGAGGCTGGAACAGGGTATTTGGGTTGAGGTACTCTGGGATCTGGCTGTCGGAGGTAGAAGGAGGAGTGTTGGAGGTGAATGCCATAGCAGTGGTGACAGGGGAGATGTGTTGCGATCAGGGGCGTAATGGATGGGGTGAAGAATGGATGGCGCAAGACCGGGCTGCTTGGTGATGATGGGCAGATGCAGAGCAGCGAGACAATGAGGGTGACGGCGATACAGCATATGTGAGTGGCAAATGTATAATAATTCAGGCTCCGCCTCGAGGTTCTTGGTCTGTGCATGGATGGAGAGGTATGAGGCGTGCTAAAACGTGCAACTTGAATAATCCTTTGGGCACTCTTGGGCTCCCATCATTGTGACTCCTGCCGCCTTCCAATTATAAGCTGGATCCTTTGACCTAAACTCCACTTCTCTGAGGAGATAGGCGGCGCGTCTATCATGTAGATCTCCATACTGATACAATGATGTGAAGCCGTGGGTAGCATGCCTCTTGGATGCTCTACCTGAACGGGCGCTCGTACTTGAAGTATTGGGTGCCAGGGCACTACTCGAGCTGCGAGCGAGGTACGAGCTAGGTTAGCACAATAAGGGAATGCTCCGTCGTCTTTGACATGGGCATATCTCCACTCGGTCAGACATGGATTCCCCTTCTTATTGATGTGGTCACTCGCCATGATGAATTAAGTCGATAGCAGTAACTCGCCACTCTTCGGCGTTACGGAAGTAGTTACTCGCGTCACTATGTACTTTGGGTTGAATTCCGCCGGATATAATGCTGTGGGTTTGCCTCGGAGGGTGTAGGCGAGTGAGGTTGTTGAAAGATTGGCAGAGCCTAGTAGTAGAGTACATGCACTGCTGGGCTATAGGTACAGTACACTGCTGGGTATGACTCTATGCTTGTGGTTGTGGGGTGTCGGCTGGAGCGGTGCACGCCGCCGTCAACCTTACAATCTTAGCAATCAATCCAGTTAAATCTAATTTATCCACCTTATTCATTCTTAACGCTCCCCGTATTAAACCATGGGCCGAGGACTCGACCCCGTCTGGGAGTTCTACTACCGCATCGACCAAGATGTCCACTCGCTCGGTCTCAAATCAAAGGCCAACACTGCCCACAACAACGGCTGGTGCAGGAACTGCGTCCGGGCCACGGTCAACCAGCTCCTCAACTGGCAACCTGACCACCAGCTTTTGGTAGAGGCTGGGAATGAGGAGACTGCCCGAAGGTACAAAGGTGAGTGCGGGCCAATGCACGCCGACCAGCTCTGTTGACGCGATGCATAGCCATGTCCGAGTTGACTCCCCTCACCGGCGTTCCCAGCCGCCTCCGAAGCCACCTCATGAAGTGCCCTCATTCACGACACGTCGAGATCCCTCCCGCTTCCGTCCAGAAACGCAAGACCAAAGGTGGCGACGGCGCCTCTGGCAGCCGCCACAACTTGACTGGCACGCCCACCAAAGGGGGTAAATTCACCGCCGATGGGAGGTTTGGGGAAGAAGAGCAGGGCGAATTCAACGTCCATCTTTACCACCTCTTTGTCGCTCTCGATATCCCCTTTGATCTCGTGAGCAACCCCACGCTTCAGCAATTCGTCAACAGGTACATCCCCGGTGCCGGCCTGCCCTCTCGCAGCCTCTTCTACACCCTTAATGCGTCTCGCAGCATGGGTTCTACCGCCCCCACGCTTTCCGCTGCTCAAGGTGCGACGGGAGGGTCGCCCGACTTTCAGGGTCTGGCAAAGCTCGCTGCCAACTTTGCGGCTGTACCAATGGCGGGTGTAGGTGAACAGGAGACTGAGGAGGGGGAGATGGCGTATCAGCAGTAGTCACATTGTTTCAATCCACTTTAATTTTCGCTTTAGATCTTCCTCTTTTGAGCCTTATCTTTTGTATATGCCTCAGCGCCGTATCAAGACATGTATTGTACTGGTCATGGGCGGAGAAGGCTGGACCTTTTTAATATGTTGAATGTTACATGAACCAATGCCCGGAATGGAAACCTCATCTGACTCGTCCTCCACTAGCTGTTGCAATCATTAGCATCTGTCTAATAGGCATGCTGCTAAGGCTTACCATTCAGACATCACTCGTTTGGAGATCAGAAGAACGCGCCATACACTAAAAGCCGCACAAGCTCGGCAATGGCTGTAGAGATCATCAGCTGTATGACAGGGGTGCACGGAAGGAACCACTTACTACCTCCTACAAGCAAGAATCCCATAACAATCAAGACCCAAGTCCCCACACTTCGTCTCTGAGTTGACCTTGCAGGCCTCGCCGTCCTCTTTCCAGCTTGAGCTCGAGCAGCAAAGTTGGCGTTCTTGCGGCGGATGTCGTGGGCAGTTGGCTATACATCATTAGCCTTCAAAATCCCAGTCCAGCATATGACATACCATGATGGAAGAGCGCTCTGGGGATGGGGAAGAGGGCGAGGTGTTTTGAACTGCTTGTGTCGCTGCGGGGCTCGGGGCTATCGAGCTATAATTGAGCTGCGGGACTAAGGCTGCGAAGGATCTTGGAACAGGTGCACAATCCGGAATATCAACAAGGATCAACGCGCGAACGCGACTGCCAGCAGGATGCCAGCAAGGCGGCCGAATCGCCAAGCTTCCCGGTTGACGCGGTAAAATTGCGGAGTATACTCAGCAAAACCGCTCAATAATATTGAAACAGCGTAATTCAGAGGAAGAATGCGAGGCTCATATTACGTAACGCCAATGGCGTTCGGTTTGATCACCTCGAAGTCATGGGATCGAAACCCATCGCTGTTAATCTTTTTGCGTGTTGACTTCTTTACCTTCTTACATCTCTGGATAGCCAAGGAGCAGGGGTATCTGGAGGACCAACTTTTATACCTTTATCAGATTTTTGCGACCACGTATGGTCCGGGAAGAAACGACCCTGGCGAATCGGCCGCGGAGACGGCGATGACCGCCCGTGGTGCGGTCGGAGTTCGAACCTGGGTGCCGTCATTTTGTTTTGCTCTCTTCTCTTCATTTGCAAGAGTCGATTAACATGCACGTACCTAGTAGCTCTGTGCACTTTGAACGAGCGTTAACATTTCTAAAAAAGTAGACGCTCGACTGAATCGTGGTGCCATAGGAGTCAAGCGTATATGCATACAGTAAGTGTCACAAGATGAATTCTAGATACCGAATGAATCATAATGTACAACATGGAGATCACTTTGCCTTATCCGGTAGCTGCTTCTCGTACAGTCTCAGCAGCCTATTTACAGTCAGCATTGAACACTCTCCCGCTGCTACGACTCACAGATCCATGCCCTCCTCCAAGGGCAGGGTGACGAAACGATGCACCATGACTGGCAATCGCTCGTTGGCCGCAGTGATCTTTGGCACCCAAGTCATTGCTTCTCCCGTCGCCTCACCCAGCAGCTTGAGCCTCGGTATTGGCAGAGGTCTCTGCCCCTCGATCCGCCGCCGGAATGCCAATTGCTCTTCTGGGGCTGCGCCCTTGTCCTTGACATCGCCATCGCCACGGCGCCGGGCCCTGGTGAGCTGTTCCTGGTCGAGACCCTTGATCAAGGTATCAAACGTCTTGTACACTTGCTCGAAAAAGTAGGGCATAATAGATATGTCGAGGTCCCCTTCGCCCCAGACCAGGTCAAAGTCGTACACGATAGCGAGTGGTTTTGGCACTTCAACGGAGTCCATTGTCATGGTCTAAATTATCAGCCAAGTCCTGCAGTATGCAAACTCACCATCAATGGCAACGACGCAATCTCTTTGCGATGGTATGCGGACGCGGCGTGAATGGTTTCCTTCAGAGGACGATCCTTCTTGACTTCTTTTGCCGCTTTGACGCCATCACTGGAGACCCACTCGAGGTAGCTCACAAGCAAGTTCAAATCTCGTTTGGGCATTCCCTCGGTTGTCACCTGCCTCTCGAGATCCGCCTCAACTTTGCCAATCATGAATCGGTAAAAGTCGCCTCTCTGATTTTCACTGGGTGGGGCATTGAACAGACCAATGTCCACCCCACCCAAGTCAAAGCGCATATTCTGAGCCGTATTGACAGTGTTGTCGGTAGACAGGGACTGGCCAGCCCGACGAGCAGTTTTCAAAATAGCTGCAGCCATTGGTGTAGGCTCGGTCGACTTGCGAGCCTGCCCCAACTTGTAAGTGTTGGACCTATGAGAAGCGATGCGCTCTTGAGAATCGATAGTGTTGGAGACTGAATAGAACTTGTTGAGCAAAGCGGGAATCGCCAGCAAGCGGACCACTGAGCGAAAAGTTCCAGCCTTGACGGCAAAGGAGAGGATGACGGGCGCCATGCCATCTTGCGTGAATGCCTTCCAGTCGTCGGCAAGCGTGACTGTGGCGGGGTCAAGCCTACATTATTCAGCACGGGTTACACGTGTATACGAGACGACTCACGTAAAGCTAATCACACCGAGTTCTTGCAAAGACAGATCACCACTGAGATGCCCAGCGTCGATTGACATGCTGAGGACGGTGGGGTCATTGACAACACCGCTTCTTGAAGACTGTCTTGTGGTCTTCAAGCTTAAGCTCTCACTGCGAATCTCTCCCGAGATATCACCCCTTGCGATTACATGCGTGACCCCAAGACTGAAGCAGAGGTCTGTCTTGACCCCATTCGAGACTGCACGTATGACGATTGGGCTGATATTGAGTTTTGCCTTGGTGACGCCAATATTGGCGTCAAAGTCTACGGCTCGGAATCGGACCAAAGTTGAAATGACCGTGCTGTTGGGTAAAGTTGATGGGGACGACTCGACGATCGGTCTTGCTGGGCGCTGAATCTCGGGTGTATTATCAATCCACACAGCAGCAAACGCCAGCCACGCGCTGAACTGCTCGAGTCTGAATTGCGCAGATATCTGAGAGTCTAGCGCGACAGAGAGAAAACTTTGATCACCCAAGGCGCCGGAAGTGACGGAAAAGCCAATATCTTTGGCACCAGCTTCAATGCAGCTCCTGCCTTCGGCAAACTCGTGCTTGAGGTACGACGTGACCCCAGAGATTGAACCGGCAACAGTTGTATGACCTTTCGTGCCCGGCGTAAAGCTAGCAAAGAATCCACCGCTCTCCCACTTTAGATCCACATAAGAGTTCGAGTCGGGCGCGCAAGATAGTCGGAGTTCAGACTTGTCGATGCGCAGAGTGACACGAACATTGGTCGCAGTACGCTTTGGTGCCTGTACGGCTGGAACCGGGTCCGATGTCTTTGAGACAGACAAAGAGGGTACAGAAGAACCTTGTCGACGAGCCATGCGGTTGACGGTTTGCACAAAGAATGGGAGGATAGTCGGCCGTAGCAAGTTTCGGCTCTCGTGAACCGCCTGCGCGCAAATTAGAACAGTTGTACGCAGACCACATTACTTACAAGGTTAAACAACAAGAGACCCTCTTCATCTTGGGCTGGTCCGTTGTACTCTACCCACATCGAAACAGTTGGCAGGATGACAACATCGTGCCAGCCCTTTCCACCCCTCCTTGTCTCGCCGTCCATTGTTTGTCTTTCCGTATCCGATGGCTCCCTATGAAGCTCTACTACGCCACTGTTGAATGTGAAAGACATTCTCACCAGGATTAACTGAGATCGCGGAACGGGCTTTGGAGAAAGATGATCATCATATTTGGTGGTCAACGACTCTTGAGCGTGTTTGGCCATTTCTGTCTTGTAATGGGTCTCAGCAGTTGATATCCGCTCTTTTCCTTGCTCAAAGAGGTTGACCAGTTCGAGTATGCCATCAGAGACGTCGGGAGAAAGGACAAGTTTGAAATCGGTAGCGGAACAGTGCGCGGACAGTCGCCATTGATCATGGGAAGTGGACATTTGAGCTTCGCTTTCGATAGCAGGTAAAACCATGCAGTTCTTTGTTCCGTGAGCGTCGTGCGTGTAGTGATCGGTCTTGCCTTGGTCAAATCTGGAAGGGGATCAGCACGGAATCATTTCGGACGGTACTCACTGCTTGACAAATTGCAATGCCATAGTCTGCATTCTGAATCGCGCAATCGCATTGTGCTTGTTTTCATAGCTGATGTTTCTGATCGAAAAGAGCAAAGCAGGAACACCACCCGAGGGAATCTGAGCACTTTGGACCAGGGGAATGGCAATACCCACACCCTCAATTTTGACCGTCAGAAGACGGCTTGCCAGCCAAGAGCTTTCGGATCGGCCAGCACTATCTACAGACTCTAGCTTTTTGAGTACCTTTGTGGTTTGCTCCTTGACTTCAGCCATCTCCTCTGCTCTATGCTCTCGTAGAATATACAGATCGGAAGACCAACTCTTGAAGAGATCAATGAGCTCGTTCAGCGCCTCAACGTGCATAACCGTGCGCACTTGACTGAGGCTGATCTTGAGATGTAGAGCGGACGTAGGTGTCTCTGGTATCTCTTCCACCCGGACGTCCAATGTCATGGAGGCAGTACAAGGTCGACTTATTGGCAGAGAATTTTGGAGAGACCCCTTCTCGTAGGGATGGCCCAGGGACAAGCTGAAATGGTTCACCTGTGCGCTCCATTGAAGACCTTTGCCTGGGTGATGCTGGTTGTTTGCCGTTCCGATGATGGCAAGAGCCTCAAACATTACCGTCGCAGGTACATCTTCCGCCCGTAGGCCGAAGCGCAACCCAGCTACTCCAACGTTCAGATTGAAGATGATATCCCGCATAGCTGTAGGGGCAGGTGAGGGTGCGCCAGGGTGCTTGCCGCGTAGTTTGTCTCGTACCTTGGCAACATCGTGCTGCCAGGCGTCAACTAGCTCTCTCAGATCTTCCCCCAGCTTTTGGTGTAGGGACAGGAGTCTGTCAAGCATTGCGGGTCTCAAGACGCCGGTGAATAAACCAACCTGAACGTCCGCGGAAACGTGAGGTTTGTCTTCAAGCAGACGCCAAACGCCGGTGGCCGTCACGGAAGGTAGATGAAGCGCCGTAGCGTCACTGCTCTTGGACTTGCGGGAGGCGTAGGCACCGACAACCTGAGGAGCGGCTTTGAAAGCGAAGCGAATCGTCTCTGAGGCCGCCACCCTAGAGGCATACACTTTCCCTATATCCCACCGGACCCATAGCGCTCTGGCCGCTCTCACTTGCACTTGCAAGCGCTGCACAGTGATATCAAGTTCAGACAGCACTATTGGTTCTTGGTGGTGCGAAGAACTACTCTTGTGATCCTTGAGGACCTCTCGCATGTCTTCAATGCTGGACGCGTAGAGTCTACGACAACTGATCAGTCACAATCACAGCCATACAATAGACTCACGGTAGCTCTTGGGCTTTCCACTCTTGAACGAAAAAGTACAATGCACGAAGCTGAGGCCTAGAGTCAAATTCCAAGGCTTTCAAGCCCACCATTAATCTGACTTTTGCGATCTGGTCAGAGGATGTAAAGCGTTGCAAAGAGCTGGCCCATCCAGTCGTACGAAGTGACAGGACAATTCTGTCGACTGGACGAGCTTCGATTGTTTCATGTGGTTGCAGAAGGGCGACGTCTAAATTGTCAAGGGAGGCTGTCAGAGATTCCTTGTTGGATCTGGTGGTTCCCGCTTTGGAGCGAGACACCCCATTGACTAGGAAATTATGTGCACCCAGATGTAGACGAAGATTTCCGCCGACAACGTTCGCACTAGCACCGGCAATTTGAACACTGACTGCCATGGCAGTAGTCCCCACTGGCTCGCTTTGCAGCAGATCGGTCGAGGCTTTTGGTCCGTTGAGTCTCTCGGCTAGGGTATGGACAGCCTGGTTGGCCAAGGCCAAGACACTGTCGTGTATTTGAAGATT